TTTTGCAAACAATACTCTCAGGTTTGCTAGCCTCACATCCAGTGTTTTTATTTGTTAAGCTAATATGTCGCTCCTCGAACCAAACGTCTAATTACATCCTGACATATTCTCATCGTGTCATCACATATCATAACATTAGAGCCATTATTTCTTTCCACCTCAGCTTATTGCTTTGGCATCTAGATCTTTCTCCTTGGAGTGCGGCGCTGGCACGTCAGCTCTGGCTTTGGTTGGAAACGATGAGACCTCCGATGTTTGCCGAGGTACACACGGGAATATTCAAATGTTGAAACTGGCAGGGAAACGGGCTGTCAGCTAATGAGCGTGTCTACGAGAAAATGATTTGGTTGTTTCCTGAGAGGGAAATCACAGAGAATGGCTAAATGGGAAGCTCCTCCGAAGAGACTCTGCAGAGGCTGGGTGTGTGTGCGGCGGCGGCAAGGCCGTGTTGGGAGGCCGGCGGGTTGGATGAACACGGTCTGTCTGCCTCGGTGCCAATGTCATTAGTGCTAGAGGACTGAGAACGACCACCGTGTCCCTTTTGATTGCCATTAGAGCCTGGAGCCAAACAAAGAAGCAAACAAAAGGCCCTGAATAGACTTGGAGTGGAGGTCATGCCAGGCGCAGAGAGACTTCAGCAGCACAGCCTTTGGTGTCCTCTAGACCAGCAATTTTCAGCCGGCTTGGCAACACAGAGCACTTTGACAAGGCCAAACATACTGTATCAATCATGCACAGTAAATGGATTGATCACACACAGTTGAACATTCGAATAAAAGCCTCCTGGCTGATCCTATAAAGAGAGAATATAAAATGTAAACAAAGCTCTTTTATGTGAGGGAAACAATGTGTGATCATGATGTTGTTTCAGTCCTACAGGGATAATCATTTCATTTGATTCTGCCTCAACCTTTGAGCTAAATCTCAATTAACATTTTAGAGGTACCCTGCAGGTACTCTGCCATCACACAAACATGTGAGCACCGGGGAAACATGACACACACCTTTTCCACGTGGAGGAACAGTAAAATACGTCAAACACCAGTGCTAGTTTGATGAAAGTCTGTGTTAAATATTAGTATTACATTAGGAGCTTTAAACCCAGACTCAACAGTACGTTTCTGAAGGACCTTGTCAGCACCAGAGTCCTAATTTAACGACTCTGTGCGTATCCCCCCTCCTGACCAGACCGGCTCGGCTTGGTCATCCATGACGCTGAACAAATGTCCACATTATTGCCGTTGGTTTCACTTAATTTGCCGTGCAAATTTACAGCTCCTGTGAAATAATCTGAAATCTCCATGAGCTACAAGTAAAAAGCTTCATCAACCTCTAATAGAGTGATAAAATCCTTCTCTGAGAAAACCCTGTTGTTCATTTAGAGACGGAAGCAGCCGTGTTACGAGCGCGTTACGTTTTCTTTTAACTGTGTTTTCTCTCTCTTGTTTTTGAGGATCAAACTGATGGTTAGCTTTGATTGTCTGGTATGATGATGGTTTCACAGATTAGTGATGGGCACGGGAGTTCTTTTAGATGTACTGAATCACTAGAATCAGTTCACTAAAAAGATTTGTTCAAAAGATTTGTTCACCAAATCACTGAATCATTTAACGCTTGGCGGGAGAAGCCCGCGACCCGACCTCCTGATCTGATACACAGCTGAACGTTTCAGGATTCAGTTCAATCCATAGCTTCTGGGACCGGGAGACACGAGTGTTTGGCTGTGTCGCTTTAAAGTCATGATGTTTTAAGTTTACTGTCCTATGGCATGCTAGTTTTTCTGACAAAAATGATTCCACAGGGCATAGTTCAATGCCTGATTCGTTCACCGAGTGATTCAGGTGTTGGTGCATGTGGTCCCTCGTTCCCTTCAGCTCAACTAAAGTGAGATATAGGGCTGCAGCTATCGATTATTTTAGTAATCGAGTACTCTATCGATTAATCTGTCGATTAATCGAGTAATCGGATAAGAAATGTTTTGCTCTCACTGTAATACTTTGCATTGAATCACGTTTGCCTCATTAAAAACCATCAGTAACACACAAAACTGAAATAGGCCAGGTCTTTCAAATGAATATTTTTACTGCATAAATCAGGAACCAAAAGTTTTACATTTTACCATGTAGTTCACATGAAACTACTGAAGGCAAGGTCTGCAGATGGTCTTTTAATTGCTATGGTAATGATCTTTGCAGTTTTCACTAAACCAGTCACAACTATTTCCAGGCTTTGGATCTAATTTTACTTGTTTAATTACTAGGCTGAAATAATATAATTCTTGGATACTAACATAATTTGACAAGCAAATGTACATTTATTCAATATATAAAAGTGTTACATTTTTATTTACATGTTGTTGTGTGTTGGTCATTTTGCAGCCCTCTGCTGCTCATCACACGCCTAGCAGGTGGTGTATAGCATTATCACCATGGATACACGGATGTTTGTGTGATTTTTTTCATCCACTGCCGCCCGGTTTGTGTCGTGTAGATGTTGATTATGAAAACACTTCGCAATAATTTGGAAACGTGAAGGGGGAGCTGCTGCTGCCCGGTGTTTACGGTAAATAGACGCAAACACCGACCAAGTGGACGCTTCGGTCTCCGAAAACGCCGAGACAAATTTACAAACAGCCACTATTTCAAACAACTGGGCTCATAATCGTGATGTAAACACTTACTTTCTCGCTAGAAAAAATATTATTATTGAATGAATTTATATAATTTGTCCGGTATGCAGTCGTTCTATGTAGCTTGTGGTAGGACTATTTAAATTTTCCCGGCGCTGCGTCCGGCCGGCACGAAATGCATTCTGGGGTATTTAGTATGTATGTGTGTAAACGCTCGGGCAGCCGCGGCATACTCAAATCATCTTTGAGTAGTCAGTAGGCAGTAGCTACTGCTTGAGTAGGTAAGTAGATAGCAGGCAGTATGCCATTTCGGACACAGCTTCTGTCTGTCCTCGTTTCCCTCCATGATTGAACCAAACGCGCGGCAGCGGAAGGAGCGGAAAGAGCACGCTTTTGCGCAACAGAAACTACCGTCCGTGTCAAACACCTAAGCTGCACATGGTTCCGGATTTAAACGATTCCTCGAGGCATATAATTTGCCTCGAGGAATTTTATTAATCGAGTTACTCGAGTTACTCGAGTAATCGTTTCAGCCCTAGTGAGATATGAACGAATCACTCGAGGAAGTGATTCGGTCCAGTACGTTCACTTAAAAGATTCAGTTCTTTTAAACGAATCATTCGCTAACGACACAACACTATCACAGATTGGGTGTGAGGCTTGCGTGCAAAACCAACCAAGCACAACGCCGGTGAGTCCACGCTGACTGCTTCTACACGACCATCATCATCCAGATCAAGCTGCAACCTCTGGTATTGAAAGCTGACACCAATTTGGAAACACATGAAAAAACATGCAGTACCTCAGGTGTCCACTTGATTCCAAAAGTCAAAGAAATCCCATTGAAGCATTTCTGAGATGGTGACAACAACCTTTGGACTCATAAGGCCTCCTCACCATCAGGGGTGAAAGTAGGACACCAAGTTTAAAGGGATATTCCTGCGTAACATTAAGTTAGGTTCAAATAAACCGTAACACCGAGTTAGACACCCCGTCGAGGGATTAATGTTGCGGACCGCTTGCTTCTCTAGTAACACCAACTTTAGCAATGACCACACGATAGCAATACACAGCGGTCTGAGAAGCCACACACAAACATCAACCAAAACACCACTCTATAGCCACAAATAATACTCACAACAGCACCTAACTTCACCAACAGTACATACAGGGTCCCAGCCATAGTACTAGCCACCAAACATCTTTGTAGCTTTGCCTGATTTCTTTAGCAAACTACTCACCTTCTCTCTCCCAGCAGCCGCTTGTTTGTACGTAGACATCCAGGCGAGTCCATCGACTGCAGCATTTATGACCATCACTTGATCATTTCCTTGAAGTAATAATCTCCATATAAATCCTTTTTCACTGCAGACGCGGTAGTTCTTCTCCATTTTTCTGCATTAAGATTGAAGCGGCTGTCTCTTGAAAAGTTCCCGCCTTCCGCAAAAGGCGGTCCCCAGCGCCTCGGCAACCAGCGTCCAATCAAAAGTGCGCACTGAGCGCTCGGGAGTTTGTTCGCGGAAGCAAATACGAGTCACTCGTACGCAGCACGGTTTTATCGGATTACTACGGTTACAGTGCAGAGTACAGACTGACGTGCGGCAACACGGTAAGCAAATGTAGCCTACAGACTTTACAGGGGTGAAAGTTTGCGTTCCGCTGCGTACCGGCTTCCTTTCACCCCCGCCCACCATCCAGACCATGTTTGATACAGTAGGGGAGACCGGGGTAAGATGAACCATTTTTCATATTTGGGATCACTATTCTTTTTATTATTATTGCATGTAACTGCTAAAACGCTGTTTTGTAAAAAGACATTTTAACATGAGACAGTCTTTAAGTGATTCAGAACATTCACAGATCTGTATTTTAGAAAAGAAAGAGTAAAACATTTCAACAATCTGAATTGAAACTCTGATCCTCTCATCAGACTCCTTTACTTTCTCCACTTACCTCTGAACTACGATTATGACTGTATTAGTCCTCTAAGCTAAAATGGTGAACTTTTATGTGAGGTTTTTGACCTCTTGTTGTAGCTCATAGATACAACAATTGATGTCTAAAACACATTTAAAATGAACACAATTATAATCAAACTTATGGCAGACTAAATTCACCTTCAAGAGTGAAAAAATGTTTTTTTTTTTTTTTGTAAATAAATGTCTAACCTCTTCACCCATGTGCTTCTAACTTCACTGACTCCATGAATCGTGCACATCAACAGAGAATTGCACCAAGTATTATGAACACTGAAAACACAGAACGCTGATATGAGATAGATTAGTCTTGTCTGACATGTAAAACCTGTCACATGGGTGTGATGGGACATATTCATTTAAATTTTTCATGTTTTTGTTTTTACTTTTTAGCCCGAGCCCTGAGGCCTTTACTCAAGAGTAGAAGTTTCTACATCAGGCTCCACCGGTGAGTCACTTTATTTTGTACATCAGTGCTGTTGTATCATAGTAAGGCTGACAACACACGGAATGACTTTTAGATTCAAGCTGATTTTAAAACCAAGTGACACTTCACATACACAGACATCCTAAGCTGATTACAACTCTCTGAATACACACACAAAAGATGATTTAATAAGATCACTGGACTCTTCGTTCATTCCTAAACAAAACCATGACGACTGAATCCAAACATGGTATATTTGAGCTGAAGCTAATTTATTTTGTGCATCAGTCGATAATACTTTGATTATTGCATAGAGGAATAGAGGGAGGACATGAACAATACGGTTGTTGAGGAAGAGAAGGGGTCAGCGGCGAAACCGGGAATGTCTGTCGTCAAGTAGACCAATCACAGGGCTTATGTTTACCATGTTTTGTAGTTACAGTTTTGAGAAAGTGCTCGTCAGCTTGGTGCTTAGGCTTCTGCGTAAGGTACAGGGCCATGAGGACGTTGCCTTTTTAGCAAAGACGGCTGTTCGTACTCTTGCTAGGTAGTTTCAAAACTGGCGCACTTTTGACGTGGTTGGACTATCATGATGCGTGAATCTGCTCACTGCATGTTTGTGCTTGTTTTTAGACTTATTTACATTGCAGCCTATCACATATAAATGCAAAAAGATAAAAAAGGAAATGCAGTTTTTACTGGGGCACCCTCACCCTAAAGCCTCCTACCATGACTCTGCACCAGCCGAGTGTCAAAGTTCTCCTAAAGGGAGAATTTGAAACCTTTTCATGTTCCCGTCTTGAGTGTGTGACTAAACCCGAATCCTGAATGACACAGCAGTTCTCTCTCTCTCTGTATGACCCCTCATAGAGATCAGTCATACAGTCCACCTTAATCTGGGCGCAGAATAAAGCCAGATAATGATGTTTGCACTGATCCCTGAGCCTCTTTTGTCCGGACTAACGCCTCATAGTTCGGCCTTTAATTTTTCCTCTCTGTAGGGAGTCACCTCCTGTGGTAATTGAGGTCAAACACAATCCATCGTAGTTGATTTTTCTTCCTCTTTTAAGTACACCGGGTTGTGAGCAATGGTAATTTGAATAAGCTTGTTTTGTTGTGTGACATCCTGAGGCAGCTCAATGACACGAGGAAGAAAAGTTCATCCCGATACCTTAAAGTAACCTCAATTATTTTAAGATTCAAGTGGTACTAGAAGGGTGAAATCACTTAATTCAGCTCTTCAACGCTTCAAGATGTTTGTAAATTTGAAGATTACCAACTAAGTAGTCCATTAGTGAAAGACACTTTGAGTTTTGTGCACTATTTGTGTTTGTGCGTAATTCCTCGCATCTGCTCGTGTGCAGGATTTTTTGTCGTGGATCCCATAAGGCTCCTCTGGCGGGCGTCCCATCAGAAGTCGTCTCTTGAATGAGAGACGGCTCGATGGTGCTCAGATGGAGTGAGTATTGTCAGAGGAGCTGCATGTGACTAATCAGGACTGGGCTCGGCTCCCTGCCTTCCCCTCGAACCATATTCTGCTGATTCAAAAGGCCGCCGAGACTTAATGGAAAAGCATGATGAGGCCATCAGAGAAAGTCGAGCTACACCCTGACTCATGTCGCTTTGGTCGATGTCCAAGTAAATTTGCAGTAATGCGTCAGCAGAGCCTTCGAAAGCTGTTCTAAGATTCATACCATGCAGATTGATCCAAACTGGTGTCAGAAATCAGCGACAAACCAAAAGATCAAACATATGGGCCACTGATTTCCACCGAGCCGCCTCTCTTTCTATTTATCGCGCCTTCTGCCGTTTGCTCCCTGTCTCTATCTTTCTCTCACTACCTTTTTATCTCTTCTTCCTCTCTCTCTCTCTGGTCACTCTGCCTTTGCTTCGTGCCTGCACACACATAAAATGGAGGGCAGCGGTGAGGTTCCAATTCAGAACTCATTTGTGGTGCTGCCGGCCCCCTACCCGCTCAGCAGTTGCCGAGGGGACCCAGGGGAGCCCTATCACAGCTCTATATGCAAATGTCCTTGCACCTGGACAACAGCGTGGGCATGCTGGGACCGGGAGCTTATTTATGCAAATCTCAGGGAGACAGTCACAGCACACAACACAGAGCCGGCCACAGACACTGGTGGCCATATCTCCCCGCCAGCACATCAACTAGTTGCAAAAACGATGGAAAAATGAAAGATTTGGACCAAGTTGCAGACAGGAAATAGGGAGTGACACAGTCTGGGAGATAGGTGCAAATAAAATGTATGGATGTACAGTTTGCAGGAACTCTGGAAGTTTTTTTTCCGACTGACTTTCTAGGATATGACAGTACGGGTTTGTGCATCAATCAGTGTTTGAGATAATTGATGAAAAGCTAGATTTTGTTGTGTTTTCGTCTTCTTGCGTGACACACAGTAAGATGTAAGAGACCGCACACATGAACGCGCGCTACAAAGGTTTTGTTTACCACCACAACAGCGCTGACAAGAGGCAATAACACTGAATGTGTTAAAGCGCTCCACGGCGAAAGGAGAACAAAACCAATCTTTGTGTCTCAGCTGGCCCTGCCTCCCGACTGGGCCGCACCACTGTGCGAGACATCACACAGGAAAGCGCTCCCTCTCCGCACACAACAGGCCACATTAATGTGCAAATGTATGCAAGGAAATTTCAGAAAAGCCGAAATTACTGAGCCAAATGAGGTAGCTGCACTCAAATTGTTGGGATTATGAATAATTACCGCACGTTGCATGGAACTTTCCTCAATTTCCTGTGAAACAATGACTTCAGTGGTTTAATTGAGGAAAATCCAAATGTGGTGTGAAGTTATTGTTTTCCAGTGATGGAGGTAGAAGCTACCTTTGCCAATTTTCATATGCTGAATCAGGGGACATGGAAGGGGCCTGTAATGGTGTTCAGTTCCGCTTTGTTTCTCTAAAACTTTGAGTGTGATCTGTTGTCTCTTTGTGAAACTTGCCTGCTCTTAGGGAACAAAAAAATACTGTCAACTGTTTGTATATGGAAAAAAGCTTGTTCTGCTTACATGAGGCGAAATGTTTTGAATAAATTTGTTTGAAGTTCTTAGCTGAGAGAAATTACGGTTAGACGGTCAACATCCTTGGAATTTAAGAAGACGATACAAAACCACAAACTACAGATTGTGCAGTTAGTGTCAGATAAAGTCAGTGAGTAGACTCTCTATCTCTACCACAAGTGCATTAAAACAGACCTTTTTCGCTGACACAACACTATCTGTAACCTCCTTTAGACATGCACAAATGCAGCCGACAAATGTGTTATACCCTCTTTGGGCTGTGAAGGCTGCAGTCGGTCCATATTTGGTGGCCCTTCTTGGCTCATGACTCTAAAGGTCCTTACACACCAGGCGCGAATTCACCAGGCGAATTATAATAATAATAATAATACATTTTATTTAAAAGCGCCTCTCTGGACACCCAAGGACACTGTACAGGCATTAAGAACACAGTTAAAACACAGTTAAAGCAAATAAAAACAACATACAGGTATGGAGATGGACAGTTAAAGGGAATATGTGATTTGGAACAGATGTGTTTTGAGTTTTGATTTGAAGTGGGATAGTGTTTCTGATAGCATAAAGTCAATGCAAGCTTCCACACCGGCAGCGATTTTTCCGTGGGGCAAAAAGCGTCTTTTTTTTTTTCGCTCTTGTGTCGAATTTTTTGGATATTCGCAGGCGAATATCTGGACCTGCTAGACCTCTGGCCAATCAAAAGTCATGTTGTTGATGACGTCACAGACCCATGCGGCTGCAGTTCACACGACACACACCGCCACTGGCACCGAGAGCAACGATGGGAGAGAGGCTGGTAATTGCGGTACAGGACCACTGGATGGCGGTGTGGAACTCGCCCATCTCCTTCCTCAAAGTTAATATGGGATGTACCCAAACACTCCTTTGTTTATTCTTCTGTCTTCTTTTTTTTTGCCAAAAGCATCAAAACGAGCTCATCATCGCTTGAGGATGTTGTCGACTCAATTTCTTTGTTCTCCTCTCCTCCGTAGCGCGAAAGAACTCACACCAAAGACAATATTTATTAATTCGCTTTGCAAAATTTATACGCATATTCGCTTTGCGCCCGGTGTGTATAGGCGAAAGCGAATATTCGCATTTTCGTCTCGCTTTTTCACTTCGCTCCGCAAATTTGTGTGTAAGGACCTTAAGACAATCGAGATAGAAGACTCTCAAACTTCTGAGTAAAACATCGAAGCTTGAAATGATCTGTTACGTCAAACAACAACAAGAGTAGTGCAATGAGTCAGGGTGGTGATACAGACACATAATCCCTCAAAGGGTAGACCATCTCAATTCAGGCTGCAGCCCCTGGACTGGGACACAACTTATGTGGGTTGCAAAGAGACGATTATGTTAAGGTGACCGGACGTCCCCGGCTTCTGGGGACAGGTTCCTGTATTGGATGACCTGTCCCCAGCTAAAGTTGTCCCCGGATATGTCCCAGATTTGAGCATTTCACGAATAAGAAGGGAGGAAGCTCAAGTAAGCATGTTGTACGCAGTCCTGAATGGCATCCCTCTGCTCAGTATGTCCCCAGATTTCGTTACAGAAATCTGGTCACCTCAGTTTAGTAAAAAAAAAAACAGGACTAAAGTTATATAAAGATAGGCTTTTACCTTTCTGATGCATCTCCAAAAACAGGAAATGTCAAAGTTTTGCAAAATTAGGTTTAGTAGTAGAGCTGGTGTATAAGATTGCATTGGATTGTGCAGGTTGTGGTAAAGCTACAGATGATCTATGTGTATTTCAGTTGTCTATGTCAAGTGGCGTGTCACTGAAATTTCTAACCTGCCAGAAATTCATCTGAACCGGGAAGAGCAGCTGACAATGAAAGCTAGTTTGTGTTTCTGTTGCTAACACTGCTAATAGAAATGCTACTACAGCTCCTGGTGAGATCTCATAATTTGATGGTTATTATACTGGTTTATACAGCAGTGGTCATGGTGGAAGGGGCCTCAGAAATAACTTAACGATGCACCAGCTCAGGGTACTGACTGGCAGCTTTGATGCTCTGATCACCAAGATGCTTCCTCTCACCTCCTGGATTCAGGAAGTACAAAAGAGACAAGAGACAAGGTGGTTAATAATGATGGCTTACGACTCTTTGTGGTTTGATAGAGAGCAGCAGCAAACTCGGATATGACGTAAGTATGCTTTTAAAAAAATGTAGATGAGTCCAGCATGAAAAGCAGATGAAAGGAGTCTTTGGAGATGTGGACCAAGAAGAGAAATGTCAGTGAAGAAAATGACTTCAAGAAATAGGTAGAAAAGGGAGGGGATGGGGATGAAGGGGGGCTAGGACGGCTGTTGTTATTGTGTTTGATGTAGTGCTTGACAAGAGAGAGAGTTTAGAAATCCTTGTGTAGTAGGAGGCAGAGGAAGAGAGGGTTCATTTAAATGCATGCTCACTCAGGGCCCATACGGAGTGGGTGTCTGTTGAGAATTCATCATGGCCTTACTGATAAAGCCTCAGCCTCTTAGCGAGGGGAAAGGAGAGACAGATCACTCTCTTGAGGTGAGATTGCCTCGTGGATGGACACTTGTTATGTAGAAATACACAACACTGACGGATATTACCATGGCACTTTCGGACTGGTTAGTCATCCCTCCATCCTCTATCCCTCCATCCATCCATTCCACCATTTCCTCGGGTTGGATGAGAAGTACTCTTTGGGGACCATAAGCTGCAGACTGCACTCGTTATTATAGCTTCCCCACAATTAGGAGGAAAGTTTTCAGCCAGAGAGAAAGGTACCTACATTTTCTTTACATGGCCTCTGAAAACGTCACGTAGAAACACTCGAACCAAACCGATTATTAGGTACAACTCTGTGACCCAACAGCACTATTCTAGCTCAGTATATGTTCCCCTTCTAAGTATGGACAAAAAGTGGCATGTTGATGTAAAATTATCCAAAGATGCTTGTTGGTGAGCAGTTGACAGAGGTATAGTGTATTTAGGTCCAGTTGAGTTTCCTTCTGCTCTAACTCTTACCTGAAGCGCAGAAGTTGCATGAACTGCTTATAATCAGGGTCTGGATATCAAATCCACACTAGAGCTGTCACGATACCAGATTTTCACCTAACGACTATAATGGCCACACAGTATGGCGATAAGAATCTCATGATATCGAGGAACGGCTCCAAAATAAATCAACACGATCAGCCAAATTGAGGAAGAGTGGATCAACACTTTTATTTTTAGACCTAATTTCAACCAATTTAGACGTTGCACTTTAACCCATTATTCCATAACTTTTTTTTTTTCTCAAAAAGCAAAAGTGAGTTGCATAACTGATCTCAAAGTACTTAACCAAATTAATTGTGATAGCCGATCACAGCAATATACAGTGTAATGTAGATAAAGCCCAGATTTATACTTGGTCTTAAATTAAACGCCTAAAAAACGTTCATTTTTAGACCTCTTTTAGACCAAAAAATGCTCAGTGAGACATTAATCTATAACTTACTTAAACATAATTATCTTCGATTTTATCACTCATTTTAACTAATATTTAAACTTGTGATTTATCCACATCATGTTCTTCTACGGAGAAGACATTGACTAATAAAAAGATGAGTCCTAGTGCTTTTATTTTTAATTTCTTTGTTTTAAATTTACATAGCTTTATTTTCTGTACAGTTAAGCTATGCTTTTATTTTGAAGGGCAGTACTTCTCGTAGATTGTGCATTATGAAACTAAATGAAAACTCTTAAAAGAGCAGTTGGAAAGTATAAATGATCAATTAATCATTAACCTAAAGAGGCACAATGAGTCTTGAACATCAGTTTTTAAAGTGCCAAACCATCTCTCAGAGGGCTGCTTCAGCTAGCTAGCTAGCAGTCTGCAACTTCTTCTTCGTCTAGCCTCTGTTTTATGACGGTACCTGAATATTATGACAGTACCAGTCCACATGGAGTCAAAGGTCAAACTTGTTAGCTTGTAATTTACTTTAAGTTGTTTCATTGTTTAGTTGCACTGTGCACAAGCAAAGTTGATCTTGACTGGTAGAACAACAAAAATTTTGTTGCACAAATTTGTTTTTTCACTCCAGTTTTACTCCTCATGGAGTATTTGTGTAAGTGCAACTTCTAAAACATTAGAGTCCAAACTCGTGTCTGAACAAGTGTTAGGTTTGGTCTCAGGCGTAGCTACTGCTGGACTCCAAAGTCTACAAGAGTTGTAAGAGTTGCATGAGTGGTTGCTTTAACATTAGAAAGGGCATTTTGATCTATTGTTTACGTATTCCTTTGCACAGTTTAAGTCCATTCAGATCATTAGCAAGACTGGCAACATCTACAAGCCTTGAAAATATGTTTTATATTCCAGCTAACAGGATGTGTGGGTGAAAAAAAATGGTCTCTCTGGCTTTTCTGCACATCAGGATATTGTTTTATGGTATAAAACAGATGTTTTCCAGCTCAGCTATGCCTCAACAGATTCTATCAATACCACATGCAAACAGAATATGACAAAAAGAAACCAAAGTGATCTCCGCACACAATCAGCATTAAAAAAAAAAAATAATACCAACGCGAACAATGCATTTTTGAGCATTTGTTTACATCTGCTTTTTTTATGTTGTTGTTGTTCTCACAGCCACAAATATTGTCTAGGGAACATTTATTCCGGCCAACATAATTCAATGACACATCATTCAGCTTTGAGGAGCAATTAGCACAAATCTGCAAACACAGGACAGGAGAACAATGGACCTTTGGAGGTGAGTGGTGAGCGAGCGTGTGTTTGTCTTTGTGCATGTCACAGATTTACACCTGCATGTTTAAAAAAAGGCTGTACAGTAGCTGCACAGTGATATGAAATAAGCTTTTCTTATATCATTTAAAACATGTCAGAGTTTAAGCTGTAATAGACATTTACTATTATATACTGTATATGTAAGACACACTCTTGACTTCATTTACAAGTATTTATGTCTTTTTACTACAACCACTTACCACCAAAGTTCGACTGTGTTTATTATCTTTCATTGCCCAAGCTGACCTAGTAATCTTGAACGCTTGATTCTGATTGGTCAGCACCACATAGCAGTAGCAATTAATCCTTAAAAAACAAAAGTGACAATATGCAGAAAAAATCTGGCACGTTTCGTCTCCGCCTGTTGACTCTGTGGCAAAAACATGAGCTCCTGTTGAAGCATTGTGCCAAAACTATTAGCTGGTCACAGGAGCATCTTTGTGATTCTGATGGCTACAAGGTTACTTAGTATGGTAACTATGACAACGCTTAAGATGGGATATGTGTCTAAATTATGTTTTCAGGTGAATCATCAAACTTTGGTCAATGAAAGTCTCTACATTTTAGTCCTTGCTTCTGACAGTGTTGCCAACTCCTCAGTAAGGAAAGTCGCTAGTGGCTGTTGTAAAAGTCGCTAGAAGTCGCTAGATGACGTCGTTGCATAATTTACATAATTTCACAGTCAAACCCTCTGTCGCCGCCAACCCCCCCCCCCCCCCCCCCTTTTTTTTCTCTGCTTCCTGGAACCACCACTTGCACAGTAGCATTGTACGCATTCGATGGGTGAGTCGCTGTGATGACGCTCGTCTAAAACAGCGTATCGCTACGCAATCTTCGCACTTCACAGGCTGTATCAAGTCAAGATGTGTAACACTCCTTCTGTGGACATATGGATATAATAAGAACCCCAAATAGCTTTTGAAAATGGAGCTGCACATAAAAAATCAAAAACCCCTGGTCGGACAGTGAATTGACTCCCAGCTAGTTGTCATGTAATTACTAGATAATTTCATGTTGTTACAAGGTAATTACCTGTTAATTACCTGGTAATAAGTGAACCGTAAAAGAAAGGGTTACTAAGTCAATACTGTCCTAGCTACCTGGTAGGTAACCTTCCATCATCATACAAATTTGAAGCCGAATTGCTCTGGTATTTCCAGGATTCTCTCCACTTCCTGGAACTACCTTTGCACAGTAATTGTCGCATTCGACGGGTGAGTCGCAGAATAATGCTCGGCTCAACAGCGTATCGCCACGCAATCTTCGCACGCCCATAGGCTGTATCAGGTTTTTGTCAAGAGCATGGATCAGGAAAAGTTTATGAATGATGAATTTGAAGAATTAAGGCAGTAAGGATTATAGTGCACATCAGAGTTTAATCAGTGATGTCTTTTAACTCGCCATTGTCAAAATTTTGATTAAATGAGGTTTGGATATTGAGCTATTTAACAGTAATCGCTTAAAAATAACAAATATGAAACTAATGTTGCTCCAGTAGCTGCAGGTTTTTGTCAAGAGCATGGATCAGGAAAAGTTTATGGCGTTTATGCAAATATGCACTCCCATAATACCTGCCTCGCTTCGTTTTTTATTTTATTTTATAAGTTTTCTTGCCTCTTTCTGTATTTTTTGCCCTTTTCTTTGTGCACAAATTTGTCGTATATTCATGAAAAGTTTTGCTCCAATTATGAGTGCAGCTTCTGCCTTTACTCTTTCGCAGGAGTTATATAATGCAGGTGCAGTCGAGGTTGTTTTCGAGCTGAATCAGCATGCACTGTGTGTTTTTTTTTTCCTCCTTTTGTTTGTTTGCTTGTTCTGGCAATTAGCTTTTGAACTCTCATCACGTCCTTGGACAGAGCTGTTTTACCGACATGTAGTGCCCTTCTGCAGAAGCCTCCTATGCTCATCGCTGCGAATTTTCAGAACCAAAACAACTCTCTCTCCTTTTCCTCTGGTTCTCTGTGCTACAAACAGACTAAAAAAGAAAAAAAAAGTCCAAACTTATACAAACACCTTCCATCTGCCTCCAGTAAGATCTCTGAAAAGTTCGTTTTTTTGTGCTTTTTACATCTCTAATGTGTTAGAAGGCAAACTTTTTTGGAGAGCAGGGGGATTTGGGGGCTGGCATGGCGGCGGTGGTGGCGGTGTTGGTGAAGTAGGCAGCAATTAGCGTGTTGCTAATGAACTCCCTCTCATTATCAGTGAATCAACAGGCCTGTGCTAATTACGGTTAGCAGGACAGACTCCTCTCTCCCACTGCGACGGGCTTCAAGGTCCCTCCGGAGCTGCAACACACCGGATGGTCTGCCAGCAGCCACAGGTGCAAAGCGCTCACTGCCAATGTTAAAAACAGAACATAACACATGCACACACTCGAACACCGGGTCTGACAAACACACAAAGCCAGGGACCAATACACTCTCTGTCATGTTGTGGTCATCTTGCTGCAGGTGGCCCCATCGCACGGGGGCTTTTTTTAATCAAATATTTGCCAGGAGTTAAAGTGCTGTTAACCCCTTTTCACCCAGCTGTAAGCACATGAGAGAGGAGTGTGTCAAAAACTTAAGTGGGGCTGTTAGAGGACCTCACCTGGACATTGTTAACGGCACACATTATTTTAGCAGTCAGAGCTCTTTCAATATTTAAAGGATAATTTTGGTTTATTACATCTTGGGTCTTTTATTTTTGGCCATCGTTCCAAAATCCTTATTCACCAAGTTAATTGCCCAAATCTGAGAACATGCCAACATCACGAAAAAGAAGCCAACCGGGGCAGCGATCCAAGAGCTTTTAAAACTGCATTATTAAATATTTTTTATTAATGGATTAAAGACCAAGTGTCATACAAAAAGAATTATACCTAACTCTGCACATCCTCGTAGTTTTATGAAGCACTCTAGCATCTTCTACCTTAATATTGTGGTTCTATAGCTTGCATCTTTCCACTCATGTGTGGCAGAAAATTAGAATATTCTAAAAATATCTATTTCATTATTGCTTGTTATGGCCTGATTTGTTTGTCACCCACAACCCACAAGTTTGCAGTATTTAGATCTGGAGGTAAAGGTGTTTGGAGGCTGCGTTTGGTTTTATAACGACTCAACTGGATTTATGTGTAACCAGCACAGACAACAGGATATCAACCTGCAAGGAGGACCAAAAACTGGTGGTGCTAGCTCTGCTAAAGTTAGCCCCGCTAGGCAATCTTATTCTGCATTATTTATCCGCAAACTCTGAGATTTTGTGTTGAATGAATGTCACACCCGTTTGTAGCTCATGTATTTGTCGTTGTATTTATTTAGATTCATTTATAGAATGTATATAGATTAGGAGCTGTCTGCCTCCTGCGAGAACAGCACCCTCTGGTGACGGGCTGCAGTATAGGTCATAAATCCCACCTCCTCCAGCAATCTGTATGGAGCAGTGGACAAACTTTAGAAACTATTACACAGAATAAAACTTTTCTCCCCCCTGGTTGTGATGTTGACATGTGATTATTGTCAGACTGCTTTGTGCTCAAGTCCTCTTTTCTCTGTCCAGCTCCATTTTTTAAAGGAGGTTCATGTTTTCTATGATTGACACCTGATTCAGCCTATGGGAGTACAAAGATTGCAACTCTCTCGCTGAATGTGTACAACACTACAGCTCAATGTTGGTTTCAGGAAGTGGAGAAAAATCGTGGAAATACCGAGAGCTTTTTGGCTTTAAATACGTATACTGGCGGAAGGCGGAACCAAGTTGTCTGTGGTTTATACAGTCTATGGATCCATCAGATAAAATAATGTAAAGGGTAAGAGTCACACCTACATTTGCATAATTAGAAACAGATGAGTTAGTTGACAGATGGATGCGTTGTAGCTGTTCACTGGGAGGCCGAAAGCTCGCCACCTCTTGGCCGTTGTCCAGATTGATCGAAAGCTGCATCTCTATCAGCAGTAGCATTACAGAGATAATGTCCATTTTTATGCTAAATACCTCACACACTGACTAGCCCAGAGGTGCATGCCCAACATCCCTGGACTTCAACTCTTGGGTTAGCCTCATTAAGAAACCTCGGGTTAAGTAAACTCTTCATTATTTACGCTGTACGACTCCTGCTCTGCTGTTAACATTTTAACTGGAGCATTACGACAAAATCTTTCTCCATCCGCTTGACTCTGCAAACAAGTGTTTTACAACAGACACGGCGAGATCCATTAATCAAACGCCACTTGTTAGGCAGCAGTGGCCCTCGCCTATCAAACGCTAAATACTTCCTGAAAAGCACAAGTTCCAGGCTCCATTGATAAAGGCTTTTTCTGCGTGTCACTGAGGCGAGCAAACACCAAAAAAGATTGTCGGTGTCAGCCCACAGCATGCGCCATAAGATGGGACCTGGGCATGTAAAATAGACCCCCCCCTTCCTTCTCTCCTTTCCATCCATAACTTAAGCAGAGATCAGTGGCTAACACTCTTAATCCCAAGGGGGTGCTTTCTGAGCTGTAATTTAAAAATAGCGTTTTAATAACACACCACTGCTACAGTACATTAATCTCAGAATTAATTATCTACCCCACCCCCAGCCTATTTACTTGAAAGAGGCTCTTTGCTGCATTTCTTGTGTTTTAGTTCTATTTATTCCAAGAGTGAGCGGCTAAAGAGATGCATGTGGAGTGTCTTGTGTGGCGTGCAGTAATTATGCAGTTGCCAGTATATTACCAGTACGTATATAAAAACCAGTGAATACATTAGAGCTGCGGGGTGTCGTCAGCGTAAACGGTCAGTTAGGTGAGATGCTTTTAAAGCGGGTGCTATCTTTTCTCAGGCTGTGCAACAGGAAACAACAACCGATTCAATTAAGGGAGGCATTAAATAAAAACCAGAGCGTAATCTAAAGATATTGTAGCAAACAGCCGCCGTATGGAGAATAACTTCACGTTCGTTTACATTTTTATGCAAGAAAATGTTTTTAATCAAACGTCACTCCTAGCGATAGAAAATCAATTCCGAGGAGAAATTAAAGAGCGTAATGTGACTGCGAGCCAGGCCTAAAGGCACCGCAAATATTCAAAAACAATATTAAACTGCGATAAATAAAATATGAACCTTCTTTGGCAATATAACATTCGAGCGTCAGGGGACGTGGGCACTTAATGCGAGTTAATGAAACACAAGAATCACGTTTAAAAGGCGCAGCGATCACCGAGCGTTTGTGGAGAGAAGAGGTGACGGTGTTGCTGAGCCCCTCTGGCAGAAGTTGCAGGGGCTGACAAGAGATCAAGTTGAGCACTGACACTGATTATCAGTATATGAGCTGTGGATGTTAATAAAAAGGATGTTAAAGGAGGGAGGGGAAAAAAACGGAGAAGACCGTCTTGTTCTCTTTCCCCTGCGCTTCCTCCTGTTTCCCTGATTGACTGACTGACTGACCTCCATTGTCATAGCCTCACAGCTGACAGTGATCTCCACACATACATCACTTTGTATGTTCTCGGCTGAATAGAGGCAGCGTGTGCGCGCTCTGCATGAGGCAGGTGCCCCCGGGTCTGTGTATCACAGATAACCTTTACAAGGAGGTGTAGTTCACGCCTCCCGGCCCCCGTACCTTCCCGCTATCGCATCAAAGGATCTGGATGTGGTTAAATTCAGTCACTGGAGAGACAGTCAGGGCTTGGCATGCATGATTGATGTCGAGTTTGCAACATTAGGTATCATAAGGTGTAATATAGGAGATAGCGCTAAGTGCGAGATTGCATTTGAGCGTGTTGAAGGGAATAGGAACTGTTTGACAGCTCGGGGTGTTTTATGGTTTCCTGCTGGCCTTTTTTTTTCTCCCCTTCCTGTTCTGGATATCTGACCAGAGCTATAAAAACAAAGACCTGATATTAAATTGTGTTACGCAATGTGTGGACTCCTTTCCGCCTGCATTTGTGTTTTCTCTCTCGCTCTCTCTTCAAAAAAAAACACCCAATCCTCACACTTGCAAAGAGAATCCCTGGCAGACTTTCATGTTTCAATTAAGCTTTGATTGAGTTATGAAATATACAAGACTCCGAGCCAAACCATGACAAAATGACATACATTTCTGTTGTTTGTGACATGACTCCACTCAGATTCCTCTGTCTCCTACATGACATCCTATTAATTTTGTTTATATCGAGGCAGGTGGTTGTCAGTAAAAGTCATTTCGTCAATCAATTTTTTTCGGACTGACTATTTTTCAAATGAAAAAATAAGTTGCTAATTTTGTCAGTGCTCTTTCTAGACACTGCAGGTTTAATTGCTAATTGTTAACTGGGAATGAATGCATTTGCATATTAATTAGTTAGCCCATTTGCATTTTTAATTTGCTGCCTTCAAAGGGGGTGAGATAAAAGGTCGCACAATTCTGAATAATTTAAATAATTTATGCTCCATTGGTGAAAAGAAGCTGAACAGAAGTGTTCTGCGGATATTAACCCCTGAGAGCTTTTACCGAATAAAGCACTCCAAAAATTGTTTTAACAAATCTAATTAAACGGAAAAAGGTCTGAACACACAACCACCCAGAGCACTAGGAGCTAGAGTGTGTCCTCGGGAACAAAAAACCGCTCAGGAGAGAGTGATGGAGGCTGTATGGATGTGGAGGACGAGACTTCTAGCCCTCCACCCGGATATGAAGGCCTCTCGTAGTCTTTTCATCATTCAGATTGATCAAATACCCCTACAGGAATGCTGATGGAGTCAGCGCTTGGTACTGTAATAGTAATTCTCTCTGAAGTTAAGCTGCTCTTTGCAACGTGTCGTACTTCATAAGCAATCAAAGAGATGCATGTGCTGTGGTGGATCCTTGAAAGTTAGCTGAGACTAATTTGGACTAGGCGTCTAAGTTGTAATTTTTAATGAATGACACTACCAGCACAAGTAAATTCATCAGATGATCACAGGGAAGAAACAACAAATAGACAGCATTTGTCAGCATGTGTTCCTCGCTCTAACTTTCTTCTCTCGTAACCGCTCAAGTGTCCATTTAGAAGAAAAACTTCTTTCCATTTTTGGGTACAAGGAGCTGATATATTCTCTCCCTCTTCTTCAACCAGGTCCCGACTGCATTGTGAGACTGTCTCCTCTCCTTTGTCCCAGTGATCTTAATTACAGGCCCTGGGCCTCGTGCACAGAAGCCCATTTAAATCAGAACACATCCAGCTTCCATTATGGGCTTGGCATTTGGTCTTTGTGCCCATGCTCTTAAATTACATGCTGCCAATCCTAGTGGGCACAGGCAAGATGAGGAGCGGAGGATGGGTGAGAGATGAGGTGAAGGGAGGGGGATGAGAGGAGGCTGAGAGTAAGAGCGGCGGGGGCCACAGGCTACACTTGACGACTGAAAGCCCCCCCCACCCCACCCTCCTCTTCTCTCCTCTTCTTCTTGTGCCCTCTTTATCACTAGATAACTTATGTAAAGTAGCAGATGAAACCCATTCCCATTCACGTCGGCCTGATTGTCAGAATAAGCTTGCATTCCTTTGAAAAGTGATTGACCGCCTGAAAGGGTACAAATTAGGGGCCTGTTCGTCTTTTCTTCTCCGGTCGTGGGGTTTATTTGCGGCAGATTCACCCAGGCCCAAAATTAAGTGAACTCAGGCAGGGATGAATGGGAGAGCTCTGATTGAATAATTGATTTCCTTTGTGCGGCCTGTGTTTAAGAGGGATAACTAGACATCCTTTGGAGTGTAATGATTGTAATTACTGCGATGACTGGTCATGTCAAATATGACACAGGAAAGGACTGTTATTAACCTTTATTCTCCACATGGAGGAAAAAAACTAACCCAATATCCTCTTGTCTCTTCTTTCTGTATATGTGTTTCACCTCTGGAGGTGGAGGCTCGGCTGGCGTAGGTTGGATGCATGGATGAACTCGTTCCCTGTCTTCTCCTCCTGGCCCATGAAAGGTAGATGGGTAATTGACTGTGCGAGTCAGAGTCACTGGTGTGTCAGTGACTCAGACGGCTAGTGAGCCTTGGGCTAACTCTCAAAGTGCAATGCATTATGGTTCCTGAATATGAGTGTAAGAGATAGGAGCTATAACCGCGCTCTTGATGTCTGTCAGAATCCCGTATGTGCTGACCCCTTTAATGCACTTGATGCGTTCAAGGGCCTCGGTGAAACAGACATTAATCATGTTGTGATCAGGAGCAGACTGCTGGAGTTACCGGACATGTGGTCTGCAAGAATCTGGGGTGTAACCACAACTACCTCAGAGCGAAACAGAGAGGTCTGAAGCAAATGGTTTAAAGCTGTGTGGGGATTTGCCAGCTCCAGGTCCATCTAACCCCGAAACTCCACCGCATCCAGAGCGGCCCTGATCTGGAACAGCAGTGATTTTCGCCGTCTGCCAATACCTACCAGAGAACTTACAAGAACCTGCGAATTCACGTGCAATCGCGCGATAACGAGATGTCTCTATAGCCACATAACCGTATAAGCAGTAGATTGTGTCTTTTCAAAGGAGGAAATCTACTTTTAGACTTTTAGAATCAGCATCTTCTCATCCATGGTGTCATCAGGGTTTAAATACTGTCTGAAAACCTTTCACTTGTTCGACCCCGCCTGTTTGCATGATGTGAAATACAATCCACCTGAAACACGGACAGTTTTATTTTAAAAAGAAGCTGGATGTAACCCTTTCTTTTAAGGTACACTTATTACCAGGTAATTAACAGGTAATTACCAAGTAACAACATGAAATTATGGTAACTACATGATAACTACTAAATCAATACTGTCTAGCTACCAGGTAGGTAGCCTTCCATCATCATACATATTTGAAGCTGAATTGCTCTGGTATTTCCAGGATTTTCTCCGCTTCCTTGAACCACCTCTTGCGCAGTAGCATTGTACACATCCGGCGGGTGAGTCGCTGTGATCGCACGCTCATCGGCTGTATCAAGTGTCAATCACCCCAAATAGCTTTTGAAAATGGAGCTGCACAGAAAAAAGAAAAACTAGACAGTATTGACTTCGTAGTTATCATGTAATTACCAGATAATTTCATGTTGTTACTAAGTAATTACCTGTTAATTACCTGGTAATAAGTGTACTGTAAAAGAAAGCGTTACCAAAACCTCTTATGTATTTGTTTCCATCCCACAAGTCTTCCTCTGATGCTCCACATGCTGTTAATCACAGTATATAGTACTGATACATTAAATTCTGATATCCGTGATAGTTGAAAGCCTCCACTTTCGAAAGTCAAAGAAAAATTAATCTAAGGATGAAAATGTTCTCCTCTTTTCAACAGATTCGTGTTTCAGGTTTAATTTGTTCGTACCAAAAGTCTGACTGTGAGCTAAACAGCAGAGAGAGACAAGACTACAGTTATGATCTGGAGCCGCTCCATAAGATGGTGAATTATTAAAGAACTGTAGGACCAGTGTGAAAGCCCCCGTGGTGATTTTACTGGGATAAGTAGACATTTTATGATTCACAGCTGTAAGGCCTGCAGTCAAATAAAACTCATTTGGATGTGAAATCTCAAACACAGTAAGAGTCCGTGAAGTCGGTCGCTGATTCGGTTTCTAAGGACCTTTAACATGTCATGAAACTGTCCGTTTGAAAGTTGATGCTGTGATTGTGTGTTTTTGGACGCTGACAAGCCGAAATAATTCACCCAATGTAGTCCCAAAGATCGTAATGTCTACTTCTTATCTGCACCTTAGCCCAGTTCAGTTTCCCAACCACCACAAGGTTTTTGCCCCGTCCACAAGATCCATCCAGATCCAGACAAAACTTTCTGACCCGTCGCTGAAAACCTCAGGTGTTGTTGCCCTTTAGTTGAACCTCTGCAGTCAGTGCTGCCAGCCCTGCCAGCTGTGGAGACAACTGAAAAACTTAATTTGCAAATTCATTTGAAGCCTTTAATTGGGTACCACAAGCATGAGTAGAGGAGAAGTGTGACCGGTGTGCTCAAGACAGATGGCACCAGGGAAACAGAAATACATTTTCCTCAGGACCAAAGTGAGGCATTAGTGAGAGATACTTTATGCAAACTGTTTGTATTAATAAACTGAAATATTTTCAACTGGGCAGGAAACTTTATAAGAATAAGCTAAGAGTGTCTCCGTCCCAACTAGGGTTCGATTAAGTAACACCAATGGGCCACCGTGCACAATACCAAGATGTCAAAGGTTGGTCATTTCAAATAAGTTTAAGTATCTCAAAATCTGCCATGTGGTACCAAACATCCACAGCGGAAAAAAGGGGAAATGAAGGTCCTGAAACTAAAACTTTTTTTTTTTTTTTCTTTTGTTCATTTTTATTTATTTTTCTTATTTTCTTTTTGTTTTACTATTTTCTATTCATTTTTTTTCTTTTTCCCATTTTTTCCCTTTTGCTTTTTTTATTATTTTTTTTTTCCACTCTTTTTCCGGCTTTTTCTCCATTAACTCTTAATTTTTCGCCTTTTTTCATTTTCCTTTTCTTTTTATCTTTCTTTTTGCCTTTTCCCATTCTTTTTTTTTTGTCTTTTTCCCTTTTGTCTTTTTTCTCTATTTTTTCTATTTTTTTCCTTTTCTGTATTTTATCTTATTTTTTGTCTTTTTTACATTTTCTTGTCATTTTTTCCTTTTTCTTTTAGTCTTTTCTTTTCCTTTTTCTTATTTATTTATTTATTTACTGTGGGCTAGTGCAAAAGGCTTTTTTTTTCTTTTTTTGTATCCTCCAGTAAAGCCCCTCCTGTCACTAACTTGGATATGCATTACTTAGGTTGTCTTCCTGCTAAGTAATGAAACAAACAAATCCTGCTAAAACCTGGTTTGTTAATACTTCGACTGTAGACATACTGCACCAATAGTACCTCCATGATAGTTTGCATTACTTTTAGCTTTAGCTGTGATAGTTTGCAAAGCATAGTGACCAACAAAACTAAGACAGTTTTGAAGTCATTTTGCTAAAGAAGAGAAAATAAAACACTAAATCCAGCCATTCCTGACAAACAAGATGAAAAACAAAGCTCCAAGGTCCTGTTTGAAAAGTTGTTGAGTCCATGCACAAATGTGATTGACACAACATGAAACCATCTTTCTCTGCGGTTTTGTCTCAGTGTGCAAAGACTTGACCTGAGAATTAGTTGGCTTCTTTGCATTCACCTGATCCTCCAGGTATACCTGCCTTACATCTTTGATTTTGGAGGTAAACGTCACAGAGGAGACCATCAGCTGTGTGTCATAATCTGAACCTACTTTAAAGCTGTTCTCTCTGCCAATTACCTCACAAACCCTGGGAAATGATACTGTCATCTGTTACAACCAGCATCGAGTCAATCTACCGTTCGATGAACAAACAAAACTTCACTTTTTTACATCTTTATTTGCACTCATGAGAATGATCTCAAAGGCAGGCTTTAATGAAAGGAAAGTCTTACATAAAGAGAGGATCTAGATATGAAAAGTAAATATGATCATTATGAGCAAAAGAAAAAAAAGTTTGTTTTTTCCCCTCGAGTCTATAAATGAAGACACAAATTAAGTCTGGAGTTGGTTGCGACTGTGCCATCCTGCTATTTGTGTTCCTTAATGACTTTCTAATTCCTCATCAGTGGGTAGCGAGCCTCCACAGCAGGCAGACAGGGAGCAGTGGCAGGGTGCCATACAGGAACAGGTGCTCCTCCATGTCGTGCTTATGCTGTCCGTAGGCCTCGGTTACATCCTGTTGGTTGATTTTAAATTGGGAGCGTTTCAGCGGGTTCACTGCGTACGCTCTCAGCCTCACATTTTCTGTTTTAACCTCCGAGTGCTTGTCTTTGACTCTGAATACTCAGTTATTTTTGGACTATGCCAACTTGGCTAGCTTTGTTTTTTAACACATTGGCAAGGTAGGCTGCCCCCATCATTAGTGAGCAGGGAGAGAAAGTAGGCCACGTTTAGCAGCTCTCACTGCAGAGACCTTTGAATGGTGACGCCAAGATTAGTGCTCCGATCCATAATAATGCTTTAACATACTAAAACTGTAGACTGCACCACCCTTACATTGTTTAGTATGCAACATTTGTTCAGTATTAATCAAGTGGTAAAACTGTTATGGTTCAAGTCCAGATCAGATTTTTTGCTGTTTTCAACCGAATTTTTAAGTTAGCGCTCACTTTGCTGAGAAGTTAAAGAAAAAAAGTCAATTTAAAAGTTTTTAAAACAGCACTTTGCTAGCTCAGGTTTGTATTTAGATACAAAGAATATACAGTGACTGACCTTTAAAAATACCATGTTTGACTGACACAATCGACACAACCTAATTTGGAGTCTTACGGATGTTGACCAACATGTATGGTTTGGTAGATGCACAGAGTAGAGCTGTATTAGACTCCAGTAGATCTTTCGTTTCTGTTCCCATCAGCTCTGTGGCGATGTAACAGTCATAGGAGTAACTCTGACTCTGAAGATCTTAACCCATCACTTCTTTTCATCACTGATTTTATTCCTAACATTTACACAAACGCAGTTTTTTTCTCATACGTTATACAAAATATTCTCAGTTCTCGCTATAATGTTTTACTTCTTATTAGTTGTAGTTCTAATTCAAAACAGGTTTGAGTTATGCAGCGTTCGAGTTACCGCGGAAGTCAGATGTCGGAGTTCCTAGCGTTTCAGTTACCAAGTCGGAAAAAAGCAAAATTGTAAAGTTTATTTTCACGCTTGCCTTATATTCGGACAAGGCAAGCGCTAAAATAACTTTCGTAGATTTAGGCATCTTGTTTCCGACTTTCCGAACTCAGGTGTGACGTCATTTTCAGCTCCGACCTCTGACTTCCGAGGTAACTCAAACGCAGCATTAGTTTTGGTCAAACAGTTTAACTCTCAGGGTCATGAACTAATATCTAGCTTTAACACAGTTTAAAGCCACTGTAAGGAGTTTTCATACCGTGTTGATTCTGGTGACCCCTGAGCACTAAATGCATCTTCCTTAACATCTCTCACAGGCTGTATTATCAACTACCTTTAAGACATGGCTCTTGTTAAAGTGTGCAATTACTGTGGAAGAAATGACATGAATAAATATCTGTACTGTACTATGTATAGATTTATAGGTAGATTAGCTAAATTGATGTCATGGTGGCAAAACTTCGTAAACTCTGATTTATCACCTTCAGTTAGCTCACATTAGAGTATCAGACGCACTCATTTAAAGGTACAGCTGGTAGAAATGGAAATATTTAGTGGTATCTTGTTGTCATACTCAAGATTAGAATAGCTCTCTTGTTCACCCCCGTCATCGCTGAAGTGACCCGATAAAGGTCAAAACTCATATGTAAGTTTGTCCATTCTGGGCTCCTGTCAGACCAAGATAATAACAATAATAATAATAATAAATTTTATTTATGACGCGATTTGACAGATGTTCAAAGACGCCTTAGAAAGAAAAAGAAAAAATTAAATAAAATTAAAAAAAAAAAATTACAGAAAATTTTGAGACATAAAACCAACGATGTAAAAGGTTAAAAACGACACAATATGAGAAGACAATAAAAGAACAGTTCATAGGTTAAAAGCCAATTTAAAGGAGTGATGGTTCACAATATATTTAAGTCTTTTAACTCTAATTAGAACATAATTATGGATCTAACTTTTGCTAATCCAGCTGCAGGATCAAGAAATTTATTCAAGAAAACAAAACTCCTTTTGCGTTTTAACTTCTCCCTGACAAACTTTACCAGCAGAGATCTAAACATAGACACTTCAGGCTGAGTGCCAAATATCAACTCGGCTTTTTTTAGTGGAAAACCTGCAGGCACTACATTCAGTATGAAATAACCCGTCTTGTCGCTGATAATCTCATTTTACTGTGAAGTTTATGAAGAGGCATCAATAAAAGAGTGACTCCTAAAATCAGTTAAAAGCTCCTCACAGTGTCTTTAACTTTCTAATTTCTTACTCCTCATAAGTCCTGTGTGTTTTATTCCTTCTTCCTCGCTCCTCTTTAAGTCTTCACTCTGGTCAATAATGACATCCAGGTCAGCCGTTTTTTTCCTTCATCTCCCTGGAATATTTTACAGGCTTGGCAAAAACACTGTTCAGGGATTATTTTGCTGCCAGACTCCAACGTACATAACAGTAAGAAATGCTTCTTTGCAAGACTGAGACTCGTGGAAGTCCGTCGAGACTGCAGGCGAGGGACTAATCAAGTTTACTTACAAGATTAGGAAGCAGAAGCATTTATTTACCTTGATCAGCTGTTGTCAGCTCTTCCCTCTTTATAGTGCGTTTTGCCTCTTTTATGAAGTCTCTTAAGGTTATTAATTGAAAATCAGATCGTGGAGGCGCTGGGATATGTTTGTGTTGATGACTAAAACCGAGCCTTGAATTACACCGATATTAAAAACTCATCAAATCTGCATATGTGGAGGCAAATGTGGTTTTACCAAAATGTAAATCTGGTTAACCCTTAAATCAAAACCAGCAGGATGAAGAATCTCATTTTTGAGGATTTGTTTCCAGCGATAGAACGATCTTTCTTCAAGTTAAGAGAGGATTACAATCCCCTGACGTTTTATTATTGCAAGAGTATGACAGAGCATTTGGTATATTTACATTTTTATTTAGCCAATTACATGAAGACAATACAGACACACAATTCAGGCGATGAGTTCACTTGCAGGGGAGAGGGGAGGGTGAGGAGAGTTTGAGGGGGTTAGGAGGGAGGCTGGTTTGAGAGTGAACATTCAACAATAAACAACAAAAATAGAGCAAAAGTAAATGTTTTATTGAAGGGTAAAGATGTTGTTTCCCCTCTTAGACAGGAGATTGATCAGATGTTCCTCCTGTGAGTGAAAAAAGGCAAATATGGATGTGAGGCCGTGTTGATTTTCTTCCTTTAAAATATCAGATAAAAAATTTGAGTAGTAAGGAATCAACCACCAAACAAGCAGCTAAGAGCATGCTCAAGGAAGTGTAGAAAATACCAGACTGAGAAGGTTGGTATTGACTGCATTGTAGGTCTTTATTGTCGCCATAACTTAAAAAATGTTGATTGGTCCTTTCACACCAGGAGCGTTTTTATCGTGGGATTATTTCAAACGTCAATATTTTTTTGTCCTGCGATATTGCGGCATTTATTTTTTCGTATCACGGTCAATTTTTCAAGTTTTTCAAGTTTTGCATACTGTGTTTCCACTTCTGACCAATCAGATTACGTGTTGTTGCAACATCTGATTCACCGGTATATCCAACATGGCCGACCGGCTGATTGTTTACGTGTCGGAGAACAGAGTGATTTTTGATAAAAGACACAAATATTACTAAGATAACAACCTGAAGGACAACTTGTGGAGAGTCATAGCGTCGGATTTCTCACATGATGATGGTTTGTGTGCTTTAACAGTTTGCTAAACGTCTTTGTTTCAACTTTCATCTGTGCTAAGTAACTTTAGCTCGTAAGCTAACCTGTTCAGATACAACATACCATATATATTTTCACTGTAAACTCAAACTCAATCGGTCTCGGTTGTTACCTTACATTTATGGATTATAGTTTAATGTTCTTATCTGGTTCTGGCCCTGACTCAGTACATGCTATCATGACAGACATCTCAACACTAGAGTCTGATCAGAACTGAAAACACTCAGTCTGCTGTTGTGTCAGTCTTCTCGCTTCCACCCAGGACGCGTCTTCCTCCCCCCCCAGAAAGTCGCAAAATCGCATCGGGCTTGATGTGTATAGTCAGGCTCGTCAAAATTCGCCTCTGAATATTTCGTAATTTCACATCGTATATTTGCGTCGTTCCCGGTGTGTAAGGACCTTTTAAAACCAACTCCCAAAGTGCTGCAATTTCCCATATTTGAAGCTTTAAACACTTTCAGATAATCAGAACATTTAAGAGAAGACAGAAAAACCACGAGTCCTTTCTTCACTCCTGCAACGTGTCGAATTCCTTCGAGGAAAACTGACTCGCACACACTTCGCTAAGTCTGTCGGCCATGACACCTCTCCTCCACCAAGCTGGTCAGATCACTCACAGCAACATAACAGCACACATCCACCGGGCCTCCTCTGATCTCACCCGGGAAGGAGACAACACTTTCATATCAACACCCTGTCATCTCTCGACGTGCCATCTCCCCCTTTGAAGGTACACTGGCATTGTTGCAGTTTCTCACATGTGAAACTCCGGCTTTTATCAGTCTGTTTTCTTGGGACCAGGAGGAGAGGAGTGGGAGATGAAGGAAGCGGTTTCGTTTTAACTCGGACCCACCAAAGTGGAAAGAAAACAGCGCGTTGACAGGCGTGTGAAAGGAGCACCCGCGGGTCAACCGGGGGAAGTCGTCACGAAGAGAGGGCTCAGCGGCGGTGGAGCAGGTATCACCGCTTGTGTACAAATCTAAAGACCGCTTTCTCGGGGCTGAAATAGATCACTGTCGGTCCGGATTTAATGTGAAACTTACTAACGCGCCACTGAAGAGTCTTAAGACACAAACTAGAGAGATTCACTCCTTGTCCCGAATTACCAGCCAGCTGTAAACTACAAGTCCCATCCCACAGCAGGAGGATCACTCCTCCCATTAGCCTTGGCAAAGTGCCGACTACAAATGCGAGAGCTGCGGTAGTCGGGAGGCCCAGTTGGGACAGGACCCTCTGTCACTCACGGCGACACATGTCATAAACTCATTGTCTCGCCATCAATCCGGGGACCTAACCACCTCCACAGCAGATGGAGGCCCAGCAGGAAGACAGGGGGCCGTGCCCTAAGCCTGTGCCCCACACAGAGTGCACACGGCAGGAGGACAAGGGGCCACAACTACGGGGGGAGCCCCTTACCCTGGACTGGACCTCCTGTGGATACACCTCTGGATGAAGTCCTAATGCTGTCCGTGATTAATTAGACAGAAATGTAAGTATGCAGAAGCTGCCCTGTGAGTAAGAAGTCTCATTTCAGGCCTGAATCCGGACTGTTTTAAAGTTTTAAACCATCGTTGGTCTCTGTTTTCTGTCAGCTGGAACTTTGCATCACATGATTAAAACCATAAAGGTCTAAAACCACAGCGAGCGAGTGCAGAGACCCCTCCCAAATTTAGAAGTGAAAATAGTGATAAATATGGTCTGCAAGGAGTAAAGATGTCTCGTCTCCCCTGAATGGGGATATGTAATGATATTCATAAAGAGACCACCTACCGGGGGCACAAGAAAAACTGTTCCTAAGCAACAACATACAAGCTCTTACAAGCTTCATCTTGGGAAATTTTGACCGGATTGGGATGCAAACAACAGAAAACCTTTAACTAGGCCACGTTACGAGTCTGCTCCCTATGGCTGAATATCTGGGTGTCTCGTCTGGCACAAATCCCTCGGCTAATGATACACACACTGCATCTCAAACAAGGAAACAATAAAGAGGGCGTAGACTGAAACAGATCTTCACCTTCCAAACTGTCTGAAACATCACGTTTGAGTCAATTGAGTCTTCACATTTTTAGCCTTTTTTTAAAGTGACTCTAAAACACGGGCCTAAACTAGAGGTCAAGCCGTGGTCAACCAAACCTCGTCGTTTCCTCTCTCCCTCCAGCACTCAAAATCCATTTCACATCATCACTTAATGAGGAAACTCTGACGGCTCAGGTGCATTAAAGAAGTTTGATGCCCATTTCATGTAATTAATTGCTGAGTCCTGGCCAAGAAGCCGCATCGTGGGATTACAGAATGTCAGAAAGGAAGAAAAAAGGCTGGAAGTATAAAATCTACCACTGAGGATGTGAGCTGTATGGACGATTGTATGATGTAAAGCCAAAGACTGCTGGTGTCAATGCACCACTTCTATCCAGCTGTCATCTGCACAGTTTGTGTTTAATGGCGATAGATTAAGCGGCGATTCTTTGCGCCGCGCTCAAATCTTAAGCGTGTTTTTCTATTATCCTTCTTATCCGAAAAACTGGCCTAAAAAAAACAATTACGGCTTCATAATGAGTGACGTTTGTTTCTTCCTTTCCTTAATTACAATTAATCAAAGTCTGCAGATGACTTAAAAGCGCCGCTCTGTGACGGGATCACGCAGGTCAACCAAAAAAAAGAAAGGAAATTCAAATCTTCTGGGTACAGCACTTCTAGGAAAGTGATCAAAGAGGAAAATAAAGCACACAGTTTTAAAATCCTGTGATGGACCCTCCTAAAAAATCTATCACTGCGTCTGCAAATCGGCGCTTTAAGGTGCAAACGTTAAAAATCCGTATTTTCAGCCGTCTATAGAAAGAGTAGAACTGCTCTCTCAATGCTGATCTGAATCAGGTTTTGCTGTCACTAATTGACTTCTCTGTGAGCAGTGTGGCTGAGCACTTCATCCTTTGCCATGTTTGAGAAAGAGGTCAGCAGAAAGGCTTCACTGCCCTCTAGTGGTGAAAAATCACTACCTCCGTCTGCTGCGTGTCAGGGTGCAGCAAAAAGAGTCGAGATGTGTGCATCAAGAGAAAAGTAAGGACACGTTTGCGTCGATAATAACGAGCTGTACCTGATGAGTGTGAGTTTGATGGAGCGCTTTTCAGGCGTTCGAGGTCTGGGAAGAACTGGGAGGTGGTCAGGCAGCTCTTCTTCAGGATCAGACTTAATATGAACATGAATTTATGAGAAAATCAGGACATCTCAAAGTGCAGCAGAGACATAGAAGTTCAAATCAGCAAGGCTACTTCGCATACCGGGTTAAATGTTGGTTCTGGTGGAGAGCCCGTTTCTTGGACTGGCTCCTCATCACGTTTGAACCTCTTGGAGGACGTTTCCGGTTCAGGAGAGTGAGGTCTCTTGGTGCTTGTCTCAGTCGCTGATTCCTGTGATCGAAAACATTTAAGTCACTTTTTTATGAAGAGTTGTCTTGGTTTGATTCTCTCTAGCAACACGAGATCTGCGCTTGCTATAAATAATTTGTAGTCCAGAAAGTATCTGCACCTAGAGCCAGTTTAGGCGCCATGATATCATCACAAGTTGTCATTTTACACCTACTTGTTCTGCATTTGCACTGAGATCCACATTAGACCAAAATATCTCGACAAAGTTCTTTCTCATCTACAAAAGCAGACGGTTCACCTCCTCAGCACTCGTCCTGTTTGCTTGTATCAGAGGTCGAGGACAGTCTTTTCCTTTTTGACCTGTTTGGCCTCCACTACAAGGCGCCATGTTGGAAATCCGTAATAGATTGTACACCATTTGGCTGTTTGTAGGTATCATCCACTTTCGGTCCACCCTCCGCAGATATATGACGGATACGATCGCCCCGTTTTCAGACATCTCATAAGTCTCTGAAAGACGACGGACTGCAGGAAGAGAAATCAGAAGGTTATTTATCAGATCTCATGGCGGTGCTGCTTTTATTTTGAGTATTTAAAAACAAACAAATAACCTACTGTGACTTTTGAGGGGTTCGAGCTCTTCCAATAAGTCGACTTTTCTGTATTTGAAATTCTCCATATTGAAGATAAGTCCAATAAGCCAGTGTGTGCTACGTCTTTAACAGACAGAAACAAATTATTAATGTTTGAAACACAGTTTACAACAATAAATCTGCTGAGTCTTAGAGACAGATATCAACTATACGTCAATAAAATAAGGATTAGATATCATGATTGGTCGCTCCCTGGCATGAAACATAAAGATAAAGTCACGTGTTCTTACTCTTCATCCCTTTTTCGTTCAGGGAAGGGTTTTATGTGAACGTGGACCCGAGAAAAAAGCACATTCCTCTCCAGAGTTCTCACCAGGAGTCTGATTTTAGACCTAAACAGGTTGACCCTGATGGAGCGAACAGAAAACATAACGCTCAGAAAGACAAAAAAAAAGCCGAACAGAAGCTGGAAATAAAATATTTAAGCTGTTTTCTCCCTCAAAGAGAACCACAGGCGTGAATAAGACGCGCTCTCGCCCCGAAGATGTGAGATACTCCACAAAAATGTCTACATTTGTTCCAGTTTCTCTCAAACTCGGCCTCACATGTTCGTTGCTCTGTGTACTCACCAGCCTGCATGCTTCTTCAGAGGTGACGTTAGTTCCAGCTTAATGAAATGCCTGGAAAAATAAGACACAGAACAATGGCGATAGACGGCACAAGGCTAGAAGTGTACTGCATTAATCATACTCGCTGTTACATCCGCCGTTGAAGGAATTCATGATCAATATCAGAAGCAGGAACCTTAACACAACTAAACAAAGGTGGAAAGCTTTTCTTTGTTGAGACATTTTCAAGGCGAAACCTCCGCTGACTTCTGCGTGCATCAGTTTTAGTGAAGTCGCTGTTAAATCAATACGCCTTTCTTAATCTGAAAACAGCCTCATTACTGATACTAAGTCTGTTCTTATGCTGCAGGAGCTTCAAATTGGGTCATCTGAGTAAATCAGATCAAGAGTTTCAGTCAAAACTGGAAAAAGTGATCAGGAATTACACGTTACAACAAGTGCAAAAGAAAGTACAGCACACACACACACACGTCTAATACGGATTCAAATCTCCAACCATCAATTTCTTACACCACTTGAACATGCTGAAGGCCACGTTTTCAATTAGAAGTAGCAAACCCAAGTGTCAAAGTCAATAAAAACGACATTATTTAACCGTTATATTGGGTACAAACTCAATCGTCTATTGTCTGCACACAATAAAAAATAACCAAACCCACAATAATTCCAGCAGATTGCAAAAGTTTGTTTTATGCATCAATTACACAACAGGCACCGGCATCTGGAGATTCATGCAAAACAAAAACATGAAAACCAAAACCATATCAGCTCAGATTTGACAGATTTCCAGAGTTTCTTTAGAGCTAAAAATCACACAAAATAAACAGCTTTACCAAATCATATCATACATTCAAGTCCATATAACACAGACTAACAAACACAAACCAACACATAAATTGTACACCATGTGCTTCAAGTCAATTGATGAGCATAATACGAGATGAGGTAGAGGAATAAAAATGTTTTAAACTCTTTTATAGGGTTTGCTTTTATTACAGCCAAATCCATACAGATCTTAATTTAAGGTAAAGATGATATAAAATCTAAAATCTCATACATGTATGTTACAAAATTATCAAGTACTACAGTAAAACCTATGTCTATTTGAGATATTTAACATAAAAAGTCACAAAAACAACTTCAAAATCCATATTCAAAAAAGTATCAAGTAGATATCTGTGTTCCTCAAACTTCATGACACATACTTGTACTGATCGATAAAGTCTGCAGTTTCAAACAGTTTGGTCCACTTCTCCTTCCCCTCCTGGATACCTTCACAGATTTCATATCCTGTGAATGAGGAGGACAAACGTGTTAAAGCCTGAGCTTTAAAACTGGAGTTAAAAGGTCTGAGCTGAGTGACCGCGTACCTCTCTTGATCTCCTCCATTATAACGGTCAAAGTGGAGAAAGACACGCTGCAGGTGGAGTTCTGCTGTGGGTACGCAGGGGTGATAACGGGCATGAGGTGGTAGCGGTCGCCTCGGTTGACCTGGAAATACAGATGAAGACAGGACTGTCAGTGTTTCAGCTTTCAGGAACATGACTGACATGATTTTACATTAGCAGCTGGTAAAAATCCTGCAGAGGACTTACTGTGGGGTTCCAAACAGGGAAACCGAGCCCACACTCTACTCGTGGCTTTAATTCAACAGGGATCGGCCACTGCCTGAGAGAAAACACAAGAACAGATCTCACATCATGATCATTTTTATTATCTTAAAGGGGACGATAAAAATGAATCAACTCACCACATATTGTAGACTTTGAAGAACTTAAACACTAAAGTGGACGCTGCAGCATTTGGGTACAGCTGACAGACTCTGGCTACCAGTATGGCCCATGAAACTCCACCCAGGAAGCCATACATGTTGGAGTAGATGCACCGTCCTGAGGAGAGAATAAAGGATGACAACAGGGTTTAATTTTTTACTTACTTTCCTAAATTGCTTTAGATTTTAATTCCACTTTTACTCAAAGCTCCTTTTAGTCTGAGTCAGTTTTTGGTTATTTTGGGGGTGCTGGAGCATCTTCGGGCGAAGGCATAGGACACCCTGGACAAGTCACCAGTTCATCGCAGGGCTGACATATAAAGACTAACAACCAGCCACACTCACATTCACACCTACGGGCAATTTGAAAGTGGCCAATTAACCTAACCCCACTCAGGCATGTTTTTGGGATGTGGGAGGAAACTGACGTAAACCCACGCAGACACAGGGAGAACCTTCTTGACCTTCTTGCTGTGAGGTGACAGTGCTAACCACTACACCACTGTGCCGCCCCAATTGGGAGTGTTTCATGTGTAAATTGTAAAAAACTGGTCTGTTTCCCTCACACCCATTTCAGGCCTTAAAAATCATGATACATAAATAATCGATCTTGTCAGTGATGGTCTTGATGGCTTTTGTATATTAATGAAAAGCATCAATGTGAATTTCAGTCTATTTTAAAGAAAGTTCCCTCACTACATGAACGCTCGTAGAGGGGTTTCACTTCAATCACTGCTGTAAATACCGTTAAAATGTGCAGCTATGTAAATGAAATCTAAAAAATAGGATTTGGTTTTGAACGTGTGAATACATTCTTCAGGTTTAAGTGCACATTAAAGTGTACGACAAAGTGCATTAAGCTTCCACTTCCAAATGAAATTATTTCAGAGGCGGCAAGCCTATGAGCCCATTAAGCAAAGACCAACACTTAAATAATAATAACAAGACAGCATGAACAATGGTTTAAGTGTTCCGGCTCATAATAGACATCCTCTTTATTCAAACTATAAAGCCCAGCATCATGTGATTGTGTTACTCACGGTTTGCCCACAACTTGATGGCTCTCAGAGTCAGTCTGAAGTTAGAAACATCTGGCACGTTCCTAAGAATCTCCTCTGAGACTCTAAAGCCTTTAAAAAAAAAAAGGAGAGAAAAGATTTATGCAGAATGTCAAGCAAACGAAAACAGAGTCAGGTTCTGACTTCTACCTATGCTTACCGTTGAGACTCCTGACACACCGTGTATCAAGACCCACAATTATATCGTCATCAAGGAGGTTTATGTTTGCAGGGACGCTCTTCAGGCGCACCACGGCAAAAACCAAGTCGATCTAAACATCGATGAAGACACAAAGGAGGCACAAATGCATGTAAACAAAACCTGTAAATGAAGGAGTACAACAGGTATGTGTTTTCATTTCTCTAACTTTACCTCAATCCTCTCGTAGGTGAGTTTGATCAGCGGGACAAACGCCTCTTCAACGGCCTGAAGAAACATCTTTACGTCACTAATAATGAGTGATTCGTGCGCACAGATTCATTCACAGTCAATCATAGGCCGTACCTTTAAGCCTCTGACCTTTTTATGAGATTTAAGCTTCTCATAAAAGGAGGTGAAGAAGTCTTTCCTCTCCAGAAATCCAGGGCCAACACAGAGGATGTCAATATCAGCACCTGTGAAAGCAGCAGACGAAGCCTCTCCTGAAATTATGTAACCCCCCTTTTATCGTTCCATATTTAAGATGAGAGACTTCACACACCTTTGGCATGCACTCCCAGATGATAGGAGCCAAATGGGAAAATCTTGCCCCCGACATCTGTTCGTAATACATCAGACAAGTTCTGAAATTAGAAAACAAGTTACGCTTAAAATACACGATCAATGCAGGAGGAAGTTTTCAGTGTCGCATTTTGAAACAACAAAAAGACGTCTTACCATTTCTTCACAGATCTCTGTCAGCCACTCTCTGTAGAGTGACTCCAAGTTTTTGACAACGCTCTTCCTGCAAATACGACATGAGGAGCAGATGAATTAAATGCATTCGTTTATCAAAATTTGTCTCTTTTCTTGCTGTGAAAACCAATCCGGGTAAAAGGCACAAAAGCATTGTACACTCAGTCAAACCTCCATGCTGTTTTTTTAAGATGTGTCCCACCTGTGCAGGTGCTTGGACTCGGTCTCAAATATTCCACATGATTTCATCTCATCCAGCATCTTTCCGGTCTGGAGCAGGTCATCCTCTTCAAACATGTCCTCATTTACAGGTGGAGTTAACCCACACCAGCGGGAGGTGTCTCGTAGTAGTGGGAGTAGAACTTGGCTCCGTATCTTAGTTGTTCGTCTGAAAAGTGACACTTGCGTGTTAGTTGCATAAGTGGTAACACTTTACAATAACCATGACTTATAAATGGTAAATAGACCATTTATAAATGGTAAGCAGGTAGTTTATTAATGTTTAATCATCATTTATAAAGAGCATATAGACCACTAATGGATTGTAAATTTTACCATTTTAGAAACCTAACCCGAACTTTTCAATAACCATCTAAGTAATGTTTATAGATAGTTTATTAACCACTTATTAATCATTTACAAAGTGCTACTGACACACATTTTAATCTAGATGTTTTACAACCAATATTTAAACCCTATATAAACCTTTAATCGATAGTCCATTAATAATGAATGAAAATTATTAATCATAATTTAATTGCTTGCAAATGGTAAAGTAACTACTAACTTACATGAATAAACTATCTATCTTCCATTCATAATTGGTCTATATGCTGTTTTTAAATGATTAAACATTAATAAACTATCTATTAACCATTTATAAATTACGGTTATTGTAAAGTGTTACGGCATAAGTTATAATGTAGACAGGACATATAAAAATACATAAGAAACCCTGACAGTTAGAAATCTGCAATAAAATGAGTCATGAAATGGACAAACATCAACTCAGTTGAAATCAAAACAACTGTTCCTCACTTTTACCTGTTTTAAAGCAAAAACAAAACAAAACATATTTCTGTACTTACGCAGACATTGGAGAGACAGGTCAGGGAAACGCTTGTTTTACTTTATCGAGTCAGAGATATACGTCTGGTCCTCTCAGTAACACGATGAGCTGAAATCAGGAGTGAGACCTACTAACCTTGGTCAGGTTTGAAAAAAAATAAAACAAATAGGTTCAAATAAAGCCTCAACTGGATGTTTATATTTCTAAAGGAACTGTTGCTAAGGAAGTCTACATATCAAAAGGCCTGTGCAGGTTTAATTAAGATAATTTAAGATAACTGAACTGCTTTTAAAATTCACTTTAAAGGTAACCTAAATCGAGCTGTTTACAATATAAGCTAATAACTAACAACTGCAGTCAAGTCAGTCGCACCTCGTTTTTTTTTCGTAGTCAACTCAACGCTTGAATTTTAAGTGCACATCTATTGGGATAACTACGGTAGACGCTCAGACTCCTGTGCAAGGAGGAGTAAAAGTGAATGGTTTTGTTCAGTTTTTATAGTTCCCCTATCTTAGCAGGAGTGTTAATCCATATTTTTTTTCTGTAGATCTTTATTGCCTTTTGTATCATATTTGATATATACTTTTATATGTACTTCTATCAATCAATATGATCAACAAATTACTAAAAAAAAAAACACCTTAATACAGCTCCAAAAAAAAATGAATTTTCTGGCCATAATTTGTGGTGTCAAACATTATAGGGTTAACTAGTGGTGAAATGTAGCTCAGAGTCCTCAAACACTAGAGGGCGCTTTAACCCAATGATAATTTACTCAAAAGCTGTCAGTTCACCCAGCATTAATCCACTCATACGGTCACTAATGAAAAGTCATCTCATAAGTGTCTATGTATTTCTCATTTCCAGCTCTAACTAAACTGTAGACTGTTTATAATGGTGGTGTGCTAAAAAATATTCAGGGCCAGTAAATAAATAAATAGATAAATAAATAAATGGTTTACCTCATCATCACATGAGTCATACACTGCAAAAACTATCAATTGAATCTAATTTAGAAAATGAGGTCTCGGTGTCTGTACAGATTTTGGTAGATAATTATGGCAAATGTGAAGCTTTTCCTTGACATAATGAAATGAAATGAAAGAAGCATTCTGATTGTCTTAACAAAAGGTATACTGATTAACCTGTTACAGGGAGCATTTTGATTGGTATAACAAAAAAAGCCATCTAATTAACTTCAGGTAGAAAGCCTTCTTATAGGCCAAGTAATAGGAATCTGTGATTCAACAGCAGGATGAGGGTGTGAAATGTGTCCTTCAGTTGCGGTGTGAATGCAGACAGGAAATATAGGATGCCTAACAGAGGAATGTGTCTTTATCTTGGAATGTGGTCAAAAAATGTCAGACTGCCCTCTGTGTAAAGGCCTACCTGAGTGAACAAGCTCTCTGTTTAGGGTCTCCATAGTGCTGTTAACTACTACATCAATCAATCAGTCTTTATTTATACAGCACTTTTCATACACAACCATGTAGCACAAAGTGCTTTACACAGAAGAAGGAATAAAAGACACAAAGAAAACCCCAAATCTAATCTATCTCTCTGTATTCCTCTCCAACCCAGCAGTGGCCTGGCAGCTGTCTAACATGAGTCTGGTCCTACCCAAGGTTTCTGCCTGTTAAAAGGAAGTTTTTCCTCACCACTGTCACTCATGTTAGATGAGATTGGCCAAATCTCATCTTAGGTTGGTCAGTGACTGTGGTCGGTTATTGAGGTCAGTTATTGTGGTCAGTTATTGTGGTCAGTTATTGTGGTCAGTTACTGTGGTCAGTTATTGTGGTCAGTTACTGTGGTCTGTTATTGTGGTCTGTTGTTGCTCTTTTTCTTTGGAAAGCATCTTGGGATGACGACTGTTGGGAATTGGTGCTATACAAATAAATTTGATTGATTGATTGATTGATTACTGCTCTAGTTTTATTTACACAAAGGATGTAAATAATATGACATGGGGCCAACAAACTGTAGTGAAGGATGTGAAAAGGTATTTAAAAAGTTGGCCTCATAGCAGGAATGTAGTAGTTACCTGTTTTATTGAGATTTTTTTATTTATTATTAATGACCTCTGTAAAATATCTTAAAGCCCACCAGAGTCCAGAGTCTAATCTAAAGTTACTGCATTGTGGTAAAATCAGTGTAATTGTTTGAAGATATTTTCATGATCTTGAAATGTTGAATAAATCTAAACTTTTTCACAAGACAACCCCTATCAGATAGAAGTCCTTTGAGTAAAAATATGTATCTACTTTAAACTGTAACGAACAATAACTGTGCGGTAACTACAGGCGACAGCGACGTTTCCGGGCAGAGTTCATTTTTCCAGAGAGCCGTGAACGCATCAGGAGAAATGAATTGAGGTGTTGAGAAGGACGATGAAAACAAAAATGGACATCGATCGAAAATAACCAGGTAAGGCTGCAAATTCATATCCTCATGTATGTTATCCATGAGTACAACTACATTATAGCGACAATGCAACAACTAAGATTGTATTTATCGACCGTACAGACTGACGTTTTGAACGCAGACTGCTAGTTCGGTTGCTAAGTTAGCTTCAGCAGCTTAGATACGACAGCTAGCGTTATTAGCTGTGTGTAACATTGACGCTACAAAAACTGTTCATTAAGGCTAACATCGTTGGCGGTACAAACTATCTTTTGTTGTTTTAAAGACAGTTGAATAAACGAGTTTAACGTTTATCGCAGCCGTCACTCCCCCTCCCGACCCTGTCAGATATGTCGGTCAGCTGTTATTGTTATTGCTCTGTTACTATAACCGAACAGCAGCCATTATGTTATCTACAAACACAGAGATTATTGTATTATATTATATTATTATCAGTGAGGAATCAAATATCTGCGGTTAATACAGATATAGAGTCGACATAGTTGTAACTGTGGTGGTTATTGGATTCAGTTGATTCTTGAGTTGCGTTTAACGGCCTCAGGTCGGCGCTGTTATGTGTTGACTTGTATCCAAGGAGGTCAATTAAACAGCTTCATTCTGTTCAGTCTAATTCTAAATGGAGCACTGACCAGTTTCATTTTAACACCAAATCTGATATCTGATGATTATTTTAACCCTAGAACACTTTCACTACTTGTCATCAAAATATATCAAAATAGGACAATACAAGACAAATTAAAGTAGTTTTCTTTTATTTTTAACTGTGCAATGAGGGGATGCAACAAAATAATTGAAAGTAGGCATTCATTTTCAACAAAAAATTCCTAAAATATATATTTATATATATAAACTGTAAACTTAGTTCCTTTTCCACCCGTTCCTGGGGCCTGTGGTCAAGCGCAACAAGCACAGATTTAGAAAAATTACAATTAATCCAGAACAGAGCTGCAAGACTAGCACCGAACTGTGATAGAAGAACTAGCATCCACAAAATTCACATGACATCAGGCTGGTCATTGGTGAAAGAGAGGATTACTGTGTCAAATTTTAGTGTATAAAAGGCCAAATGTTTTGTTTAATCAATTGTTGTTCATAATTTCAACACAAGGCATGCATCAAATGGTTATTTCACACTTCCACTCATCAATGCTAACTCTGGACAGCATACTGTTGTGTTCAGAGGTATGAAAATATGGAATAGTCTTCCTTCTGTTATTACAAAGTTAACCAGTAAACATGTGCTATGACATACTCATCTGCTCAGTATGGACAAGGTATGTTGAAGTGGGGGCCATTTTTGTGAGTGTTATCCACAACCTTCTTTTATTTTTGTGAATTTCACAAAAGCGCATCCTTTTCCTCCAGGCTGTCTGGGTCAGACCTCTGACTGGCACCGCACAAGGAAACGTGAGGGGAGAAAAACAGAAGGACAGCACCATGGAGGCTCGCTTCGGTAATATCGTGTTTAGCTCCAAGTTTGACTCGGGTAACCTGGCTCGTGTGGAGAAGGTGGGGAAGGGCAGCAACAGCCCTTCTAGCGATGTAGCTCCGGCTGCGCCATCAGGGTCAAACGTCACCCCTGACTATGAGTTTAACGTGTGGACGCAACCCGACTGTGCCGGCACGGAACATGAGAATGGAAACAGGTGATAAAACTCTTGGAGTATACAAACAAACAGTTCATTCATATCTTTTATACTGTCTAAAAATCCTTGTTTTTGTGTTCCAGGTCATGGTTTTACTTCAGCGTGAGGGGTGCAGCACCTGGGAAGCTGCTGAAGATAAACGTGATGAACATGAACAACCAGAGGAAGCTCTACAGCCAGGGCATGGCTCCTCTTGTGCGCACCTTACCTGGCAAGAACCGATGGGAACGGATCCGGGACAGGCCCACAACTGAGGTTAAATACACGAACTCTGTGGCTAGAGAAGGAGTTTTGCTGTGAATCTTTGAATCCTGGCAGCTCTTAATATCATCCTTCCTTTTCTTCTCCAGATTGTAGATAACCAGTTCATACTGTCATTCACTCACCGGCTGTTGGAGGTGCGAGGGGCCACCACCTACTTCTCCTTCTGCTTCCCGTTCTCCTACACTGAGTGTCAGGAGATGCTGCAGCAGTTTGACAAAGGCTACTCCAACGCTGCTCAGCTCAGCCCGAGCAGGTACCAGGAGACTAAATTTAAAGTTATTTAAAGACTTTTATTTACAGTTTTCTTTGCCTAACTTGTAAAATTTCTGATTTTCATCTCATGACTGATCTACCTGTCAGCGCTCCGGATACCGTGTATTACCACAGGGAGCTGCTATGCAAATCCCTGGATGGAAACAGGGTGGACCTGCTCACTGTGACCAACTGCAGTGGGATGCTGGAGGAGAGAGAACCGCGTCTGCCGAATCTGTTTCCCGACACCAACACTCCAAGGCCGCACCGCTTCCCCGGCAAAAGGGTGAACACACTCGTCTTATCCAACTTTACTAGATTTGAACGATGACTTTGAGCTGATGTGGATTTACAGGATAAATCAAAACACTGACGCTGACTCCGGTTCCTCATGTGCGTTTGCAGGTGTTTTTTCTCAGCAGTCGAGTGCACCCCGGGGAGACGCCGTCGTCCTTTGTGTTTAACGGTTTCCTCAACTTTATCCTGAGGAGAGACGACCCTCGTGCTCACGTGCTCCGAAACATGTTTGTGTTTAAGCTTATTCCCATGCTCAACCCAGACGGTGTCGTTCGGGGACACTACAGGTGAGAGTTTTGCAAGTTCAGTCGTCACTGTTTCCATAATTTAAGAAACACAACTTACCTCTAAAACCATCTAGTGGTACAGAGGGTTCTGTTTGTTTGTAAAAGAGCTGGAAATAAGACATATTAAGACGTCTGTAGGCTGCACTTGGTTATTTATAGAGTATACAGAGAACGCTGCCAAGAGATCAGTGTTTTAACAGAGGAAACATGCTCCTTACTCTTACATCACTGAAGCGGTTTATTCCTCGTTCATGTGACATGAGAAAGAGCATCGCTTTAATCACATCAAACACACTCCTTGCTTCAAGACAGTAGACGAGTCAAAGGTCAAATGTCACCTGCTGGTTAAACCTGTGACTCAGGTCTGCGCCTGTATGAGGGGTACCAGTGAATCTGCTCTGTAGGGCGGAGTATGCCGCTTCCTCCATGTAGACTGATTCTACAGCTAAAGTGTGTTAAAGGGACATTCCAGCGTAAAATTAATTTAGAGTCAAACAAACTGTAACACCGAGTTAGACACCCCCTCGAGAGGTGAATTTTGTCAACTGCTTGCTTCAACTTCATCAACAGGACATATAGGGTCCCAGCCATAGTACTAGCCACCAAACATCTTTTTACCTTTGCCAAATTTCTTTCGCGGAGTTTCGCAGCTCAAGGAAGAACATTTATGATCATTTCTTCATGGAAATACAATCAGACTGAGATGCTAAGGCAGAAGAACTACTGTGTCTGCAGTGAAAAATGATTAATATGATGATTATTACTTCAAGGAAATGATAAAGTTATGATCATAAATGTTCTTCCTTGAGCTGCGTATCCCCGCTGCAGTCGATGGACTCGTCCGAAGTGTTCCTACAAACAAGCCACAGGCCAGAATATCCCTTTTAAGTGGTCTCTGCTGTCGTCAGATGCTGAAATCTGTGTTTGTCTCTTTTGTAGGACCGACTCCAGAGGTGTGAACTTGAACAGGCAGTACCTGAACCCAAGCCCTGAGCTGCACCCTTCTATCTATGCAGCCAAAGCACTGCTGCTCTACCACCACACACACAACCGGCTTCACAGCGCACAGCCAAGCACTCACTGTAACCGCCCCCCACGTACCCGGACGCCTCCCCTCAACATCAAACTCTCCAATCAGCATCCGCCTCCCTCCTACACCGCCCTCGAAGTCAGCTTGAATCAACGCAACGCAGAGATAGATGCGATTCCTGCGCTGCCAGAGGTTCCCATGGTAACAGAGGAGAATGTTTGGGTCACCACAGATATGGGGAAGGCGGATGAGAACAGCTCATCGAGCTCCTCGGAGACTGTAGCACCTGTTAATGTGGAGGTTATCGTATCAGAGACTGTAGCACCTGTTAATGTGGAGGTAACGATACCAGAGGAGGAGGAACAGGAAATGATTCCACCCCAGGAGGGGGGCGTGGCTTATTATGTGGACTTGCATGGCCACGCCTCTAAACGGGGATGCTTCATGTATGGAAATAGCCTTCCAGATGAGAGCCAACAGGTAGATTTTGAGATTTTCTCGTTGAAGTAAGTTTTTCCTCTTCTCAGCATGAGAAACTCAGCTCCCGTTCCTTCTCTCTCTGCAGGTGGAGAACATGTTGTACCCACGTCTGATCGCTGTGAACTCTGCTCACTTTGATTTCCTGGGCTGTAACTTCTCAGAGAAGAACATGTACGCACGCGACAAGAGAGACGGCCAGTCTAAAGAAGGCAGCGGGCGGGTGGCCATGCACAAAGCTATCGGGCTGCTTCACAGGTCAGATTTGAACGGTCTTACCGAGTGACTTTAGGGGGGCTGCAGAAGCTCTGGAGACTATGTGCACGCTTCTTCAAAAAGGCCAATTTTCAACATGTTTGTTTTAAATATATTTAAGTAAAGAGAGTTTGGCAAAACAAAAACTGACAGGTGGAATTCAGCTCTATTATTTTCTGATACATCATTTTCTGACAACTATGCACAGAATTATTCTCTTATTTCTTTTAAATTGTCATTTGTGTAAATGTTGAACATGCTCCTGCTCCCTGGTCTCCACCAGCTACACTTTGGAGTGCAACTACAACACAGGAAAAACCATGAACACCATCCCACCTGCTTGCCACGACAGCGGACGGGCAACCCCACCGCCTCCTCCATCATTCCCTCCGAAGTACACTCCAGAAATATTTGAACAGGTAGGCCGTTTTTTTGTACACGAGTTTTTGGCAGTTTTAGAATATTTTTTATTGAAAATTTCCACTGATCTTTAAAGGGAAACTGTAACACCGAGTTATACACCACCTCAAGAGATGAATTTTACTGACCACTTGCTTCTCTAGTTATACCAACTTAAGTAACGACCGCACAATAGCAATACACAGTGGTCTAAGGAGCCACACACTTACCTCAACCAAAACGCCCCTCTATAGCCACAAATAATGCTCAGAACAGCACCTAACTTCATCAACAGGACATATAGGGTCTCAGCCATAGTACTAGACACCAAACATCTTTGTAACTTTTGCCTAATTTCTTTAGTAAAGACACTAAACACAACTCACCTACTCTCTTCCAGCAGCGGCTTGTTTGTAGAGAGACCTCAGGCGAGTCCATTACGTACTGCAGCGGAGTTTCGCAGCTCAAGGAAGAACATTTAATGATCATTTCCTCATGAAAATGCAATCAGACCGAGACACTAAGGCAGAAGAACTACCACGTCTGCAGAGAAAATTGATTAATATGGTGATTATTACTTCAAGGAAATGATAAGGAAATGATCATAGATGTTCTTCCTTGAGCTGCGTCACCCCGCTGCAGTCAATGGACTTGCCCGAGGTCTCGCTACAAACAAGCGGCTGCTGGAAGAGAGTAGGTGAGTTAGGTGAGTTATGTTTAGTCTCTTTGCGAAAGGTAAAAAGATGTTTGGTGGCTAGTACTATGGCTGAGACCCTATATGTCCTGTTGATGAAGTTAGGTGCTGTTCTGAGCATTATTTGTGGCTATAGAGGGGGTTTTGGTTGAGGTTTGTTTATGGCTCCTCAGACCGCTCTGTATTGCTATCCTGCGGTCATTACTGAAGTTGGTATGACTAGAGAAGCAAGCGGTCAGCAACATTCATCTCTCGACGGGGTGTCTAACTCGGTGTTACGGTGGGGAGGTAATACCTAAGGTTCTCCTCTCATCAGGTTGGGCGTGCCGTTGCTGTCTCAGCCCTGGATATGGCAGAATGTAACCCCTGGCCTCGACTGGTGCTTTCTGAGCACAGCTGTCTGACCAACCTTCGAGCTTGGGTCCTCAAACACGTCCGCAACACCAAAGGCCTGAACACACATGTACACGCCCACCCTCCTGTAAGGATACACCACAATGGCAGCAGGGCGTCACCTCCAAAGAGCTTAAACAAGTAGGTTTACACATATCTGCAACTACTGTCGCCGTTCTCAGGGGTCATGTTTGGGTCACGGGTGTTTGAGTTGGTCTGGATCTTCTTTCCACAGCTGTCTGTCGGGGTCCGCGTCGGAGAACACCCTCAGTCGAGTTCGCTGCAACAGTCAGAGCAGCAGCAGCCAGACGCCCTCCCCGAAGATGCACAACTCCCCGAGCTTCACTTTTGGCTGCCCTCCGCCGCGGTCTCACACACAGCACAACAACACGCACACCGGCGGGCGTGGAGGCAACAAGACACTCGGGCCGGTCAGGGGTAAGACGATCTCTCGCCCATCTGCTTGTGTCGCTGGCTGGCATTATCCCTCGCCTTTGTGTGTGTGTGACCTCTGTTCCACTCCTGTCTCTCTAAATGACACAATTCCTGCGGTGAAGTTTCAGCTCCTTTGTCTCTTTCTACTTTTGAGCTCATAAAAAAACCTGACGGGCGATTGAAGCGTCAGTCTGTGTGACAGGTAGCTGCTGATTTGTAAAAGTAGTATTATCCCAGGTCAGAAGTGAGCTCCATTTTTAACACATGAACAAATATATTCCTGGATGTCTGCAGCCCTGAACGCCAGCATGTCCCCCGCATGACGTTAGCATGACTCTACCTGCTGCTGCTCTCTGTGTGTTTAAGTTTTATCATGATTTAAAATCCACAAGAGCTCTGTTCTAAGACAACAGTAAAAAATCTTTACACCTGCTCTCTACTTGGTCTTATTCGTCTTAGTACATGGCTCTTGTGATAAATCATCTTAACAGGTAGCCACTGTGTGTTTAAGAGTTTTATAGATTCTGATATCAGCACCGGAAATGCCTCCAGTAACAATTTAAATGCATTATCAGTGCGGAAGTAGAACAGGTAGTATTAATCTGGGTTAGCAATCAAACCTTGGCCTGAAATACCGCTTATATGTCGTGTCTTAGCTGTAGTGCAGTCGCCCACCACTAGACGGAGCTACTCCCAATTACGTAATAACAATCCCCTTCGATGTAAACAAGCAGATTGCATCTTGTTGTGCGATACTGACTGGCTCTCCTGATCTAAAACAAAGACATAAAGTTGTTTGTCGTAGGGCTGGGCGATAAACCGAAAAAAAAAAAAATTTCCTGAACTAATCCGATACTGATATCCGATATCAGTCCAATACTATGAATGAATGAATGAACTGTATACCTCGCCCTGTGAGTGAAGGCGTCAGGCTTGACATTAGCCTTGTTAAAAATAAGGTAACATTTTAATACAGATATGAATTTACTTAATATTATTTATTAACAAATAACAAACTGCACATTAGTACACTTCCATGTATTAAAAGAAAAAAAAGGGACTGGATCGGAACGCTCGATCGGCGTCATTCATCCGATATCCAATCCAGTGAATTTGTTAACATGAAAGACGATATTCGATCCAAATATAAGATCAGAGCATCCCTGGTATTTAGAGTGTTTTTTTAATGTGTCCTCACCATCAAAGTAGATGATTAATCAGTATTAATTTCTTCTAATGAGGTTACTGATATCTGAATCAGATAAAAGATGTTATTGGACATCTCTGGTATGTCTGTGTTTGCACACGATCCCCGCATGTTTCTTAGATGGTGCGTTTGTGTGTGTTTGTATGTGTCTCCCTCTCTCTGTAGACCCTAAGGCTCAGGAGAAAAGACGCCCCCCTCACCACCGCTCCATCCTACGGTCTCCCAGCAACAGCCACACACCCTCCCGCCCCCCACACTCACCCCCTTCCTCCTCCTCGTCCTCATCCTCCTCAGTGTGCGCAGCGGGTTCGTGTCCCCTCCCGGCCTCCGTCAGTATGACAGGTCTGTACTCCCTCCAGTCCCCCAGCCTCTCCACCCTGCTCCCCTCCCTGCAGGCCCTGCCTCGCCCCGGGCTGCTCTCCAAACTGAGCCCCCTGCTCCTGCAGGGCCTTCCGCCGGCCACCAACGCCCCGAGCGGGCCGACCCAGGACTGAATGTAGACTTACCTGTGAGGGCACGGGCATAAGTTATGTGTGTGTTTGTGTGTGTGTGTGTGTGTGTGAGTGTGTCTGACTGTGTGGGTGGCAGTGAGTGTTGGCTCTTAAAATCGAGTGCCAGACAAGAGCTTTTATCGACAGACTGTTTTTACAGAAACATAACACCTGTCTAGTACTCAGTAAAGGTCAAAATCGCTGTTTGATCTCGTGTGTGTGTGTGTGTGTGTGGGTCTGTGTGTGTGTGTGTGTGTGTGTAATATCATTGGTGCTAGCTTGAATAATGATTTTTTTCTCTTCAGCACATACACTTTCAATGAAAACCTTGTATCCACAGTGTTAGCACCTTAGTTCAGATAACACACAGGGCAAGTTTTCCCCACATCCCGGCTATGACTGACATGTGTATTCGCTTTATGTTCTGTGCCCGTCACAGTGGGGTACATGCAGATGTATGGAGTGTAAATGAATGTTGCAGTAACAAGAATTATGTGTCACACTCCATCGAGCTACTCAAGAAATAAGCTAAGAGGAAGAACCATGCTACTGTGCTTTTTTTACACTGCTACCTTTAGGTTTTAGTCGGAGCTGAGTTCGACTTCGTCTTTCATTTTTGAATCATTAATAAGTTTAATTTTGAAAAATTACAGAATAGTTACAGCGACGCCTTTCGCCTTTTTGTTTACTGTACGTACTCTTTGTAAGTTTTACTGTGCAGGCCGCAGGCAGAGACACAGAGTCACGTTTCAGCCAATCATTCCGTATATGTCATTTAGTTTTCCGTGACTAATGTGGCGTTTTAGTTACCTCGGAAGTCAGAGGTCAGAGCTTAAAATGACATCACACCCGAGTTCCCAGCGTTTCAGTTGCCAAGTCGGAAAAAAGCAAAATCAAGATGGCTACATGTACAAGAAATATTTTAGCGCTTGCCTTATATTTTGGACAAGGCAAGTGCTAAAATAATTTTGTAACCATCTTGTTTCAGGCCTTTTTTAGCGCTTGTCTTGTCCAAATATAGGCAAGCGCTAAATAATTCCGAGGTAACTCGAACGCAGCATTAAAGTCCTATTTTAAAGGCGTCGTGAGTAATAACTACGATATTTTGCAATAACAAACTATCAGATTATAGAACTTCTTACATTGATGAGGCAACGGGGACCTTCAAGCACAATACGCTGCAGTGCTTCATGATCAGTAAAAGCCTCCATCTGGCTGTTTTTTCTAATACTACACACTGCACCCTTAAAGGACTCTGTTTTTATGCTTGTGTGTAAGTCATGCCCTCGATAGTTATTTCTCCTGCATCAATTTGGTCGTCAAGTTTCAGTCTACTGCCAGAAACTCAAAGCGGACCACCTCTGGTCTGAATCCTCCTGAGGAGTCGCTTTAAGTAGCTGTTTGCCAAGATGTAAGAACAGAAATAGGCTCTCTAAGAGGTTTTACTGACAGATATGAATTTTGATGTAAATAAAGTAGAAGCATTTTGTTAAAGTAGAAGGTTTCTATTATACCTCGTTATGTTTCATCAAAGTTATGACATTTCTATGACTATTTATTCAAACACATCTGCGTGTTTCATCTCGGCGAGCTAAAGTTAACACACTTTGTGGTGAGCAGAGGTGAGAAACTGTCCTCTCATCTTGGTTTTTTACGTAAACTTTATTTATTAATTGTGAAATTCTAGTATCTCGTCTGTAATTTGGTTCTGTGTGCTGACATGTAGGTCCTCGATGACGGTCTGTTTGCGAGCAGAGGTAGAGCTTGGAGAGCAGCAGATAGAGCAGATCATGAATCGATCGGCGGGGCAAACAGCCTCTGGATTATCGCTGTAGCTGTCATTTGTTTTAGCGCTGTGTAATGGTGTGCCTTGCTCTGGTGTCTGTTGTTGTAAGCAGTAGGTTTAGAAGGCTTTAACTAAACTTTGATTCTTATACTGATATAATTCTGTCGTGGGTCACCTTTCCTGCCACCTGCTTCACGCTTGAATTGGTAAACCTTCCCCTCCTGAGATGTAACGGAGAGGGAAAACGAGGATAAGATCATTATATTTTGGTATCTTTTTAAAGGGATATTCCGGTGTCAAATTAATTTAGGGTCAAACACACAGTAACACCGAGTTAGACACCCCCTCCAGAGATGAATGTTGCAGACCGCTTGCTTCTCTAGTTATACCAACTTTAGTAACGACCGCACGACAGCAATACACAGCTGTCTGAAGAGCCATAAACAAACCTCAACCAACCAGTGCTCGATTAATTTCCACTGTTATGCAGATGACACCCAGTTATACTTATCCATGAAACCAGAAGAAACAAATCAGGTTACCAAATTAGAAGCTTGTCTCAAAGATATAAAATCCTGGATGACCAATAACTTTCTGATGCTCAACTCAGACAAAACTGAAGTTCTTGTCCTCGGTCCTAAACACCGTAGGTTGGTTTTTGATAATTCATCAAACAATGAGCGTGGTCTAGACCTGCTCTTGTTCTTTGAAAAGCATCTTGGGATGATGACTGTTGTGAATTGGCGCTATATAAATAAAATCGGATTGACTGATTTATTTCAACCAAAACGCCACAAATAATGCTCAGAACAGCACCTAACTTCATCAACAGGACATATAGGGTCACAGCCATAGTACTAGCCACCAAACATCTTTTTAACTTTGCCTTAAACACAACTCACCTACTCTCTTCCAGCAGCCACTTGTTTGTAGCCGGACCTCAGGCCAGTCCATTACTGACTACAGTGGAGTTTCGCAGCTCAAGGAAGAACATTTATGATCATTTCTTCATGAAAATACAATCAGACCGAGACGCTAAAGCAGAAGAACTACATTGCAAAATGATTAATATGGTGATTATTACTTCAAGGAAATGATAAAGAAATTAGGCAATGGCGTTTTGGTTGAGGTTTGTGTGTAGTTCCATAGACTGCTGTGTATTGCTATTGTGCGGTCGTGACTAAAGTTGGTATAACTAGAGAAGTAAGCGATCGGCAACATTCATCTCTGGAGGGGGTGTCTAACTCGGTGTTACTGTGTGTTCGACCCTAAATTAATTTGACACCGGAATATCCCTTTAAGTCACTGCAGCTAATGTTGGAAGTTAAAGGAGCACTTTGAGGACTTTCTGACAAAATTAGAATAAATAACTACCGATGTTGTTCCCATCCTCTCATACATAAATGTTTCCTATGTGGTATTATATCCCTGAAGTAGAAGTGTCGGTCCGCGGAGAACAAATGTGACGGTCAGTTGGTGCTCTGGGGGCGTAAAAGTCTCACTTCCTGCTCCTTTAACATCACTCCACAATTATTTCCATGTAGCTCCTGCCTGCTGCGTTCGTCGCAGCGGGGAGGATGTTTATGAGCTTTCACTTTAGATCAAAGCCCTGAAATAAGGGGGGAGTGTACCGTACTGTACTCTACTTTATTCCGCTTTCTCTTGCTTCTCACTGTGAACTTGTTTTTCAGTTCTTGTCATTTTAAAAGCTTCTATTTGTCTTTATCCAGAGAGTGAAAAATAAGCTTAAGGTGAAAAACACACTGTATGCATAGTCACATTCTCACTGGATCTCTCTGCTTTCTGTTCCTTATGAGAATTGTGCCGTTTCCTCTAATGTGGTGCTAACCTTTGACCTTTTACCGGAGTACGGTTAAGTGTTTGTCTGTTACGAATATCATCCTCTTGAATGTGCTGCTGTCTTTTACCGCCTCTCTGTTTAACCTCTTTAAAGAATAAAACACTATCCCCTTGTGAAGAAACTCCTGTGTGCTGGTCATCTACTCTCTTTCTCTTGTGTGTGTGTGTGTGGCTGAAGCTGCTATCAAAACCTCTGATGTTTAGATTTTGAGAAACCATGGACCCATTTTTATTCTTTCGTTCACATTGATCAGACAGTTAGTTTGATTTATTGATTTAAACACATTTTTTAATTTGTTTTGTTGTTTTTTTTTTTTTCACCATCTCCATCCTTAAATGTTCTGTTTCTCATCTGTCATACGATCTCCTCCCTGTTTCTGTTTTTGTCTGTCCCCTCCATCTGGTCGACAGGCATCAGCTGCCCAGACTTTCAGTCAGGCGCACCCACTTCACCCAGTTGGTCCAGGAAGCCTCTCCCTGCGCGGGGCGGGCGCGTGGGGAGAGGGTGTCGAGCGATCACTCAACCCCCTGCAGAGGCTCATACAGAGGTTAGACTGTCTTGTTTGTATTTTTATACTTTGATAATTACTTTTACAATTAAAACTGTGTGTCTTTATCCATCACAGGCTGCTAAAAACTCGGGGCCTGAACACATCCTTTCATCCATCAAGTTTAGCAAGTGAGTCCAACACTTACAAGACAAGAACTCATGATAATGAAGATGCACATCCCTAATTTTGATGAGATATTTGTTCATCTCTAATCTCTTTTTTCCATCCAGATGTGAGCTACAGCCACCTCTGAGCCGTATCCCCATCCGCAGGGCGGGGTCAACCGATACCCCTCCCACACATCCCGGTAAAACCTCCTTCACCAGCATCAGTTCACTCGCACCTGGAGAAAAGGACAAATCAGCCACCAAGAAGGTGTTGAGGCTGCTCAAACCCGGCCTCCATCGACACCTAACACTGTCAGGCAAGTACAGCGTTATACACGGCGCTGTTACATAACCTCTTTTGGCCCAAAGACATTCAACTGACAAATAAAAGCACGAGTTCTGATAGGATTAGTGACAGAGCTTGCTTTGCAAAGTTGGTATCTTATCAGGGATTAGTTCGCTTTGCCTCTAGCGCCCTCAAAGTGAAACTTCCCTCTCATCCGGTTACAGATTTTTATAGTCACTCTTTGAGTTGTTCTCAAATGTGATGCAGACAATCCTCCACCAGTTTGTAGGTACTTTGATAGTCCCTAAACTTTATCTAGCATCATCATAGCGTTACAGGATGTTTAGTTCTGCATAGCTGCTACCCTCTGAGCATTTTTTGGTCTGAAAGAAGTCTAATAGACGTCTAAATGTAGCATAGACAACTGGTCTAAAATCAGGCTACCACAGGTCTAAAAATCAAAGTTTTTTAGACTAGCCGCCTAACAGAGGTCTAACTGTATATTGCTCAACGGCTATCATAATTATTTTGGTTTAGTACTTGGAAATCAGTTACGCAACTCCCAGCTGCTTTTTGAAATAAATAGTTATCAAATAATGGGTTAAAGTGCAACATCTGGACTCCATCTAAAAATATACAGAATCTAGACGCTTGAAATTGGGTCTAAAAAAAACAGACGTCGAGTAGCCATCTATCGCTCAGTGGGTATAATCGTGCTGGCACTGGTGTAACCTGCCCAAGGGTTCGAGGAATCAAAGTGAGTTCAAACAGAAGTGTTTTAGGCAGGATTTGAAAATGGAAAGAGACTCAAAATTAGGAATGTCTGGAGGGATGGAGTTCCAGAGGCAGAGGTGGCAGAGTGGCTGAAAGCTCCAATTCCCATGGTGGTCCTGTTGGCAGGTGGTGCAGTGAGGTGAATGGAAAAACACCAGAGTGTGTGGACCAGAATCTTAAAATTAGTGCAGTGTTTGTAGGACAGGAGTGAGGTGATAGATGGAGGGAGTTCTGGTGATGGTGCAAAGATGTTAAATCTTGAATCAAGATGTTAACTTTATGGAAGGTAGACAGATGATGAACAGAATAGGCCCCAAGACAGAACCCTGTGGAACACCAGTAGTGATTGGAAATGGCTACAATGGTGACTTTTCAGGTGACCTATAAGATTTGTTTTGTTTTACCTTGAGGACTTTTTTTCCCAAGCGTAGCTGGGCGCGCCCCGTGCCGAATCCGCGTAGAGGGCTCCGCGGCCGACCATAGCAGACGAGAGCTGTCGGAATGACGGGACATTTGATAGCATGGTAACATACCACCACTCTGACAATGAGAGACCAATGTTGGAATGGCGGGATGTCGGAACGGCGGTTGCCCCCCCGTCTGCCTCACAACTAATCAGCACGAAGGAGCAGCGTCCGCTTCACAACCAATCAGGTTGGGGGAAGCAGGGAATGGTTTTGTCAGTCAGTCAGTCAGAAAGAGCAGGCCACCCAAATAAATCTAAAAGGTTGACTACACAGACATAACAAAACACAGCGATATCATTATATTACCAAATGTCATCAATAACTAATAGCTCTAGACTGATATTAAAAGCTGTTTTGTAAATACACCACAAAAAAAAGATGCTTCTTTAACGGAATCCCGCCTCCCCTATATTTAAGACATCTGTGCTCCATCGTCAACCTTGTTTAAACATTTATAATTTCACTCCACAGGTGTATCTGGGAAAGAAGCTGCCATACACTTGGCCTCTAAAGCACTGAAGAAGAAGAGCAGCGACAGGAGTTTCAACTGCAAAGGGAGTCCCATCATAGAGACCACATCAGAGAAGGAAGAAACTCTACAACAGGTTATAACACACATGTGAACACACTCACTGTGTCCACTTACAAAGAAACTAAGAATGAAATGATACTGATCGCCAGGTTGTTTTTGCAGATCGAGGAAACTCCAGCAATGCCTCCTCATGACACTGTCAACATGCGAGAAACAGTGACACTGTGTGGGGAAGCTTAGGAACTACACTGAGGAGGATACTCCCGTATTCACACAAATGCAGGATTCCCGGGGGCATTTTAATGTGCAATACAATAAAACATTATCTATCCAGATATTGAAGATGTATGATATTTTAAACCAATGCAGTTCAACATGGTCAGACCTGCAGAAAGACTGTCTGCTAAATCCTGAGAGCGGTTTTACTGGAGCAGCTGGGGGCTAAGTGCCTTGCTCAATAATATCACAGCAGAAGGAGAAAAGAAAGAGGTCAAAACTTTCCAGCTGATCAATACTCTGTAGACTTGAAATAATCTTTAACATTTCACCCATCATCATCGTACCTCACACATATCCGTCTTTAAATTTCAGCTCACTCGCACCCAAACGGATGTTCAATGTACTCAGACCGACACTGTAATGCACTGATATGTATTTTCACACTCAGCCACTTCCACTATTGAATCATGTGGTTGACTCTCACTGAGACTGATGAGCACAGCAGCACCTTTATGACCTTCTGGTTTTCACTGAGTTTAGTCACAAACATTTGAGTGAAGTGTGTTTGTGATCCAGATACAACATAGGAGGGGAGGGGGGTTTGTGCTTTGCATTTTTACTGTGAAGGGTATTCACCTGCCATTGGACTTTTTCATAGTTGATTTTACACTGACCAAAAACAAAGTTAGCTGTAGTAGGCCTGGGCGATTTGGCCAAAAAGATGATCACGATATACTTTGTCATATTGTCCGATCTCGATTATTATCACGATTTTTTTTTTTTTTAACTGCCAGTTTTAAAGCATCTGTGCTTCAAACTAAAAAATAAATAGATAAATACTAAATAAGATATTAAATAACTTTTGACTCAAAGTCATGGCTGACATCTACTGCCCTCAGCTCCACGTTCGGTTACTCTGTTTACTTGTCCAGCAATTTACTGAAGTGAGCAGGAAAAGCTTGACTCTGATTGGCTGTTGTGATGCACATTTTCGTTTGATTAAGCAAATGAGCTCACAGCTGATCACGGTGATCGGACTGAAATTTATCCCGATCATATAATCGCCCAGTCCTAAACTGTAGTGCACACGTCACTGAATTCAACACAATTGAGCCATGTCTGGTAGGCCTATATGCTTTTCAACGTTTGAATTGTGCAAAAAGCTTTTAAACATTGCACAGTTGTGTACCTACATACAGCCCACAAAACACAACATCAACACAAAATTGATCAAAAGCCAAGAGCGGCGGCATCATGCAGCTTCTTTCTACCCTTTGGCTGCTATGTTTATTTAAGTCCCATATGAAATGATTTTCCATATATAGTGAAAGGCAGTTACACACTTGTCTCAATAGAGTACAGACCCAAAAGAAAAGATGTAAAGAGATGATTATAGGCAAAACTGTATCTAAAATATTCTTTAAACTACTTTTTTGCCAAGTCTAGTTGTCAATGTAGTTATTTTAAGTGATAAAACATGAGAAAAGTCCAAAAGGTTGGGAATTCCTTTCACACTCACGATGTCTGTATTGAATATTTTTCCTTGTCACATTCCTATAGAGATTTACTTCCCCAGCACATTCAAATGGAAACATATCTTACAAAAAATACTGTATATTCATAGGATATAGTACATATTTTGTGTAAGGATCTCCGTTTTCAAATGTTATAAGCATATCTTATACTTAGTTATATAATCTGATTTTGACCAAATTGTTTTAACTGTTACTGGATTAATACTGTGTTGGAACTCTAAATAAACTTGAAATATAAATACCATATCCAGAATCAACTTATTTGTTCCTCGTAGTAAAAACATGGTGAGAACTCAGTGTGTGCAGAATCAGATATGTCACAAGAAAACAAATGAGTTCAAACGTTTTAATTACAAAACAAATTTACTGTGCAATGGTACAAAGAAATTCATCTCTTCCAGAAAGGACTTGAAGTGGGGAATGTTGCCGTGCCCATGATGGTGGTACAAAGTCCAGTCCCATCTCACCTGTGAAGAGAGAAAAAGACTTGAAGCAGGTTTCACACTTTGGAAAGAGAGGTTGTTTTTCAGTAGCCTGGCTGGGAGGGACAATCAGAGACCGTGTTTCCACTGTTACCCGGACAACAGGGAAAGGCAGCCTCTGATTGGTCCATGTGTAGACGGTAACGTCTAACACATGCTGCGGGACTTTTCAAAGCCATGTTCATTCAGAACGCCGTTAATTCTGCAGTTGATTCTGCAAAGTTGGCAGAAATCGTTTATATCAGCAGAAGACGTCGGCTATAAACAATTTCTGCCGACTTTGCAGAGTCAACTGCAGAATTAAAGATATATAATTCTATATAAGATATATACGATTTTATAAAGACATATATATAAAGAGCAATAACTCAAAGGTGAGCGAAAACTGTATTTGTAACGCAAAAACTGTAATCTTGCTTTCACTTATAGATTTTCTACCATGTTTGGCAGTGCAAAGTTTCAAACAAGGTCATAGTGGCACATGGTTGGCAGAGCAAACACAAAGTGAAAAGATACCACTGCTAAACCGCGTCCGACAAACATTCATCGCCCTCACCTCTTCAATCATGTTGGCGAACTCTACTCCTGCTTCTTGGGGTTATTGACAGCCACGTAGTGATATAACACAACCAGCAGGAATAACGACACGCCAAGCATGTTGGCAAATATGGCCAGCTGCACGTCTGTCACCATTCTGGAAAAAAAAAAAAAAGAGACAAATGGTTATTGGTCAAAGTGAAAAAGCATCTTTAAGTAAGAGCAAAGGGCCTTAAAAGTGTTTCAGCTGTTTTTTCAAGCTGAATGCACCTGAAGTAAGGCTGTTTAAGTTTATCACGATATATTTTTTTCATATCAGTTGATATCGATATATGTCACAATATAAAAAATGAAATTTAACAGTGCTTATTGGTGGCATGTCTTTGTGTCTCCGATGTTTTGTCGTAAGGCGTTGCGCTATCGACTGCCGACTAAAGGATATTGACCATGTTTTATATTGATGTTACGGGAAAATAATTCTCGATATATATCTTTATCGCCCAGCCCTAATCTGAAGCTTTAAGGGAGGCATGGTGAAGAATATTAGTCTGATGCCAAATTGTATGATGAATAAGAAAAGCAAAATCCTAATCTAGCCTTCATCAAATTCCATGAGTTCATTTAATAAACAGTGGTGCACATTTGATTTTTGTGTCATTTATTTCCACTTCCTTTTACTGTATATCTACATTTAAATTTATTGAATCAGCACACTCTGTTTTATACTGACACAGGTAACCTTAGTGTGACTGTGACTTATATACATTAAGTTATCACACACAAATAATGTTTGCAGTAACTCTGCAAACCACTAATATGAGCAGTTTTTGCCCTTTACGCAGCAAAAATGTACAAAAATCCAACAAACGAAAACACATCTTACATCAGATAGTTTCAGGACAAGAATGTTGCTGAAGTAAAGAATGTAAAATAATTTATAAATAATCAGAATCACACGGACATCCTAAATGTTGATATAGATATAAATGTTCCTATTAGCTGTATTCATTGTAATGTAACTGCGCTACCTTAGCTATATGCTAACGAATGGGACCAACATCAATAAAGACACTCCGATAATAAAGAATGTTAATCAAGAACTCTTAAAGGACACGATGCGCATGTTGCAGTGATGTGCAATTAATCCTCTTACTTACATTGTCTCTGTTGTTGGGGTTTTTGCTCGGGGTTCAGGCGATATTCTCACCGCTGTGCAGCACAGGAAGAAAGCTGTTCTCTCTTCCGGTTTCAGCGGAAGGCCACGTCACGTTTTAAAGCGCAATAGAAGAAGCGGAAGTATGGCTTTACTCCGTGCTTATGTTTATTAATGTTAAATAAATTCTCTTTAGCTCCACCAGGCAGAAAAAAGGCTGTTTGATTGCATTAAAGATGTACTAGTACACATTAACAGATATTTAAGTGACATTTCTCTGTATTACAACACAGTGGAGAGAAGCTGAAAACTAGAAAGCAAGTCTCAAATGGCAGATTTATCATTTTTAATGTTATTGTTTTGTATTAATTGACATAATATTTAACAAAAAATACCAGAAACAAAATTGCTAATTTTCCCACATTTTTATCATACTATTCAATAATTCTTTTCATACTATAAATGACATTTTTATCATACTATTCAATAATTCTTTTCATACTATAAATGTCATTTTTATCATACTATAAACGAAATTTTTATCATACTATACTATGACATTTTTTTCATACTACATTATGACACTTCTTCCATACAACACTATGACATTTTTAACATACTATACTATGACATTTTAATCACACTACACTATTACATTTTTATCATACTATACTATGATTTTTTAAACACATTACACTATGCCATCTTTAGCATACTATATAACATCACTTTTATTAATAATTCTATACAATGACATTTTTTATCATACATAATATCAAACTATTTTATACTTTGTATAGTATATCATCCATATTTCAGCAAAAGACACACCAATAAAGAAACCCAGGAAAACACTCCCCACCCTCACAGATCTCTAATAGGTCACATCATAGCAGGAGATATCAAAAATTTCCCTTAACACAAACCAAATGGGGTGTTTCCTTCCCTCAGTCTTTATAAAAATGTTTTTTTTCTCTCTCCTTATTTTTTATTTTGATGAAGTGATTCCTCCACGCCACATGCGGCGATGGTGAGCCGATGTTAGCTGGTCGCTCGCTGCCTGTGGGAGGGGCCAAATGTTTCGACATCGCCTCACCCGGCGTGAACGACAACGACCGAGCTAAATGGTGCTTCGACACGGCAGCTAACGTTTGGGATTTACATTTCCTCCAGTAAATTGATATATACATTTATGTTATTGTGGAGCCGGACTTTACCACCATGTCTCTCTACGAATATGTCACCCAGGAGCAGCTCGCGGGCTTCGACAAATATAAGGTATGATTAATTAACAGCCTGTTAGCAGTTAGCCGCTGAGCCGATGGTGTGCGCGTGGGTACGTGTGTAAGTGTGCGGGAGCGCGTGCAAGTGTGTAAGTGTGTGTATGTGTGAGTGTTTAACAGCTTACATATCTGTCACGATCTGCAGGGTGATTCCCTTTGAATGAGTAAAGTGAGACATAATTAACGGACTGTACACCGAGTGATGGTCAGATTATCTTCAAAAATAAAAGCACGACGAAGGAACGCTATAGTTTCATCTAACCCTAGTTTGTAATTCATTAATGTATTTTATATAATAGTAATAATAATAATAGCTTTATTTGTATAGCACTTTTCAAAACAGAAACAACAACAAAAAATTAAAAAATGAGACCATGGAGAAAAAGAGAAAACATAATATTGTTAAGAAAGAAAATGCAATTGAAAGGGGGGGTCAAGAGCGGAAACAAGATAGGAAATATAAAAGGCAATCTCAACAATGATAATAAAGTCATTGCAGGTAATAAACTGATAATCATTGTAGTGATAAAATAGAGCAACAGAAATTAACAAGAGATAAACAATAAACAGCTTAAAAGGTCCCCATAGAAACAGAAGTTTACAAAGTGCTTTGACATGTTCTTGTGTCTTTGAGTGTTTTTAAAAGCGCTGTACAAATAAAATGATTTATAATTATTATTATATAGTCATAGAGCACATGGAGAAAGACAGATACAAACAAAAAAGCTCAGTCAAAACAGAATTTAAGGGCCATTTTAATGTCATGAGGAACCCAGACAATACAAGAACCATGCAACATAATGAGATAATGAGACCATGAGGACCAAAATATAAACACGAAATAGTTAAGAATAAAGAAAATGCAATTAAAAAGGGAAACAGGATAGTAAATATAAAAGGCAATATCAACAATGATAATAAGATAATAACAGGTAATACTGATAATAATTGTAATGATAAAATAGAGCAACAGAAATGAGCAAGAGATAAAACAATAAAAGACCTAAAAGGTTAATGAAGAAAAGAGTACAAGGATAACAAAGCTAAAATGATTTAATGTTTATTTTAACTGTACAGTAGGTCCTATAACTAAGTGTTTAGGCTGGGGACAACAATTATACTGGCATCAATGGGATGTATTTACTTAATGTACTGTAACACATGAAATAATGGTGTTTAAACACTAATTTAACAATGAAATGTTGTCCTAAACTATAGGTCCAGTGAGCAAAACAATACAGTGGACATTTCTATTCAATACATTAACATGTTATCACACCGTAGCAGGATAAATCAAAAATATTACGTCCAGTATGTACTTTATAATGGGAAAATGCAGCTATTCTGTGATGATTGATAAGGGAAACTGTGAAAAACTGTTATTTTTGTATTATTCTCAATATTTGTCCCAATTCATATCACAACTATAATGCATGAGTCAGACATGATAAATCGTTGTGCAAATATTGTTCAAGGTAATGCATATTTTGCTCCAGCGTTCTTTTATTTTGAAAAGATGTAACGGAAGTTACCTTCTACAATCTTGTTATTCACAGGGCACATCTAGCTAATGGTTAGCTAGCCACTCCTTGTGTGTACTGCAGTGCCTGGCAAAGAAATCAGGCTTTAATGCGCGTTTTTAGACACACCCGTTTGTTTTACTCTAAATGTAATAAAACAGTGTTCAAGTTTTCTCTTCATACTGAAACCACAGCATGAAGAAAAGTAGCTGCTGTAATTAATAAGTGAGGAGACTGCACTCAACTTGAACCAGGACACTGATGGATGATCCCAACAATGGGGAAATCCCTAGTATCACCGGTGTAAAAAAAATGCTGTTCAAAGGTTAAAACATACATAAGCAGTGTCATCCTCTCTACATGAAACACGAACCTTTGAGTGTTAAGTTAATGACCATGAACATGAGCTACAAGGAGCCTGTTGTCCTGTCAGAGAGCTGTGGAAAACAGCAGTAATATTTATCACACATCACAAGACATGTCAGTTAAAATAGAGTTGATGTCTTTTGATTCATTTTATCTTTGTTATGGTGTATGATATTAAGGTTCGATGTAAATAAAAGCAGTTACCTTCTCTTAGTCCTTAACCCTGGAACACTATCGCTAGAATTAGTAACACCATCACTATCGCTGGGTGATTTTTACCCGAAATAATATACCCAAGAAAAAGTTCTTGTTATCAAAATATGACGATCTATGACAAATTAAAGTAGTTTTCTTTTACTTTTAACTGTGCAATGTCCAAAGGGAGGGAAAAATGTGCAACAAAATAACTGAAATTAGGCATCCATGAACAAAAAATTACCCCCCTAAAATACATATATATAGAAACTGTAAACTTGGTTTCTTTTCCACTCATTCCTGGGGCATGTGAGTCTTCCCTCGTGAAGACTCAGGGTCCTTGGCACAATAACAGCTGCAGGAGAGAAAACCAAAACTCTATGAATTCCCTTGAAAATCACTACTTTGTGATAGTTATTCATAACCACTGCGCTAAATAAAGATAGCATGCAAATTCCAGGACTACTCTTATTTACCTTATTCCCTACATGCAGCTATCAAATCCACCCAAACCTACTTTACCCTCTGAAAGTCACCCGAACATGTTTTGGATCAGGGAAACAAATACGCCTTCAAAGATGTCAAAGGCAATGCTGACGCTACCCGAGGATCCATGATACTCAGACAAACGCAACATAATAAAAATCACGTAAACATGTTTGGTCGGGGCGATAGTGTTCTAGGGTTACGTCCCAAACAGCTTCTGAAGACGGTACCACCTCCTTTGATTATTGCGTGAAACTGCGCCCATGAGCTGTTTATCATGAGAGACCTTTTTCCAATAATTGCTTTTTAAGTGGCTCCATTCATGTCTCAGCTGCTGAGCCCGGAGCGTCAATGGCCGGAGAGGAGAGCACCGGGAGAATAGTGGATTTCTTCAACACACTGTTTGTGCAGCGTTTCAACCGTACTGTTGGAAAGCACATGAGAGACGGAGACAGTTCCACCGATTATGTCTTTTTCATGCTGTAACAGTCCCTCCCTGTCTGTGTCTGACTCAACAGAGACTGCCAGGCTACCTTGGCGTTGTAATAACCCGTGCCTTAGTGTGCTTTTGTTTGCCACTGTGATGTTTGTACAAGGTGAGAGTGTGAGTTATGGTCACAGAGACTTTAATATGAGGAAGTGATGAATCATAGTGGTTGGGCGTGCTTGAACACCATCTTTCAACATCACTCCAAATCATGCTGGCTGTCTTCACCCACAGTGGACATCCTAAATCGAAACTATAGTCCATCATGCCCTCGTTGGGGATCAGTAGCAGGCGCGCACACGTTACTCAAGTGAGTGGATAAAGTGACACAGACTGGCATCAGGTTTGTTTGATATGCATGATAACAGGCGACCAAAATCACAAGTCATGTGAGGTGATGTGGAGCTCCTTATCCGTCATAGAAGAAGAAGAAGAATGAATAAAACAGGAGAAATGCAGATTTTTGCATGTGCTGAATCACGACTTGTCTTATTATCTCTTTGCAGTACAGCGCAGTGGACTCCAACCCCCTGTCCATCTACGTCATGCACCCTTTCTGGAACTTTGTAGTGAAGGTGAGAAAGACCTGTCAGGCCCTGTGTGTGTGTGTGTGTGTGTGTGTATGTGTGTGTGTATCCTTCCTTGTGTCCCTCAGCATGCATCATTCATGACGTTTCCAGCCGTCTGCTGTGATACAGTAACAAGTCCTCCTTATCCAACACCACCACCACCACCTCCTCCTCCTCCTCTTCTGTGTGTGTCAGAACACATCAGCCATTGATTGTTACACTTTGTTCTGGCCTCTGGAGATACTGTGCTGTCATCGATGCACTTATGTGTTCATGTGGCTGATAAAACACACGTGATTTTTTTTTTAAGAGGGGCTTCTTTGTGAACTGTATCCTGATGTCCTGACATGATTATCAGCATGTGAAGCAGCCTTTATTTTTCATGTTGTACCTGCTTGATAAACAGAAATCACATTCATGAAGAGCAACAATAGTAATATCTCCTTAAAGGGATATTCCTTAAATTAATTTAGGGTCAAACACACCGTAACACCGGGTTAGACACCCCCTCGAGAGATGAATGTTGCTGACTGCTTGCTTCTCTAGTTATACCAACTTAAGTTACGACCGCACCATAGCAATACACAAACGCCACTCTATAGTCACAAACAATGCTCAGAACAGCACCTATCTTCATCAACAGGACATATAGGGTCCCAGCCATAGTCATAGACACCAAACTTCTTATAACTTTGCCTAATTTCTTTAGCAAAGAGACTAAACACAACTCACCCTCTGCTGCGGGGTTTCACAGCTCAAGGAAGAACATTTAAGATAATTTCTTGATGGAAATGCAATCAGACTGAGACACTGAGGCAGAAGAACTACAACGTCTGCAGTGCAAAATGATTATTATGATGATTATTACGTCAAGGAAATGATAAAGATAATGATCATAAATGTTCTTCCTTGAGCTGCGTCACCCCACTGCAGTCAAAGATGGACTAGCTGCTGGAGGAGAGTAGGTGAGTTGTGTTTAGTCTCTTTGCTAAAGAAATTAGGCAAAGCTAAAAAGATGTTTGGTAACTAGTATAATAGCAGGGACCCTATATGTCCTGTTGATGAAGTTAGGTGCTGTTCTGAACATTATTTGTAGCTATAGAGTGGCGTCTTTGTTGAAGTTTGTTTACGGCTCCTCAGACCGCTGTGTATTGCTATCGTGCGGTTGTTACTAAAGTTGGTATAACTAGAGAAGCAAGCAGTCGGCAACATTCATCTCTCAAGGGGGTGTCTAACTCGGTGTTACGGTGTGTTTAACCCTACATTAATTTTACGCTGGAATATCCCTTTTAATAATTTAGCTAATGTCTTAATGATTATCTGTTTCCTCTCACTGTCTTTCCTTCTCAACAGTTTTTACCAACATGGCTGGCTCCAAACCTCATCACATTTACCGGCTTTATGTTCCTCGTGTTGAATTTCCTCATGTTGGCCTTCTTCGACTTCGACTTCACTGCTTCTGGTAGGTCCTACTTCCTTTACCCATGTGTAGTGTTTTGTGTAGGAGTCTCAAAGGAGCTGAAAAGAACCTGAGGCGTGTATTTTGGTGAGTTTGTTTACGAAAGCCAAAGTCCATGACCGAGAGTAACATGACTGCCAATTCTAGCTCAGGGTAATCACTAACCCGTTTCATTCTTCAGGCCCACACAGGCTCTACACACACAAATACACTATCCCTGGATCATAAACAAAGTGAAATAGGTATGATTAAAATGCAAACACAGCTGAGGTTTTGCTCTTACCTCTAGAAGCCGCTACAAAAACAGGCCAAAGTGTCCTCCAATGGATATATCCTTTCACCTGCTAATAAATGTAGACACAGTTGTTGTTCAGCTTCTTATTTTACAGAATAGAGATGTTTGTGACACTCTGAGAAACACTGACAAAGCAGAAATTTGTTCAGGCTAATCCATAGCTCCAGGGTGATCTTTTTTTGACTCTGTGGTATGCTGCATGTTTGTGTCACAGCTGCAGGCCAAGTACACGTGCCTAGCTGGGTCTGGGTTGCTGCAGGGATCTTCAACTTCTTGGCCTACACACTCGGTGAGTCCTGACCCCTGCGACCTCTGTGTGTTTATCTCTTCCTATGGAATGTATTCTGTTCAGCGGAGCTGTATTCCTGTCCAGTATGGAGGACGTGGGGGGGCTGTGGGTGAGAAGCAGACACTTGCTGCCAAGATGAACTTTATCTTATATCCTCTCTAAGAAAAGTTGCAGTGTTAGTGAGGACTGTATACCCTTTTATCGGCTAAAAAACAGTGTACCAAAATCAACAGGTTGTCAGAAGAAATATTAGTTAGATGCATGAAACTTTTAAAGTCAGGGAAAGTTGAAATAACTCGCTGAAATCGACACTCTTGTGACGTTTTTTTGCTTGTAGACTTTTATAAAGTTAATACTAATGTCTGGAATTGCTGCAGAGGCCACAGAAAAAGACTTTTTTAAACCCCCCAACTTCACATCAGTAACTGTACACTGACTCTTTGCATGCAGCCTTATAGTGTTAAAGGTATAGTCTGGCGTAAAATTAACTCTATAGCCACAAATAATGCTCAGAACAGCACCTAACTTCATCAAAAGTACATACAGGGTCCCGGCCATAGTACTTTGCCTTATTTCTGTAGCAAAGAGACTAAACACAACTCACCTACTCTCTTCCAGCAGCCACTTGTTTGTAGCGAGACCTCAGGCCAGTCCATAACAGACTGCAGCGGGGTGACGCAGCTCAAGGAAGAACATTTATGATCATTTCTTCATGGAAATACAATCAGACCGAGACGCTAAAGCAGAAGAACTACCGCGTCTGCAGTGCAAAATGATCAATATGGTAACTATGACTTCGAGGAAATGATAAAGAAATGATCATAAATGTTCTTCCTTGAGCTGTGTCACCCCGCTGCAGTCTGTTATGGACTGGCCTGAGATCTTGCTACAAACAAGAAGCCTTAAAGTGGACCAGAAGTCCTAAAGTGGACCCTAAATTAATTTTATGCCAGAATATCTCTTTAAAACATTACTGAAACAAAAGTTTGTTAATATAGTAGAGGTGGGCACATTCACTATGGTTCAAAAAAGTAAGAGATCAGCTCACATTGCCCCAATTTAGATGTTGAATTTCATGAAAAGAATATAAAAAGTTCACACAGTCAGGTTTGGTACATCCTGCTTTTTTCCTCAGTTGTTTATCACATGCCTGACTTATGTAAGGGGCAAAATCAGCAGAGGGGAAAAAAAAAAATTTACACTGTCTGTGAAGTGAAGCTCACACATGCACTATTAAAAACTTCTACAAAGTTTTCAACCCGACTCTGACCGGGGCTTTTCCTCAGTAAAAAGTCCTCTCTGAGTCAGGATGAGTGAGAGAGGAAACCCAACCGGGTGTTGGAGTTGATATCGTGTGATCGGTGCGCTCCCAACAGAGTCGAACGTAATGGGATGAGCAGATAATCCCAGCCATGATAAACATAAGAGTAAGTTTCACTGTGGTACTGATGAAATTTGGGAAAAGCTGATGAATATCTGTCAACAGTAGAAACGCGTACACTCCCTTGTTTTACTATTGAAACGGCCTCTAGGGAAACATTCCACGCTACATCCTGAAACGGCTTTAACTGACTGACAACATGTTTGCATGTTATTACTGTACACTGTCAGCATGGAGTCCATCCTCCGGTTTTCTCATGGCTGCTAGAGCTCTGGTCAGCTATAAATCAGAAGTGTTTGTTGAAGCTGCTAAAGGTAAATAAAGTTTGTTTTATACCTCATTTGTAATATTTTGTCTGAGCTTTTTCCGTCGGCCTCAAGTCGCCAAAAACTCAGTTAATGCAGATTTGATTAATCATGCATTAACAAGGATTTAGAAGAGCTGAATGGTTGAATTTATACTCAGTTAATGATTATGAATGTTTTAGGTATTTATGGGATATTGTGATGTTTATAGACACTGATATGACTGTGCCACACCCTCCTAGCGTCAGCCGCTGTGACAGATATTTACACCGCAGAGTGTGACAACAAGCACGAGGAATGTGTCACAAGAAGCCTCGAATAATAATTCCCTTTGAGTAATATCTGCGCTTCGAGTTTTTGCTTCCATGTGACGGCAGTTTTTTTTTAATCAACCGGCTAATTAACAAGCTGAACGGATTGATGAACCAAACGCCAGGGGGGGCAAACTAAAATTGACCTTCTCTGTAAGCTCACTAACAGCATCAATGTCAATTACTCGTAGATGCCCTCCAGTTTTTCTCAGCCGAATTTATTTCACTGTCACGTTACTTCTCTGTTTGTGTTTGTGTGGACTCGAACTCAGTGAACCGAGTCGGTCTGAAGCAGCGCCGATCATTTTGTGAAGCAGTAAAAAATTTTTAAAAAGTTTCCACATGACCTCTCTTAGGAGGATATTTGCAGAACGCTTCCATGTGTGAATGAACGAGTGAGCGCCGGTTCAGTTTCAGTGACAGTGAGCTCAGCGGTGGGAGGCAGGAATGTGGCTCCTCAGAGACTCTGCAGAGTTATGCGAGCATGGGCAGCAGCGTTGACTGAGTGAAAATAGGAAATCTTCTGCATGTCGTATGTTTATGTGCAGTGGTTCTGATGAATTACCTCTCTTTTTGTTCTAGATGGTGTTGACGGGAAACAGGCTCGTCGCACCAACTCCTCCACGCCACTGGGAGAGCTGTTCGACCACGGCCTAGACAGTTGGGCGTGCATCTTCTTCGTGGCCACCGTCTACTCCGTATTCGGGCGCGGGGATAGCGGCGTAGGCGTGGGCACGTTGTATTACATCCTGTGGGTGGTGCTGTTCTCTTTCATACTGTCACACTGGGAGAAATATAACACTGGCATCTTGTTCCTGCCCTGGGGGTACGACATCAGCCAAGTGGTGAGGACTCACATCAAAACACAGATGAGCCTGAATATGAAATAAGAGGAAATAATCTGCATGTTAAAAGTGGGGAAGGCAGGATCTGAGGAAGCGCCAGTTTTTTTGAGAAATCTTGAATGTAAACTCTCTCCCTCTCAACCAGTTTTCCCCTCAGCTCCACAAAAACAGCCCACAAACAGACGCTCCCTTCAGATCATTACAAATGGGGCCCAGTCAAGGTGAAAGTCAAAAGCATTGGTGCTACTGTAGATGCCAACAGACTACCAGCAAACACAATGTTTGCAGGCCTTCTACAACTAGGATAAAGTGACATAGTCCAGGACCCGAGGGAGGACAGTTTAGCGATGGCGCTACAACACGCTACAGCAGGTCCGTTTGACAAGAAACACTTCTGTTACAGACACTTGTCTTACTTTGTTAAAGCGGTTTACCTGTCCAGCAGAAAGGTTACAGGGTCACCAAGATCCCGAAGCATCCCCAATCGTGTATGCGTTATTGATGTTGGCCCGGCTTTTTAGCTCTTGTCCGGTCTACTTCCTTTTTAAGCGCCCGTTATTCCGCCAGAGTCTTTGGTATTTACTCTGTTTTCTTGCTTGTGTCGGCAGTCGTGGCCAATGGAGGAGTCAGACAATTTTCGGTACTTTCTGGTTGGTTTCTACTGTCCAATATTGTAGTATGCTAACAGGTTGGGGAGGTGGAGAAGGGCTTTGTTTACAGTCAGAAAGAGCGATGTTGTTATATTCCCAAATGTCATCAATGACTATTAGCTGTTGACTGATATTTAAAGCTTTTTTGTAAATACACCACAAAAAAAGATGCTTCTTTAATGGATTCCTGCCTATCCCACCTGTAGATGATAAGCTGTGACTCCTTGCCTTCTTTGGGTGGTGAGCTAGCTACCATCACCATGACAACAATCCCTTAAGATAACTCTGCGTATGTCATTACCTTCCAGACCATTTCCCTTGTCTACTTGGTCACTGCTGTGGTCGGGGTAGAAACATGGTACCAGCCAATCCTGTTCCATTTCCTGTACAGAGACCTCTTCACCTTTATGATCATTGGTAAGCTGTGATTGATCCCTCTGATCCTGTCATTGGATAGAGCAGCAACGATAACAAAATTCATTTTGGTTTCCAGCGTGTTCCTTCACTGTGACCTTACCCATGAGCCTCTTCAACGTCCACAAGTAAGCCAACCTTCAGACGCTTTCACTTTGTAATTCAGAAAAAGTTTAAAAACAAAGAGACCAGTTTAAAGAATTCAGTATTTTGTATTCCATGTTATTACATTTTTGACCTTTCTTTGTTTCAGAGGGTATCGCAACAACACACTGAAGCACAGCAGCCTGTACGAAGCCTTCCTGCCCTTCCTCTCTCCCGTCCTCCTCTTCATCCTGTCCACCACGTGGGTGATCTTCTCTCCAACCAACATCCTGGAGCAGCAGCCCAGAGTGTTCTACCTCATGGTCGGGACAGCCTTCGCCAACGTCACGGTGAGCATCTCCTACAATTTTGAGTTAGACACCCTGACGAGAGATAAATGTAACGACCGCCTGATAGCAACACAACTCACCTACTCTCTTCCAGCTGCCGCTTGTTTGTAGCGAGACCTCGGGACAGTCCATTACAGACTACAGCGGGGTGCCGCAGCTCAAGAAAGAACATTTATGAACTACCGGGTCTGCAGTGCAAAATGATTAATATGATGATTATTACTTAAAGGAAATGATAAAAAAATGATCATAAATGTTCTTCCTTGAGCTGCGGCACCCTGCTGTAGTCCGTAATGGACTGGCCTGAGGTCTCGCTGTGTTTAGTCTCTTCGCTAAAGAAATTAGGCAAAGTTAAAAAGATGTTTGGTGGCAAGGACCCTATATGTCCTGTTGATGAAGTTAGGTGCTGTTCTGAGCATTATTTTTTACTATAGAGTGGCATTTTGGTTGAGGTTTTTTTATGGCTCCTCAGACCACCGTGTATTGCTATCGTGCGGTCGTTTCTAAAGTTGGTATAACTAGAGAAGCAAGCGGTCGGCAACATTCATCTTTTGAGGAAGTGTCTAACTTGATCCTAAATTAATTTTACGCTGGAATATCCCTTTAATTTCAACGTCTGTTTCATCGTGTGTGAATCTCTGTCTTTATCCTCCAGTGTAAGCTGATCGTGTGTCAGATGAGTAACACACGTTGCCAGGCATTGAGCTGGCTGTTGCTGCCAATGTTGCCGGTGGTGTTGCTAGCGGTGACGGGGGTGGTCGGCAACGAGACGCTACTGCTTCATGTTTGGACGGCGGCGGTTGTACTAGCACACATACACTACGGCGTGTCGGTGGTAAGAGCACACACACAGGGTCTCTGCAGACATAAGGGGGGAGACGATCAGCTTTCATTGGCGTTGAATTGAATGTTTCGCTCTGTGAACCGCAGGTACAGCAGCTCAGCAGCCACTTCAACATCCTGGCCTTCTCCCTGAAGAAGCCCAACAGTGACTGACAGGAGGAGGAACGAATCGGCTTGAAAGCAGCGGAGGTCTAGGCCTCTCCTCTCCTCTGCTTATCGACACTTCACTCTCATCACCACGGAAACCGCATCCTCTCCTCTCCATCTCTGAGGACACTGCAAGTGGATCCGATCGTGGCCCCTTTTTTCCACTTTCCCCAAACAAACACACTCTCTCACACACACACACACACACACACACACTCACAAACACACATTTCTAACCAACCGAACTCTGGTCTCGGCGATGGAGGCGGGCCCAGGAGCTCTGGCCGCCGTCATTGGTGATTGGCTAACATGGTTGAGCCAATAAGGTGCAATTGTTTCCTACGGAAATGTGCTTCAGCCGCGAGGACAAGAGCCCTGAAGACACACGCAAACACATTATTCTGCTTTCGTGCAGACTTCTCGTGGCTTTTATTCCAAACGCAAACACAGCCACACACACAAACACACCCACACACTTGCATTCACACAGTATTATGAATGTATAATATGCCTTGGGGAATGGCCATTTAAGTTTTATGATATTATCAGGAATGCCTCAATTAGTGTTGTCTCGACCTCGACCTAACCTTGAAATTCTGGCGGGTAACATCCACATCTGTCCAGAGGTTCTCAGGTCAGTCAGCGTTTTATCATCAGATGATTTTCAGTTTGGAATCTCAGTGACGTTTGTTGATAGTTATTAATATTAATGTGTGTTTAGGGGGTTTGGGGCATTTTAATTTCAAACTGATATGAAAGTTTAAAAAAAAACGAATTAATTCTCCTGTGAAACTTTGTGAAGATTTCCCTCTAATTAGTACTAAACTCTGCTCTGTGGTGATGGCTATCAGGGGGGACAGAGTCGGATTTTGACCAAACCAGGGCGAGAAATGACCGGGCTGACCTTTTGAACCTAACTTTCCCTCCTCTCTGTCTGAGCACCGGCCTCTCGGCTCTCCCTTCCTTTCTGAGGTGTCGTGTCTTCATGCTGATTCGTCGGGTTTCTTTTACTCTTTTTTTTTATTTTATTTTTTTATACGCCTATTCTTTTTGTCTGCGTGTCGCTCAGTCGTGGTTTGCGGTTTCGTTGCGCGGCGCTTGAATGAAGAGTGTGTTCAAAACCCGTCAAAGGAGCGGACGCACTCTGAGGGAACAAGCGGCCGCACGGGACACCGCAAACGCCGCAACACCACACGGCGACACGCTACTCATCACACGCACACACACGTTATCACACCTTTTATACTGTCTGTCGGATATTTTCATGTTTGTCTTTTTTCAGTCTGTTAAACACTGTTCGTCTGCGTGATTCGAATATGAAGCGGAGGATGGATTTTCAGTTGTTGCAGTCTGGATTTCGGTTACTGATCAGACTTGTTTTCACTGCAGGGCCAAAGAAGGTTTGATGGATCATCTACGTCGTAACCCTGTCCGTCTGTCGGTGTGGTCGTAGTTTGAAAGGAAATAAGTTATTTTGAGTGTTTTGAAGACCCTGTTGGCCTTTCAGTTTCAATTTTTTAAACCTCTAGAGATTTTCTGGGTATGCTCACGACTTTCTTGATTCACGCTTGGGTGCAGCTTTACAAAGCTCTTGAATTTTAGCCCCTGATGTCTGGTTAGGTGCTTGTTTCTGTAAACCATCAGGTCTATTGACTGTGTATTACTACGGACGCCACGCCTCTACGCTCCTCACCAAGAAATGCGCACAACTAGTCCACAAGTCGAATAAATCTTACATTTTCTCTTATTGCACTTCCTCTCTTCTGCAGATAAGGAGCCATCATTGGTTACCAGAGCTGTCAATCAGCTGTCTTAACAAAGCCAGCATGATTGGAAGTATCTTAAACAGCAAAAACATCATCTGAGGTTTATTTTAAGAGTTGTGATGTAGCCGGTTAAATTAAATACTCGGGCTTAACATTTCATTAAAATCCGTGGCGTCCAATAAATACACAGTCAATGACCTCTCCAGAATGTGTGAATTAAGTCGTGAGTAATCATTGCTGGGAAAGCCCGTTCCTGCTTCATGAACAGCTGGTTTAATTGGGAGTTGGTCTGAATGTTCATCATCTCAGTAGGTTCCTACGGTTAACATGTGAAGCAGTAAACGGGACACTATAGATACCATGAAAAGAATGAAGTTCTGAGTTCATCTAACAATCATCTTGAAGTTTTCGAAGCAGCACTGAACATTTCGACCACAGCTTTGCGGCTGTCCCTGCAGTACGAATGTAACTGGGAGAAGCTATTTGAGATGCGAATCTACTGCCATTACACCCTGTAAAGAAGCTCACTCTGACTCGCCGTACTTCTGCCACTGGATGAAGCTCGTGTGCACATTTTAAAAGTCGGACGTATTTCTACTGAAGCCCCTCATCTGTGACTCTGAAAGAAAAGTAGTGATGTGAAAACAACTGTGACAGAGACTTTACTGTTTATCTGGTGAGTACGTGCACTGTCCGAGTGTGTGTACATCTGTGTGTACAAGCCTGTTAGTGTACTCTGTATGTGTGCATATCTGTGTAAATACATGTATTATTTCTGTAATTTTGATTTTTTTTTATTTTGAGTTATGAATGGGATTGTTTTCTGTCAGGCTGATTTCACCAAACATTTGCCCAGAGGGTGAAAATCAGCAGATTTATCATCAGCGACCGAGGCGCAGGAGACTGATTTTTTTTACTGTCACAGTTGATCTCTTTGTTTGGTCATTTTTAGGATTTGTTCTCAGTAAGAGGGGGACGGGCTCTGGGTGTGAAAACCTTCAACCTAGGCTGCCAACATTACAGACAATAGAAAATGTAACACAGGATCTCATTTCATATCACTTCAGCTGGGTAGGAAACTGTGCCATCTAATGAAACGTTTTTAAAAAAGAGGCAGATTAAATTATTTAATGAGTTAACTCTTATCCAGCTGCTATTAAATCTCATTAGTTTAATTACGATAAAAAAAAAATTACCTGCTAATTTTCTGGGCATTTATTTTGTAGTGTTCTCTTCAGCGTCACTCACCACTTTCTAGAAAACAGTCCTAATCCCCTCTGGATCACTGAACTGAGCTGCTGATATTGTGACTAAATTGTTTAAGCTGCCCTGGCAAACACAGCGGGGGGCTTCAGTGTGGCTATTTGTGATGTTGTATTTAACCTTTGAGAGAAAGGACTGTCCAGAAACAAATAAAAGAACATTTTCTTTAACCACTTTCAAGTGTGCCGCTCGAAAAACTTTATTTTTACGAGGTGAAGTTTCTTGGATTTCCACAAGAGAGCAGCAGAGAGAAGAAAGACCCTTTACAAAGACCCAAAATAAAGATGGGTTAAGACTTCGCAGCTTTTATCAAGTTACAGTGGAGAAGAAAAACGTCCTTTAACAGGCAGAAACCTCGAGCAGAACCAGACTTAACTGCTGAGACTGAGCTGGGTTTAGAGAAAGGATAGAGGGGGATGTGATGGACAGAGGTGAGAGTGATGCACTTACTTGAAGCAGATGGAAAAGCAGACAGGTCCACAGCAGGACAGGACGTTTTTTCTTCCTTAAAGAAACAGAAGAAAAGTTTATGCAAAAAAAAAAAATAAGTTTGACACTTCAGAGCAATGAAGAACTGCAGTGCATTAAGCATCCAGCAGGTGGAGCTGCAGAACAACACATGTTTCATCGCCTGCAGAAGTCCTCTGCTGTATGTCCATGCATTTCACCCTGAGGGGGTGAAAGTTTCTGCACATAACCAGTTTCTGCGGTAAAGGAACAGTTGGCATTTTTATGGTCTTCCTCTCAGTGTGAACAACATGTGCGCTGAACTTTACACCTGTGACTCATGAGGCTCTGCTCTGTTACAGACTTCATTAGTAATTGATTGTCTCCTCTGCCAAGAGCTTGTCTGGCACCAAAAGCTGGTGCCTGCGTTTGTTTTTATCATCTCCGCACTCAGGGAAACTCCTAAAACCACCGGGGCCCAGGAAGTTTTGGAAACAGAGGAGCTGAAAATCTCAGAGCACTAATCAATAAAGTCTTCCAGGAAACATGAAGGGGAGAAACAATAGAGCGTACTTGCCTTAGATGATGGCTTGTTTACGACTGGGTCAGTTACCTTGGATTGCAGAGGCCCGGCTTGGATCGGCCCCACATTGTGAACATGGAGGTGCTGAGTTGTGCCTGTCAAAACAGCTGGCAGCTGATCAGCGCGGCCGCTTATCTCCACTCGATCTTTTTCATGCAGAAATCTGACTCTGCTGAGCAATGATTCATCCAAACAATGAGCTCTGAGCGAGCCAGAGGTTTGCTCCTCCATTAAAGATGAGATCCAAGCCTTTGTCTGAAATCAGAAAACTATACAGAGAGTGTACACTTAAAAAAAACACAGAAACTTCTGCACAAAGATAGATAGATAGATAGATAGATAGATAGATAGATAGATAGATAGATAGATAGATAGATAGATAGATAGATAGATAGATAGATAGATAGATAGATAGATAGATAGATAGATAGATAGATAGATAGATAGATAGATAGATAGATAGATAGATAGGATGTGAAGAGAGTAGAAAGAATGAAAGAGATAAACATTGAAAAAGAGAGAAAGAAAGAAACAAATGAGAAAACAGAGTTTTAGGGACATAAAAAGATTTTAAAGGTAGCGGAAGAAAGAAAGAATGGAAAAAAAGGTCAAAGGGAAGAAAGAAAGAAAAAAGGTAAAAAGAAAGAAAGGGAGAAAGAAGAAAGAAAGAAAGAAAGAAAGAAAGAAAGAAAGAAAGAGCCAATTAAGAAATATAAAGGTTGAAAGACAGAAAAAAAGACTAAGCCAATCAAGAGATATGAAGAAAGAAAGAAAGAAAGAAAGATTGGGCCAATTAAGAGATATAAAGGTAGAGGGTAAGAAAGGTAGAAAGAAAGAAAGAAAGAAAGAAAGATTGAGCCAATTAAGAGATATAAAGAAAGGTAGAAAGATAGAAAGGCATAAAAATATCAAATGAAAAACAAAAGGAGGGAGAAAAGAAAAAAGTATACAAAAAGAATGAAAAAAAAGAGTAAAAAATAAAAAAGAACAGTGAAAAGAAAAACAGAAAGAAAGAGTTAGAGACATAAAGAGATTAAACAAAAGACAAACAGAAAAAAAGAAACAAAAAACAGAAAGGCAGCAAAAAAATAAAAGAGAAAAGTAAAACAGAGAGAGAGTTTATGAAAAAAGAAAGCATGGCATCGAAAGAGACGACCACAAACTCATCTTTATTTTTCCAGGACTTGTTTCCACCTCACAACATTTGATCCTTAATAAAAATTAATAACATAACCCTGAGTTTAATGTTCTCTTCACTTTATTTAACACCAGTTCTATTAACTGCTTCATAAAAAACTCAGAAAACTGTACAGTGGAAAAAAGAGATTCTTGTATCTGGTCAGTAGGGGTTCTTATATCAGTGCAGTTATTACTGATTTAATCATATTATTTTAAATTATTAATTACTAATCTGACCCAATAAAATCAGGAACTGAACTGTACAGTATCGGAGAATGAATGTTTGTGGAGTTTTTCATTTTTAACAAGTGACAGGTCGTCAACATGGACAAGGTCAGGGTTGGTCCCCCTGTGGAGGTCGTGGTGGTCAGAGCGTCTGTGAGTGAATTAGCTGGTGTTGATGCTGAACTGACAGTTAATCAGAGGTGACATCAATTAAACAGAGTCCGGCTCGGGTTGCTGCTCCGTGATGCTGGACGTTTTGTGCACTGATGACCCCTGTGACTCACAAACACACACACACACATACACACACATACACGGCATTATCTGGAGCCTAGTTAACCAGCGCACCACCCTGGTGGACCGCTCCCTGCTGTGAGGTGAAGCTCAATTATGGATGACCATCATTAGAAACTAGACACGCTCGCAGGAACACAGGCATGCCCGGAGTGACACAACCACACATGGTGATGGGCACGGCGTTTATTCTCAGAGACACCCAAGACTATTGAAGTGCTAATGGGGTAACACCATCCACTTCATTCTGGGACCACGGCGCCTGTAACCCCCGTGACCTCCAGGAGGTTCGCCATTGTCATTTATGATATCAGTATCATCTAGCTTATTAATACTGGAATCAAAATATGATACCGACTCCTGACATAGGAAAACTGTCACAAAACAACCCAGATCTGAGCTATACTTTACAGTCAGGTGTTGTGCCGTAGAATGCACCCCTGCCGCAGAATGACCCCCGACGGGAGCGCGGTTGAAAGTACTTAACAAGGCGAAAATAATCCAAGTTTTCCTTACCATTAGATTAATTCATAAGCGTGTGCCTTTAACATTTTCATTCAGGCTATTCAGATAAGTCGAAAAAATAGCCCTCTGATTCGGAATATTTGCTGTCCCGAAAATATAATGTTTGCTATCTTAACAGCTAACTGTACAATTTATATACCCAAGCACACCTCCGTCTGTGCATTTTTGAGACACATAAAAACAGAACAAAAGTTGTCACGATCAAATACTCGCATTTTTTTTAAATATGAGATCATTTTCTTCCACTTTAAGAAGCTAACGAGTGGATGGGATGCTAACGAGTGAATGGAATGCTAACGAGTGGATGGGATGCAGGGGGTGCATTCTACGGCAGGGGTGCATTTTACGGCACAACACCTGCACGGTGTTTACCTCCATTGCGCGTCTTGAGTTGACGTCGGGTTCAGCTGCATCATCGGTCTTTTGTTCGGGGCTCTTAATCTGACATTTTTTAACAGAAGGAGCGAACAGAGTAGACGGATCACTCATCAAGAATTAACACAGAGGATTAAGCCGCACAACATCAATTTACAGCATCTACAACGTACACACCTATCGAATGAAGGTCTCGGCTTTCAGACACTTCTACACATTAGACATTTCCCTGCAGCTATACTTAATGTATGAACACTTGTTTGTCTCACATTAACCATCTGATGATACTTTGGTTTTGGATTTAAACTCGCTGCACTTGATGTTTTGTGCTTAATTCACAAGTTTCACGCTCCTCTGCCAAGCAAGTGCTCCTGTTCATCGTAGCATGCATGTAAACGTAATTTTCCAGTAGCCATGGATACATCTGTATGTGTAACATGCATTATTAATCCATTTTCCATACCTCGTTTGTTCAATTCTTACACACATGCACCTTTCAGAGTCAAGCCCACTGAGCTGTATGGAGGCATTTTCTTAGATCTTATGACATAGGATTAGTACCCTTTTTTATGAAGTGTCCTTGTATCCCCTGAAGCTTCCTCATTGACCATTAATCCTCTCATCTTACCGTCGTTGTGTTTTTGAACGTGACCGTTTGTCTGATACAGTATCAGAGCTTACTGGTTCATATCAGTGTTAAGTAGCCGGAGTGGTAACCAGAGTTGAGGAGGGGGGATGTATCCAGCTCAGTGGGCTCAATCTGTCCTCGTGGACCACACACACACACACACACAAATGAACGCACACACGCGCAAAATAAAGTATCAAGTGACGCCCTCTTAATTATTCAGCAGCTCCCAAGAGCAACGCTAAGCAGCAACCAGATTCCTCCACCTTTTTTCAGCACGTCTGAATATTAATGATTCAAGGGGAGGGAAACGAGGAAAGACAAGTGCAAAGACAGAGAGTGTGATAAAGAGGACTTCTGGGAGGGGGGCTGGACTTGTTTTAGCAGATTAGTATTACAGTAGTGTGATAAATCGATTTAACACCATTAAATAGTTGTCCTTTTTGTTGTAAAAAGTGCAAACATCATAAAAAACAAGGAGGAAAACATACTTTAGTTGTAAATTAGTCTGAGTGTAAGATAAAAAACTATTTCCCAATTTAGGAGAACGTCATGGGTTGTCCGTGTCCACTTTGGTCCTCATCCAAACCACTTAACGGCAACATGTAACATGAGCACATTCGGTTTATCAGATAACCAAACAAAGCTGCTGCAGTGGCACTAAACAGGAATAAAGTTTCCGAAAACTGGAGTAAAAAGTGCTTCGTAAATATGTCACAAATCACCTCTCTATGTGAAGTGCTAGTCCAGGCAGGCCACAAAGTCAAACACCTTTGTAACCCGCCTTTACCACACTACGGCGACCATATTCTGACCTTCCAAAAAGAGGACACGACTACGCAGGGAGTCACAGTCACATAAAGTTAATTTTGAGAGTTTTTCAGGTCGGATCAAGTGTCTTTTACGCGCCTCTAACTCATTAAGTCCATGTGACAATAAATCGAAACTTGCGTACAAAACCGCAGACATTTGAAGAATCTTTTAGGTATTGAAACTTGGCTCCTGATCGTATCATTAATGGAAGAACAACTTTACAAAGACTTTGCCACACAAGAAGTAAGAAGTAAACTGTATTGAAACTTGTTTTTAATTTGACATTAAGTACAAAAATGTATAAGAACAGTGAATACAAACTTTTGTTTGCTGCACTTACATGGTAACGTCAACAGTAGCTTACATGACGAAGCTAGAGAAAGCTAAAATAGACGCTGATGAGTTTGGAGGGGGTTTGACTTTTTGGCACTGAATAAAAAATTTGGAGTTTTGGGGGGAAGAAGTGCTGTCAATGACCGACTAATCCCAGGGTAGGTTTGAGCAAAGACCTAAACTGTGTTAGAGGATTATGGGAAAGGTGTTCAGTCCACCGTCACCGCCTTCACTAGAGTAGTGATTTCTAGCTGGTGATGCTCTGAGCCAGAAAGTAGGTAGAGCTAATGTTAGCTGCCAGATCAACGTTCCTGTGGATTTACACTTCCTGTTGTCTTTAAAGTTGTTGATCAATAAGGAAAAGTGTGACCAGAATACGCCTGAGTTATGAATTTTTTTGAACCTAGAACAGAACTGTGTGACATTATAAGAGCAGAGCAGGAGTAGCTGCTCTACAAATAGTGGCATTGACGATAGTTTTCAGTAGGTTTGTGGGAGTGTTGTTGTTGTCTCTCTATCTCAGTAGTCCATGCTCTGTAGCTGGTTCTTGCTCCTTTCCGTCTTCCCCTGCAGAGCTGCAGGAAGGAGCGGCAGGTTCAGATCCGCCACGCGTCGCTGAAGAGATGAACGCAATTGAACCGAGTTCCTTTTTGCTCCGTTTATACCTCCACCAGCAGTCCCTCTCTCTCCTCCTCCTCCTCCTCCTGCTGCAGCCAGATCTCTTCTTTTGCCCCTCTCCTGCCTGAGGCTTTTAATGACCAAGGTATGTTGTCTTTGCGAGTGGAAGGCAGGAGGTTTAGACCCGTTCACCAGGAGTCCCTGAGGTCCCTGACGGGTCAATCCTACCCACGTCATCTTCCTGGCTCGTCCGTCTTTGAGTCCCACGTTGCGCAGACGAGGAAGTGGAGCGGATGGCGACTTCTGCGTTGTCTCCGTGTTGCCTCTGTCTGAGATGTTCGTGTCGGCCTCCAGGAGCATCCTGGGAGAGATGCCGTTCTTCTCTGAGGAATAAAACGTCTGCAGCTTCTCCAGACGCTCGTTGATGCTCAGGAGATGGGAGTGGTCGTCCTGATGGCGGTTATCATTAAAACAGTCAGATCCGGGGTCCGCCGCCCCGTCTGACTGTGTTGTCCTGAGCAGGTGTGAGGGTCGGATTGCTTTAGAAGGGGTAGAGTTGCTGATTGGCTCAGAAGGTAAGGGGACTTGGCAAGGGGCGGAGTCACAGAGCTGGGACGCAGAGCTTTTAGGCGGCGAGAGATGGACGAGTTCTCTGTCTCCAAACACAGACACTGAAACACAAACGCAGACGCAGTTTGTTACACACTAAACTCAACTCATGAACTTCTTTTCTATTTACAAGATCAATCCTGACCTTCAGGAAACAGCGGCATTTCTCTTGTTTCCAGGGCGACGCCGGTCTCCTCATCTGTGGCCCTGTCCCCTGCAGACAAACAGACAGGGGAGGGGGAGAGGCAGCGAGGGGGAGTGGAAGGAGAGGCGGAGTGAGGTAGTTTGGGTAAAGCTGGGGAGGGGGGACGGTTCTCCGTGTCCTCTCGGTGGTCTTTCCTGTGTAGGTCTTCCAGCCTCTTCCTGTTGCTCTGATACTCGGTGGTCTGCTGGGCTCTCAGAGGCTTGTTGTTGGACTTCTTCAGGGTTTTTTCATTGGTCGCTTCATTCTTAAAACAAGCAGCGGTTAGTTCCAAGAATGCTCCTTTTATGGATTCACAGCACTCCTTAAAACGGCTTCAGCTCTGTCATTAATATCGCACATATGTTTGAAGCGATATCCAAGCCGTCATTATAGAAAAGTGCTCTGCCCTTTCTGAAGAGAGTATTTCCATAAGGTTCAAAACACCTGACTCGAATCATCTCAGGCTGTGAGCAACATATGTGAAAGAGGAGCCGGCTGAAACTTACCTGTGGCTGAGCTTTAGGTTCACCGTTACTCCTCTCTCTCCATGTGCTCTTGCTTGGAAGACTCCACTCGTTGCTCTCCAGTTTCTAACAAATCAACAGATTTAAGCTGTTATTCTGTGTTCGAGTTGAAGTCAGAGGTCCGAGCTGAAAATGACTTCACACTCGAGTTACTAGCGTTTCAGTTACCAAATTTGGAAAAAAGCTAAATCGAGGGCGGGGAAAAAATGGCTACATCTACGAAAGTTATTTTAGCGCTTGTTTCAGGCCTCCGATTTTGCTTTTTTCCGACTTGGTAACTGAAGCCATAGATATCTATAAAAAAGGCTAGATCACTTGAGGTGGAGTCACCAGCTTCCCTACATGGCGGCCATCTTACTCCAGTATAACATTCTGGTCCGCTCTATGGTAGCTGACAGGAGGTGAGTCGTCTGCATGATCAAAAATACTTGCTGAAATCTTGACAGATTTACAAACGGTTTTGTCAATATTTTTCTAAATAAAAGAAGTCTTGTTTAGTAACGTAACTTGTTGAATATATCATTTAAACTACATTTCCACGTGGCAATTTTATATAAACTATGCATTAACTGAATTTACAAAAAATGTACTATATCGTGATGTATATCGTATCGGGATATAAAGTGAGCTATATCGGGATATAACCAAAATCTCATATTGTGCAGCCCTAATATGGATTTATTTATAATTATAATAATCCATACGATGATGATTACTAAATAATATGTAGGATTTAAATAAGTTAGAAGTTTGGATCTATTTTGATCCTAAATTAAATTACATGCTTCCTGTTTCCTCTGGTTGCTGCTCCTTTTCGTTCTGTTCTTGCTTTGCTTTTACTTTGGTATGCTCAGCTAGTGAAACGTACTCCTTATACATACTGAGTAACTAAACTAATTTTGGTAAAAATATGAGTAGGTAGGATAGGCATCTACAAGCTTCGAGGTTGCACATGATTTCCAAGCTGTTTGGTTTGTTAAAAACATCTAAAATGGCAACATGAGGCAGAAATTAAGATTAAGAAAAATGATTTTGTATATGTATGATTGCATTTGACACTGTGATGATGATCAAATAAACTAACTATTTAAATGTTACAAGCACCGTAGTATGTTGTGAGTGGGCGAGCGAGTGGGCTCAGCTCTGACATCTGACTTCTGAGGAAACTCGAACGCAGCATTAGAACTTCACAACATAACACGAGGAGGATAAGGTGTAAATCACGAACCTTTCCGGCCTTGGCTCCTTTCTGGCTCCTGCTGAGCTTGTTGAGCAGGAGGTGATAGGACGCCATGATGGCGGAGGGTCTGTTGGTCGTGACCGTGTGTGTGACTTCAGAGAGGGGGTAACCCAGCGTCTCCGTCATGTAGGAGAGCACAGATGAGTTGAGATCCTCTGGACACAGCCTGGAAAGTCATAAAAGAGAAGGACTGAGAGGAAACAGTCACAGATAAAGTGTGAAGAATGAAGCAATGAGAAATCTGAGCTGCCAATAAGGATTTGTTGGTAATTTTGGTTTGCTGAGCGGAACGCAGCTGGAACATCGCTGGATTCATTCACGCCAGAAGGAGCTGTACATGATTACATTTCCACCCTGTGTAAAGTGATAAAAGCCTTTAAGCCCCGCTTTAATACACACAAAGCTGTTACCCGACTGACCGCAAAAAATCTCATTTTGTTACAAAACTCTGCAATTTCCTTCTGGGTTTTTTTGCCCACATTGTAATGTTTGAGTCTCTGTGTCGTACTCAAACTGGTGAAAAGAGTCTTTAAGAGACAGAATTCTCTATTTACAATAAAGTGAAACTATGCGAGGGTTCACACAGATTACAGCGACAGCACCGTGAACTTTTCAACCGCAAATTAGGCAAAACTTACCGATTTGTTCATAGACTTTGAAAAACTTGATATTTTCTGAACTTTTTTACAACCCCAATCAAAAAAAACAGGGACAGGGACGTTACGAACTGTGATAAAGTTATGAAATGCTTAAAAAACACCTCATAAGTGAATACAGGGAGAGGCTGACTCCTCGTGCAAACGATTGTGTCAAACTTCAAACAGTTTGGGGATTTTATCGTCTGCAGATCATGTTTTAAAGGATTCAGAGAATCTGGAGAAATCTCTTTATAAAAAGGAAAAGAATAAAAAACTATGATAGATAGCTGTGATAGCACTGCATGGCTAAAAATCCTCTCCATTTAGGATGAAAGGGGGCTGAGTGGTAAGCTAGCCTGTGGTCTGACTAATCCCTGGTCTCCTCAGTTCCCAAATGTTTACTGAGTGTTATTAAAAGCAAAGATGATGTGACATGATGGTAAATGTGCCTCATTCCCAATCTTTTTCAAACCTGCGATTAGAAATTCAATTTTTTCCCCCAAAATTGTTGATTTTCTATTTTCTAAACTGAATTTAATTAGGTAATGGCTTAAAATGATTTGCAAAACCTTAAAATCAGCCTTAGACAGCTGGCAGTAGGTTATGTCCTGAGCTGTGTTTTCCCTGTAGTGGCAGATATCTACCTGTTTTTATGAGTGATTGCGTGCAGAGGCCTCTTGGCGTATCCCTCGTTGATCCACCTCTCCTCCATCGCCTCTCTCACACTCGGCCTCTTATCCGGGTCCGGCTCCAGCAGAGACAACACGAACGCCGTCGCACCTGAAACAGAAGCACGACCTTAAAGCTCGGTCTCTTCTTTTATAAAGCACGGTTAAGTGTGAACTCTTATACTCCTGGAGACGCTACAAATGTCCCCGCCTGGTATCACTCATTGTGACTTCATTGAAACTGTATCAGACACAGCGGCTCGGAGAGAGGCAGGATTTCCCTTCAGGTGACCTCGTTCAACCGGTCGGGCTGTAACACCGAGCCGACCTGTGACAGCCAAGCAGGATGGATGTTGACTCGAGATGGGGATTCCTGATAAACTCTACAGTCTGGAGGAGATAAAAGCCCAGACTGCTCTGGTCCAAAAAATATATGAAATAGAAGAATATAGACAAAAATAAAGAGGGTACAAACAAGTAGGTAACTAACTGAGCAGGAAAAAACATGCAGATGCAAAATTAAAGGGATATTCCGGCGTAGAATTAATTTAGGGTCAAACAGACTGTAACACAGAGTAAGATACACCCCCTCAAGAGATGAATGTTGTTGACCGCTTGCTTCTCTAGTTAAACCAACTTTAGTAAAGAAGTCACAACAGCAATACACAACAGTCTGATTCCATTTCCTCATGGTAATGCAATCTGGTGTTGTGTCGTTCGCGAACGATTCTTTCAAAAGAACCGAATCTTTTAAGTGAACGTACTAAACCGAACTTCCTAGAGTGATTCGTTATTTTCTCACTTTAGTTCAGCTTAAGTGAAGCCAGGCCAGCAGCCGGCAAACGAGGGACCACATGCACCGACGCCTGAATCACTTGGTTAACAACTCACTCATTTGGTGAACAAATCTTTTGAACGAATCTTTTTAGTAAACTGATTCTAGTGATTCAGTTCATCTCAAAGAACTGCTGTGACCATCACTAATGCAATCAGACCGAGACGCTGAGGTAGAAGAACTACTGGGTCTGCAGTGCAAAATGATTAATATAATGATTATTACTTCAAGATAATGATAAAGAAATGATCATAAATGTTCTTCCTTGAGCTGCGTCACCCCGCTGTAGTCTGTAATGGACTGGCCTGAGGTCTCGCTACAAACAAGCGGCTGCTTGAAGAGAGTAGATGAGTTGTGTTTAGTCTCTTTATGAAAGGAATTAGGCAAAGCTAAAAAGACGTTTGGTGTCTAGTACTATGGCTGTGACCCTATATGTCCTGTTGATGAAGTTAGGTGCTGTTCTGAGCATTATTTGTGGCATTTTGGTTGAGGTTTGTTTACGGCTCCTCAGACCGCTGTGTATTGCTATCGTGCGGTCGTTACTAAAGTTGGTTTAACTAGAGAAGCAAGCGGTCGGCAACATTCATTTCTCGATGGGGTGTCTAACTCGGTGTTATGGTGTTTTTGACCCTAAATTAATTTTATGCCAGAATATCCCTTTAATACTAAGGCATGGATCCTGTGACGCTGTTTTAGAGTCAGGCCAGTTCTTCCCACAGACACAGGAGCCATGTCTGTTTGTGGTCAGCCATGACGGAGTGTAACAGCTCCTGCGAGTCTGTGTGAGGGAGACTAAAAATACAGCAGGGACAGACGGACACACTGAGGCCGCTGTGTTTGAGAAACCTGTGAGACTTCACCTCGATGTGACGCTTATGTGGTCGATAGGAAAATAAAAGAAGGACTGAGTTTCTCCTAAAGTTCTCTGACCTGCCTCGACTGAAACGGGTGATTCTCTAAGTTACCTTTACTGACGTCAGTGGGGATGCTGCCGATCTCGCCGTTCACCATCTTCTGATGAAGCTGCTTGATGTTAAAGGGCTCGACAGTGAAGGGCAGAGTCCCCGTCAGCATGGCGAACATACTCACACCCCTTACAAGAAAGAAAGAGGAAATTGGGCGCATCAGTTTATTCTGAAAGACGTGCTAAATGTAAGAGAAGCCGTCATGAAGAAGGAGTCCTCTTACACAGACCAGACGTCCACTTTGGGTCCGTACTTCCTGTGTGCGAGCAGCTCCGGGGCGGCGTAGGCGGGACTTCCACACTGAGTGCTGAGGAGCTCCAGAGACAAAGACTCAGCCTTCAGGGTGTTACTGAGGCCAAAATCTGAAACATCATGAGGACACAGACGGATTTGAGCGAACTGAGCCGTCTAACACAATCACTCAGGAGGATACAATGAAGCCGTCAACATACCCACAATCTTTATGTTGTTGTGCTCGTCCAGTAAGAAGTTTTCAATCTTTAAATCTCTGCAGAAGAAACGAAAAGGAAAAGCTTGTCAGGTCAACGAGGAAGAGTACGGTTCACTGCTTCCTTTTATGAATCCTCTCCATAATCCTACAGGAATCTCTGAAGCTATTTTTTCCCTTCAGGCGAGCGTTTTGGAGCAGTTTTCTCGACTGTAATGGTCGTTTAATTTAAGAACTCGAGCAATATGTGTATTTATGGAAGACCAGTGAGTCTGAGCCAGACTGGACCCGCAGAGGCAAAGGAAAATCTGGCTTAATTTGGGTTTGGGTAAGGAAATAATCACCCCTGAGAATGATTTGTAATATTTGAGAATAAAATTAAATGTTATTTGGAGTGTCGGTCTGTTTTGGACTGCATCCGTCGTGATTTTCAGGTCAAGTAAACTTTAAATTTTGCAGCAAATCTGGACCAAGTTTCCCTTCCTTCACCTGGAAAAATTGCCCGACTCCCCTGAAAGGACCCCAGGCTCACCACCGACCGCACCGCCATGCTCTGAAACTACCGAGCTAAATGAGAACGTGTGGTCGAGAGAGAGATCCCCCATAAACCGAAGCCCTGGGAATCAGGATCCCGATCCTTTCATCTGCCTTCATCGAACCAACAGACACAAAATCCAGAAAACACGTCTCGCTCGACCCGAGAGAAGTTCAAAGAGAGAGGGAGGAAGAAAAGAGTCCAGGAGAGCGAGAGCAGACATTGTCATAAAGGAGAAAATGGATGCGGTGAAGTGTTGGATGTGGGTGGCATGAGGTGCGCTTAAGTGCAAATTTTCCATTTATTTCCAGTTTAATCATCTCTGTGTGAGACTGTGGTGAAGTGTGTGTGTGTGTGTGTTTGAACGCATGTGTGAACACGTGGGTGTGTGCGTGTGTGTGTGTGGGAGAGAGAGAGACAAGGAGAGGTGTTATTGACGGGCTGAGGGCGACGTCGTTGAGGGACTTCATTAGAGAGGAAGTCCATGATGTCGTGATGATGTGTGAATCATGGCGCCGGCGCAGGATGATGAGGTCAGTGCCTGGTAATCACATTCCCACCTTCGGACGAGCCAAGGTCTTAAACTAAAGCCCAGTGCTTTGAATAAAGTGTGTGTGTAAGTGTGCGAGTGTGTGTGTTAGGTCTCTTACACCTACACAAACTGAGCTGCCATTAAAATAACACCTTTAACTTCCTGCAGCCGCCATTTTTTGACTCTCTCTGAGCGTTGGAGGCTGTTAATGCCCTGCAAACTGCCCCATCTGTGTGTGTGTGTGTGTGTGTGTGTGTGTGTGTGTGTGTGTGTGTGTGTGTGTGTGTGTGAATGTGCAAGTCTGACATGAACAAACAGCTACTGTATGAAAAGTTTTCTCTTTCCCATTTTAAAGCTCCTGTTGGAAATTTTCTGTTTGTGCCCGTTTTGGCGCCGCCCTGTGGACAAACTTTTTATATCCTTAGTGTTCCAGTCGTCTACATGTTAAAGGGATATTCCAAACACACCACAACACCAAGTTAGACTCTCCGCTGAGAGATGAATGTTGTCGACTGCTTGCTTCTCTAGTTCTACCAACTTTAGTAACGATTGCAGGATAGAAATACAGAGAGCCACGCCCTCAACCAAAACACCACTTTATAGCCACAAATAATGCTCAGAACAGCACCTAACTTCATCAACAGGACATATAGGGTCCCAGCCATAGTACAAGACACCAAACATCTTTTTAGCTTTGCCTGATTTCTTTCACAAAGAGACTAAACACAACTCACCTACTCTCTTCCAGCAGCCGCTTGTTTGTTGTGAGACCTTGGGCCAGTCCATCGACTCGGTCTGATTGTATTTCCATGACGAAATTATCATGAATGTTCTTCCTTGAGCTGTGTCACCCCGCTGTTGTCGTAATGGACTGGCCCAAAGTCTCGCTACAAACAAGTGGCTGCTGGAAGAGAGTAGTTGAGTTGTGTTTAGTCTCTTTGCTCTCAAAATAAGGCAAAGTTAAAAAGATGTTTGGTGTCTAGTGCTGTGGTTGTGACCCTTTATGTCCTGTTGATGAAGTTAGGTGCTGTTCTGAGCATTATTTGTGGCTATAGAGTGGCGTTTTGTTTGCGGTCGTCAACATTCATCTCTCGACGGGGTGTGTGTCCCTTGCACTGAGTTCAAGTATTAAAAATGATGACTGTTTACAGTGTGTGTGTGTAAAGTCTCACCTGTGTACGACGCCGTGTTTGTGCAGGTGATCCACAGCGGAGAGGATCTGACGAGTGTAACGCCGCACCTCCCTCTCCTCCAACCTCTTCCTCTCACAGATCCTGTCCATCAGGTCTCCTCCTGCACACAGCTCCATGGCCATGTAGTAGCTGTTCTCTGTCTCCAGAGTCTAACACATACACACAGACACACACACACACACACACACACACACAGTGACAATCATGGCAAAAATATACCAAATATTCATGATTATAAATCATCACTCTCAGTTCTCGTTTATTTACCTCAAACAGGACGACGATGTGAGGGTGTCGCACCATCTGATGAATTCGAGGTTCTCTCTTCATGTTCTTCAGCACGTAGGAGTCCTGTCTGGCTTTCTTCTTGTCGATGACTTTTATGGCCACCTAAACACACAAACACAAGTTTAAAACACGCAAAAGTGTCAGAGTCCTGTGAGAATTCATCCTCGTACAACCTAAACCTAACGCTCCTCAGAAGTTGTACCCTTCTTTTGAAACCTCAAAAAGCAAAGGCTGAGCATGTCTACACAGTACAGGAGCGACTCTAAGTCACATTATCCATGAGAAAAACGCTGACTATGTGCAGGATAAGTTTTAATAGAGGTGATAAGTTATAATATGTTATGTTATCAAAAGATAACGATTGATTATGTTGAAGTTCTTGTATGTTATGGTCCCTTTTTTTAAAAAGATTTTTTAAGTTTTACATGTTATTACATTATCGTTACCTTAGTTAAGATCATATGTTATGTTATTTGTTATGTTATAATAATCAGGCCGATAATTGGCGTTTTGTAATAATAAGCATGGTATCGGCATCAGTCCTTACAAGGCCAATATCACAGGAAACTCATTGTTTCTGTCCTTACTAACATCAAATCAAATCAACATCAGTCACCTGCTGATATTTGATTTTTTTTTTGTCATAATGAGTTAAACGATGCAGATTTTAATCAGTTTATATCCTCAAGCAGCAACATGATATCTGCTTTATATATCGACCATCTGCGAACCTGCTGTCTCATTATCGGTCTGTTGAAAAATTGATATCAGTCGACCTTAAGGTATAACGATATGTGAAGTTATTATAGTCTATTTTAAGATTACATAATAAGTTGTACATGAGTTATTAAAATAGGTTAAGTTATACTAATCTATTAGTGTGTTATGAGTAATTTATTTTAATATGTTGAGCTGTCTTCACCCACTCAGCCTCTAAATCTGCTTTTATCTATTAAAGTAAAATCTTATATTTTTCATTAAAAATCGGTTAAGTTGAAGGAGTCTACACCAACATTCACTGTCAAATAAAATCTAAACCTGGTTTGTTTAAGGTCTTCTTTACTCTCCAGAGGTGTGTGTGTGTGTGTGTGTGTGTCTCCTCCACAGGTCTTACACCTGTTGAGCTTAACCGAGGTTAAGAGGAGCAAACAACCCCCGGAGATGAGTTTGAGCATCACCACGGCAACAAGGTCAGGTACACATAAGCCGAGGGTCAGAGACTCAGTGACCGATGAAAGGAAGTTACATTTAAACACAGAAACAAACACAAAACTTGAAAACTATAACAAAACTTTCAGTACTCAGAATATAAATGATACGACTCTAACTTTAGATATGTTAACGAAGCATTTGCTTTTAATTCTACGCGGTATGAGCTCGCTCGTGGAGTTCTAGGTATTAAAAAGAAGAAACAGATCGACCTCTTCACAGATTTGTTTCTGAAAAATCCTTTAAGCGCTCGTGGTTATGAAACAAAGTAATCACAGATGGTCAGTCTGTTTCTTGTACACATAACAAGAATAATAACAGGTCTTTGTGTTCCTCAAAAACCAAAGTGGGTCTAATCATCAGTTACAATCCACAAAGTACAACATGTAACCGTGTAATCATAATCTTGTCAGTGTGTCACCCTCCATCAGAGGTACAACACTTCGTTTCCTCACTCTCTCACACTCGAAGCGGAGAGAAAGCACCGACCTTCTCCCCCGTACCGATGTGCAGCCCCTCCATCACTTTGGCAAACGATCCCTTGTTGATCATTTTCCCCACCAAGTAGGACCCCACCCGTTTGGAGTGGGGGAAGCTCCGCAGCAGCTCCCTGGGGACCTTCAGAGAGGGCAGAGAGAGACGCTCCCGGCCCAGCGCCGAGGCTTCCCAATGAGGCACGCCGCGTTCTCCTTCACCCCCTCCTTCTGCCACCATGTCCTCCGGAGAGAGCTTCACTGCTGCTGCTGGCATTCTGGACAGGGCCTGGGCCCCATGTGGGCCCCCCTTACACACTCACACACAGTTAGATCCAAAAACAGGACAGTCTACATGGGGCAAACACACACACACACACACACACAGGTTGGCTGCTTTCTCAGGAGCAGGGCGTCTACATTTGTTCTTCCACTCTCAGGAAAGTCTATCCTTCACTCCAGACAGCCTGATGTACGACTCCTCTTCTTCTTCTTCTTCTTCTTCTTCTTCTTCTTCTTCTTCTTCTTTGAATTTCACCTTTTAAACGCAGACAGGTGACTAAACTTCGGTCCGTTTCTATCCAACCGTTCAGCCCGCAGCTCCGGCTCCTCTCTGTCCCCCTCGCTCCGTCTCTCTCTGCCGGTTAGTGGATGATTAACTGTTGTGTTCTCAGGTCAGCTCCAGTGATGAGGAGGACATTCAACACCGTAATTACCCCCCCTCTGCACACACCAAGGTGCGCACACAGACTCACAGTTACACAGTAACCAATCACATTCTCTTACATGACTTCAGTGGGTGCCCTTTAAAACACGCTTTTATAAGAATGGCGGTTTCTTGTTCACACTATCAGGGACACGGAGGGTCAAGTTCACTTTGTAAACCTGGAAATTGAAGCCCTGCTCACTATGAACAACCTGCTCACTATACACTACATCATTTTTACACAGCTGCTTATAATCTAAAGGTACAGTTTGATTGATGATTGTAGACTAAAGTATTGCTGAAGCTCCATACGCAACAGTGGCCTTTGACAACAAGAAGAAGACAGATGTTGGTTTTGCAGGGCTGATACTGTCACAAAATCGATGACCAATACTTGTGACTGTTATGGATCAACATTAAAAGTAAAAATTTTCCATCAAAACTCAAAATCTGGAAAATTACAAACACAGTCCTTTGTTTGGATGACTTGTCCCTGGCCAAAGCTGTCCCTGGAAATGTTGCGTGTGGACTAGAACAACGGTTATTACGGTACCCAAGTTGGTAGATTGATAGATCTACCGATAGATAGATGATAGATTTTTTAGGGGGTGGTGTGCTGCTACTAAGTAGTACCGAGATGTCTGTGATTGACTCTCCTGGTGTCACACACTCACGTGTCCTCAGTTGTCTTCTTGTGATAAGTGAGATCTTGTGAGATTTCAGAATGATGTTTCTCCAGCAAACGCACAAAAACATGGAAAAACTGGATCCAGGTTGAAAAACACCAACAGTAAGTTCTCCTTTAAGGTGCAGTTGCATCCCACGGTCATGTGACGACTAGCCAATCAGATAGTGTTGGAAGTGGGACATTAGGTGAGACAAAGCAGTGCACGAAACAGACTCAAAAAGATATACCTGCGTAAAATTAAGTCATTTCTTCATGAAAGCACAATCAGACCGAGATGCTACGGCAAAAGAACTTCCGCGTCTGCAGTGCAAAATGATTAATATGATGATTATTACTTTAAAGAGATGATAAAGTAATGATCATTAATGTTCTTCCTTGAGCTGCGTCACCCCACTGCAGTAAAGGACTTGCCTGAGGTCTCTACAAACAAGTGGCTGCTGGAAGAGAGTAGGTGAGTTGTATTCAGTCTCTTTGCTAAAGAAATTAGTCAAAGTTAAAAAGATGTTTGGTCTCTAGTACTATGGCTGTGACCCTGTATGTCCTGTTGATGAAGTTAGGTGCTGTTCTGAGCATTATTAGTGGTGTTTTGGTTGAGGTTTGTTTATGGCCCCTCAGACCGCTGTGTATTGCTATCGTGCGGTCATTACTAAAGTTAGTAAAACTAGAGGAAGCAAGCAGTTGGCAACATTCATCTCTGAGGGGGTGTCTAACTCAGTGTTACGGTCTATTTGACCCTAACCTAATGTTACGCTGGAATATCCCTTTAAAGGGGAAGATACAAACCCAGAGCCAAAGTTGTGCCCCTTTTATCTTAACCTACATGAGGAAAAACTTACTGTCAGAGCAGATATGACATCAAGTTCTTCTCTCTGCACACTGATATGTTTACCCTTTGTCCATCTGAGTCTGATATAGTCACAGCTGTACCATTGCGGCTTTCCTAGTACCTTTAAAAAACTCACTTGAGGCAGAGGATAGGTCCTGTATATATTTGTGTGACACGCCGCTGCTTTTCCAAAGAAGCACCCACAGTTCAGCGAGGTTTTTGAGCTTTAATAACAGAAAAAACGTTTCTACAGTGACCAAGGATACGTGTACACTTTGCAACGTGTATCATTGCAAACAAAGTACATAAAGCGCCGTCAACAAAAATGACAGCTACCTTGGCTCACCCCTCCATCCCAGTGCAGGTGAGACCGCCCCTTATATAACCTACCGGCTTTCAAACACTGTGCCCACGTGACCCAAACCCAACGAAACCAGTGGCAACCAGACAAAAGTAATTGAACACAGGATAACTGATCAGCAAAGCAACATTATGGTTCCTACAGTACGATGAGTGTAAACACAGAAATGTATCCAGGAAAGACTCCTACCTTCATTCTTGACCCCTGCCGGGTAATTGTGTCTGCTGTCTGGTAGAGACAGGTCAAAGGTCAGGGCCAACAACAGCTCAGTTTAGAGAGGGATTGAGTTTCCTATTTCACCGGCCTTCATTCTGGGCAAATATACAAAAACAAAAACAGAATCTCACACTGTTTTATCATGACACCGATAATCCCGAATAAAAACAAACTTAAGTTATTCGAAGGTTCGCAAAGTGGCGTTGATGGTGCGATGACGGGATAAAAGTGGAAAAAGAAGTGGGAGCCGCAGAGGCTCGTGTTATGACAGTGGTGATCAATGGAAAGCGGCGGTGAGGTTTAGCGCTGATGAGTGATGGCGAGCGTTGGAATATGTCTGTTTTTTCGACATGCTACTGTGTGTATGAGCGTGTGCGAGCGTTCGTGTGTACGGCGGGGTCAGATTGCAGCGTGTCGGGGCTCGATTCTTCCTCACTCAGCTGATGAAAGGAGGGATAGAGGCTTATATCCGCCGTGTAACCGATACACACACTCTCACACACACAGACTTATGCAACCTTTAACTGAGCGACAGGTAGCGGCCAAGTGAGGCGTCTACGGTTACCTTATTTTCTTTTAAACATGTTGATACTGTATAATTTGACTCACACACACACACACACACCTTATTATGAGACACAAAAGGCAAGCACACACTGTACTCGAGTGTCAATGAAACAGAGGCGGCCAATTTTAAGTGGCTCCTAACCAAACTCCTGTAAGAAAATCATCAATTTTCCAAGAATTTAAAATCTCACATTTTACTCCATCTTTTCTTCTTCTTCTTGGTGTGTGAGTGCGCCCATAAGCCAGGAGTCCTACACTTCATAAACGGGGTCTTAAGACCCTGGCGTGTGTGTGGGAGAAGGTGTTAACACGCCCTCTCTAATGCCAGGGGAAAGGGTGTCAAGCTTGATCTGGATCCGCGCTGGAGGGACGCAGAGGGCGAGAGACGGGCAGGCGGAAAAAGAAAGGAAGTGCGAGGAAAGAGAGTTGTATCCGTGCCTGACAAAGTGACGGGTGGATGAGGGACAGGAAGAGGGTGTAAGACTAATGAGTTTAGGGGGAGACGGGATGAGTGAGAAGGAGAGAAACCGAGCTTCGCAAGTGAAAAACAAAGTGAAGTAATAAGACCTCAAGAGGCTTTTTATTATACCTCGGCGCTGCCATGCTTAAACGTTTTGCAGGGGCTTTTAGTGTGTGTGTGTGTGTGTGTGTGTGTGTGTGTGTGTTACCATGGTTCAGAAAAGGTCATTCCCACTGCCAGAGACCACAGTCTATTTGTGCATACACTTTTATGCATAGTCACATATTTGCAAGTTGTTTCTAAAAGCGCCGCGATGTGTGTATGTTTTTGAGATTATGCGTCTTTGCATCCACGCACATGCAAACATAAGCCTCATTTACATGCCCTACAGTATAATTATGCGTGTATACATAGCCAGCTGTGTGTGCATGCGTGTGTGTGTGTGTGTGTTGCGTTGGTGTGCAGGAATGCTGGCTCGCCTGTAGGACTTGGCGAGCTCCTCGGCGGTCACATTAAATGAGAAGAGAAACCCCCTTCTGCTTCCTGCCTGTAATAAATGGATCCCCAGCAACCATTAAGGCATATTTTAACACCAAATAACTCCCCGAAACCACACTAGAACAGACGCAGGCGACCCCCACCCTCTTGCCATCTCTCGCACCCTCTCTGTCTTCGTCTCTGTTTCTTTCATTTCTCGATCTTCCATATTGCTTTTGTACCAAAAAGAGGGTCTAGATGTCAGAGTGGGATCTTTCTGGTGCCGCGGCTTGATGTGCTTCACAGTCGTACTTTGTAGTCTGTTGGAGTGTTTAATGAGAGTTATAACTCTCAGACTCTAAGCGCTCTCTTTAAAGTTGGGCCTATTCTTTCTTTTTTAAGTCTTTTACTGTAGACATTCGAGCTACGTGTTTCACATTTTCTAAACATGCGTCCAAAAAGCTGCGTTTTGATTCAAGGAAGGCCTTTTCACAAAGTTCATTCTCCTGATTTGGTTTTCCATTGCCTTCCTCCTCTTCTTATCACCTTCTTATCTTCTTTTGGATAACCTAATCTCTGCCTGTTGACTCTGTGGTAGGGTGACCATACGACCTCTTTTTTGGGGGCTGTCCAGCCTTGTCCGGGGGAGTTTATAAAATCCTTCAAATGTCCGGTTTTTTTTTAACGGAAGTTTTGAGTTTGTGTCCTGGGACTTACCGAGTTAGAAGCGCGTTAAAAGACACTCGATCAGACATGAAAAACTCTCAAATTTAAGTACACATGTGTGTAAACGTCATTGGACGCTCAGGCCAAACGCGGGCTGTCGACTCTGTACATCAAACAGAACATTATTGTACTTCTGAATCTCCTAACCCTAACCCTAACCCGACAGACGATGACATTTCACACCCATAAGGAATAACTAATCAAGGCCCATCACTTTTAGCCAATCAGAGGCGAAGGATGGCGGGACCTTCCCCTACCGTGTCCTCTTTTTGGGGATTCAGAATATGGTTACCCTACTCTTCGGCAAACAACCAAAAGGATATTTTGACGTTTCATTTATTACTTATGGACAGTATGAGACTTGAGGCTAACAGCTGACCACTCACCAGCAAAGTAAAGGAGTCGCAGTTACCTCTACTTGCTCCAGTTTAGTGAAATAATGTTATTTGTTTCGTGAGCTGACTCTGCTAATTGAAAGCTCTCAACCAATCAGATGCCAGGCTCCCCAGTCACTTTCTTCCACCTCCAGAGATCCACTGATATTGACGAAGAAGAATCAATAATGGCAACAGCATCCATAAAATCTTAACACTTTAGCCAATCTGATTCACCCGGATCTGATTGTATTTCGGGACGGATTGTAAGAGGTAGTCTACACCGATTGATAATCCGCTCCATATATACGGTTGAGTGGAGCGGATTGGGTTTACGGAGAGGCTTGTTCGGTCTGCGCAGGCGCTCGGTAGTACGTAAGAGACACGTACTGACGTACGCAGAGCGCACCCAAACGAAAACAAACATGGCGAACAAACTGAAAAACTGGACGGTGGAGTGTTAAAGTGTGTTGAACACTTCTTTCTGTGTAACCCGGCTGGATTATACTTTTATGAAACTTAAACACAGAGGGTTCCTTACTCTGCTCGGTCTGGTAACTCCGGCGATGTCACACACAAACACGTCCGTGCGCAACTCTAAAACGGAACTAAAACAATGGTTCCTATTAACAATTCCCATTGATACAATACAATACAATACAAAACAATACAACTGGATTCAGCTGGGGCCATAAAAAAACATGGACTGAACGTGGATGTCTTTACTTAAAGTTCATGTATACAGATGGAATCAGATTCACTTAATCCGATTGATTTCAATCAGATTGAGGAAAACTACCCATGTAAACGGGGCCACTAATGACATCTGCAAGTGGTTCTACTAGACTGAATCCTCTTCAGGGTAATTGCTCACTATACATTATTCCTTTCAATCAAAATCAAGAATACTTTTAAAAGTCCACAAAATCCTGTTTTGGGTGTAGTGAATAGAAACAACATGTTTATTTTGACTTAAATTCTGATGCAGTAGTAGCTGATCCAGATATTTCAGTCAAATCAGCTTTATTCTGTTTCGTAGATGTGCACGGCTGAACATCTCCACTGTGAAGAAGACATTAAACTATTGTACGAGATAAAACCCGGTGTTCTCTGTTTAAAGGTCACTCTCTGCTGCCAAAGTACACACTGTCCATGAGCGAGGATGTAAAGTGCCACTCTCCTGAAATGTCCTCAAAGACTAACAAACCGCCTTACAACAAATGTGTGCTGAAGTCTTTGAGAAAAGGGAGAGATTAACGACTTTATAGGAAAAGCAGATAAGTGAAATATTCAGATATAAAGAGTATTTATCATGTAAAACTCCGAGATTTTAAAACTAATTCAATTATCAATTTATCATCTTTTTATTTCTTTTCATTGTGTTTTATTGCTTTATTTCTTCATATTTATTTTCTTTTATTACAAATATCTGTCAGAGTCTACTCAGCTTTAAAGTTTTAACATCTGTTTTCAACTTTATTTCGACTTTATCTTCAGATTAAATCTGCTCATGTTGCTCAATCTTGTTTCTGACTTTTATAAAGAAAAAATTAACAGCATGTTTGCAATAATGGATCAGAATATGATCCACTTAAGCCCGGACAGGACTGAGATTTTATTAATGACTTGCAGGTGGATTCACCTCTGTGTGGGGTAGAGAGCTGCTGTCCCTGTCTGCCCTCTAGTGGAAGAAATACGCTAATGCAGGGGCACTGCTTCCTCTTTGTAGATTGACTAAAATCAGGAACTTTTACAGAAAAAAGTGATTCATTGTTGTTAAAAATAAATCATGGGAAATGTTTCATGCATATGCTCAATGGGTTTTCTTTTAATATACCATCAGAGGAGAGGGAGTAAGCTAGGGATGGTTGTTTATCTGGATTATTTTTGATCGCTTCAGACCTGAGAAAGTCTTTCTCTGGATCTGAAAACAAAACAAAAGCCAGAATGAACTGGTTTGTAATTGTCAAATGTTGCTCGTTCCCATTACAAGGCCTCACTGAACATAACCTGCAGATGTAGCTGAGTGAAACCACTGCGCAGCATGTTAACACTCACTGACTCAGGTTTGAAGGATTTGGATAAATGTAGGGGATAATTCAAGAAATTCACTAACACAGCTTGAGGGAAAGTGAGTCACTTCATCGCAACATGACTCCTCCACCAGAGGAGCGGAAAGCCCGAAAACGAGGTTGTGCAACAGCATGAGACGGTGCACTGCTGCTCCATCTTTGCTTGAAGATTTGTCGCTGAATTTTCCTCGTATCCTGATAAATCCACGTCTGCATCTTTATCATCTTCACGCAGGATTTCACGGGTTAGCTCGCTGTCACTCATTGATGGCTTCATCTATGACCACAACCTCCTTGACGTGTCAGTGACGCCCGCCATCACTCCTCCCGTGTCATCACCAGTCAGCGTCTGCAAGCCGCTGCGGTTGAGACCTCTCATGTCCTGCGGCCTCCGCTGCTGAGACGCTGATTGGAAACGCCTCTTGGTGGTTTCTAAACAGACAAACAAGGACTGCGCTCGAAGACTTAAAGGC